GCATTTTTCATGTAAGATTTTCTAAAATGTATTGTGTGTCTTACTAAAATGGTTACATGAAGCACAGTATGGTCCTTCACTTAACCGATGTCGATGTCCGCTCCCGGCCGGCAGGAAGGACACACGACAAAGTCTGGTAGTGGACAACCTTTTCTTTTTATTTTCCTTCTCCGTACAGCCTGCCCTGGGTTCTCCCAGCTGAAGCCTCCTCTGGTCCGCTCCCCGCGGCTCCTTTTGTGCTTCAGTCTGCCCCAAAGCCTCTACCGGTCCGCTCTCCGCGGCTCCTTTTGGGCTTTTACTTCTGGGCTTCTTCCTGGCTTCTTCTTCCGCCCAGGGGTGGCACCGGTATATATACGGGTACAGTGTCCAATCATGTTAAAGTAAGCAAGGCAAGCTGATTGGCTAACATCATCAGTTGCCAGGCAGACTATATTGTTGAGCGGGTTGTTTACGCGGTAAGCAGGAAACTAACATATTCGATGGGAGGGGTAATCTACCTCAGGCTTTTACACACAGTGTTAAGAATTGCCATGAAGAGGACAGCTTCTGGATGGAGGATACTTTCTCTTTTTTTCTTGAATGCAGACATTTTATTATAAATGTTAAATGTTGTTTTCCCCTCAGAGATGTATTTTCATGTTTGTTCCTCTTCCTGTGAGTGCCTGCGTGTGTGGTATTGGGGATTGAACCCAGGAGCTTGCACGTGTGAGCCAAGCCCTTAGCACTGAGCTATATCCACAGGCCAAAAGTCTGATTTTTTTAGAAGTTATATTTTTGAGGGGCTGGGATTTAGCTCAGTGGCATAAGCGCCTGCCTTGTAAGCAGGCAGTCGTGAGTTCGATCCCTGGTACTGATAAAAAATGAAAGAGACAAAAAAAAAAAAGTTGTATTTTTGTGTAGTTGGAATACCAATTGATTAGAATGGTTGCATAACCAATTAGATTAATTTTTGCTTTTTCTCTTTAAGTATTTCTGTATTTTCCACATTTTCTTTGCAGAGCACAGTAGTTTTGTATTAGCACAAAAACGTTAAAGTGGTAGATATTTAGGTCAAGTGTGATGGCATAAGCCTGTAATCCCAGGACTCAGGAGGCTGAGGCAGGAGATTCACCATGAGTTCAAGGTCATTTTAGGTTACAAAGTGAGTTCAAGGCCAGCAAGACTGTCTCAAAACAAACAAAAGCTATTCAGTAACAATGGTAATACTATTTATTGAGCAGTGGTTAATGTTGAGGTGATAACTACCATGATTATTATCCTGCATATAATTACTATGATAAGTCTATAAAGTAGGTTTAATTCTCATTTAACAAATGAAGAAACAGTAATTAGCTTTCCCAGAGTCACAAATGTAGGACACAAGAATTGATTTGAACATTGAGTTGCCTGACTTGGTCCCTCAGAATATTCTTGCTACCCTGGGGAGTTTGAGGCCACTTCAGGAATAGCTACACTAGAAACTGTAAGTCTGAGCAGTGTGGTGACCACGTGCCAGGCACTGCGTTAGATGTCTTTGCACATTTCTGGTCCTCACAGTGGGAATGGTGTTCACTGCGTAGTGTGGTGCACGCCTGTGCCTATCAGCCCAGCACCCTCGGAGACCGAGGCAGGAGACTGCAGGTGAGCCTAGGCAATTTTTAGTGACCTAGGGAGACCCTGTTTCAAAATAAAAAATAAGACGGGATGTAGCTCCGTGCAAGGACCCTCAGTTCAATCTTTAGTAATGAGGAAAAAAGCGGAAGAAAACTAGCACCTTAGATAGATAAGACGATTTATTTAGACAGCCAAAAGACAGGAGAAAGTGATGCAGTAGCTTGGGAATTACCTGTGCCGCCTGCTGGGGACATCTACTGCTCAGATCCCATCTGGTGGAAATGGCCATGTTTAACGGTCATGTTCCCTCTCTCTGCCCGTCTGCCTGCCCCCTCGGCTGATCACGCCAGGCTTGGCCTCCTGAGCAGGACATGTCGTCCACGGTTTAGCATTGTCCCCTAACACTGTCTGAGAAGATGTGAGTAGGCGGACAAGGCTTCTCAGCCTTGGAAATTTGGAATTGGGAGATCATGATTGAACTTCAAAAGTAGGAGTGAAGGGCCACGGGGCACAAAGCCACCAGGGAGAAGGGGGGGTGCAGGAGTCCGGATGAACAAGAGAGATGGGGTCACACCGATTCCACAGGGGACTGGGAGTTCCTGTCAGCTGGGGGAGTGAGCTGGCAGGGAGAGGTCCGTCTGCAGAGAGAAGCAGAAACAACCTGAGAGCCTCGCATCTTCTGAGGAAGGAGAGAGCTGCCCGCTCCGGTGCCCAGCAGTACTGGTCACTGCACCATTCTTCCTGGGGTGCCTGAGAGCTGCTTGTCAGAAACCCTTTCCTTTTCTCCCTGCTGGCTGCTCTGAGTGGACGACTCTTTCTGACCAGAGCTCTGGCGAAGCCCCCGTCTAGCTGACTGGAAGGTGGTGCGATCACACCTGCTAACAGTCAACAGTTACCTAGTTCTGCACACATTAGATGTGCCATCAATACTGACTGAGAGGACCAAAGTAAAAGTGTCCGCTACCTGTCTAGCAGCAGGACCCAAGTCATGGGTCCATGAGTGGACACGAGAGCTAAAACTGAACAGAAAAGGACAAGAATACTGCTCAGCCTGTCCTAGCTGCACCTGTGACCTAAGCATCTGAGAACAAGGCTGAGGCAGACCTAAGACAGGTGAGATAGCCATTTTACCAGTAAGCTTTGTCCCCTAGTCTCTGAGAGGGAGCAGTATACACACTGTGATAAATGTGTCTGCAGGACTGGGTCATGGTGCCAGGATACTTGCTCCCACATTATTCTGGATGTTTCTGCAAGTTTTCATGTTATGAGATTAGCATTTAAATCAGTCGGCTCTGAGTGAAGCAGGTGGCCCTCCATAACGTGGGTGGCAATCCACATCCGATTAGTTGAAGGCCTGAATGGAGAAAAGAAGAAATTCTGCTGGGAAAACAGCTTTCCCACTTCGACATCAGCGCCGCCCTGCATCTCCAGGGATGATCTGTGTCCTCCACGGTGCACTGTGAGCCCCTTCCTTAAAATTGTTTATGGACGAACACACATCCCATTGTTTCTTTAGACAGCCCTGAGGATCTGGTATAATAACTGTTTTTCTAAGACAAGACACACAAAATATTTCTGGTCAATATTTTGAAAAAGGTTGTTTATGGGCCAGGGATACAGCTCAATAGCATAGTGCCTGCCTGGGAAGGGTAAGGTTCTGAGTTCAATTCTCAGTACCCCCAAAAAAGAGAAGACAAAGGCTTATTAAGTGGGGTAGGTAGCTAACTCTTCCACGGCAAACAGCCGAGGGCGAGGGATGAGCTGCTATGGTGTGAACTCCCTTTCTCTTGGAGGTCACTAACTCTGGGATTCTGCACATGGTTTACCGTAGGCATTTGAAATTGGGGCTAATACTCTGTGGATACACACAAATTTATTGAGGAATGATATCCACTAAGTTGTAACAATTTGAAGGGTATGATTTGATTTTTATTTTAGGGGCTTTTTTTTTTGTTGTTTTCTTTTTTGGTACCGGGAATCGAACTCGGGGCCTCACACTTACCAGGCAGGTGCTGCCCTTTCAACTACTTCCCCAGCCCCGCAATTTGATTTTAGACTCATGTGTCTCACCCATGAAACCCTCCTCACAATCAAAATAATGAACATTCTTGAGTACTCAAATTTTTTTTGTGAGAGGGATGAAGTTGTAATCCTGGCACTTGGGAAGCTGAGGCAGGAGGATAGCAAGTTTAAAGCCACCCTGGGCTACACAGCAAGACCCTGTCACACACAAACAAATGAACAAGCTTTGTCCCTCTGTTGAGCCTGTATCCGCCTCCATTTCTACCTCCAGGTGTGACAGTTATTTTTATGGGTCAACTTGATGAGGCACGACTTCGGGGCGTGTCTCTGACGGTGTCCCCAGAAGGAACTAATATTTAAATTGCAGATTGAGGAGGGAAGATCACTCTCACCAGGTGTGAGTAAGCATCACCCAGTCTCTGAAGAGCTTGAAGACTGTGTGTGTGTGTGTGTGTGTGTGTGTGTGTGTAAAAGAGTGTGTACACCAGGGGGATGGATGAGGTTCTTGCTGTACAAAGTTGTGAGTGCACATTCAACACCTTTATTTTGAAAATTCAAATGTTCAACATGTTAAAATTATTTTTACTGTGCAAAACAGTCAAACACAAAATGGTATTCACTCCAAAATATTATTATTTCTGGTTACCTGCCTTCTTGTAAGTGGTCCCATTAAAAAAAAAAGTTACTGCCAGGCGTGATGGCACATGCCTGTAATCCCAGCACTCAGGAGGCTGAGGCAGGACTGCTGTGAGTTCAAGGCCAGCCTGGGCTACATAGTGAGACCCTGTCCCAAAGAGAGTTACCCCCAGTCTAATCTAAATAATGCCAAACTAATTCATATTTGAAATGTGTCTTATTTCATCCTTAATATCCTTAATCTCAGCTTGGACTATTGTTAAATTAGATATTTTTTCATTTAAGACAGTGATTTCTTTCTCTCTTTGTAGTAAGTCAGTAACCAATCTCCCAATGCGTAGCGTTAAATCATTTACCAACGGTTCCAAACGGGAAAAGTCCTTCTTTAGATTATACACCTTTGGTTTCAGATCATTTGCAAAAGTCACTGTCTTCAGAACTTTGGCCCTGTCACCTTCCAAGCTTAAAAACCTGTCGGTGTGCTTGCTGAAATCATTCTTCAGCTCAGTCAGCGTCTTCTTCACTGCGTTAATTCTTTGTGAATTTTCAGACGCTGTCTTTCGGAGTGTTGCCGTTCGGTCGATGCTACTCGAGAGAAGATCTCCTATGTTTTTTACTGTGTTTTTTTCTACACTTTCTATTTTATTTTCCAGTTCGTGCACAGACTCTGTCAAGGATGTCACATCAGTTACTAGCCCTGAAATACGTCGTATATCTGTTTTTACAGTTGTAATCTTGAGGCCAATCTCTTTTGCCATGGAGGTTGTACTCTGGTTTGCTTTTGTAACGTCTTGAGAAAGAGCTGTCAGACTGCTGTTGAGCATCTCCTGATTTTCCGTTATCCTGGTGGACCAAGATTTTACGTTATAAATTTCCTCCTGTAGCTGCTTCAGATGAACAACGATTTGAAAAGCCTTCAGTTGTTCCAGGATAGCGTCACATTTCTGAGACTATAAGAAAATACAATAATACCACAATGATTAAAGTCATCTGATGCTTAATATTTAAAACTCAGTTTAAATTCTAAGTGGTGTTCTTGACCACAACATTACTGCTTTTGGGGAAAGTGCACGGTAAAGGATGGCTTCAAGGGTAAGAGCTGTTAAAGCAATTTACGTGTGTTAATGTGCAAGAAGGAAAACATTCAGGAAATTTCATAAAGTGTCACTAGAAATCGCATTTTCTTAGTGAAGATTTTTGTGCCACTGGCCCACTGTACAGTCACAAAGTGAGCGAAATGAGACAGTGACGTGCTTCCTGCTACTAGTGAAGGAAACAGAAGTCTCCTCCAGTGGAGTGGTGGTGAGAGAGCAGCGGGACTTCTCCCTCTCTCCTACCAGCTTTCGGTTTTGCTGTTTTGGAGACACGGTCTTGCTATGTTGCCAAAGGCTGCTCTTGGTCAAGTGATGCTCCTGCCTCAGTTTTCTGAGTAGGAAGGACTAGTTGCAGGCCATGATGCCTGGCTGTATTTTTTCAGCTTTATTAAGGTAACATTGACAAAAATTGTGTGTATGTATGGTGTACAATGTTATGCCTTGATATATTGTGAAATGATTAAATCGAGCCAATTAATATATCTATCATTGCACATACCTTTTCATTTTAAACTTGTTTTTTTCTTTTTGAAACAGGGTCTCACTATGCAGTTCAGGCTGGCCTTGAGCTCATTTTGTAGCCCAGGCTGGTCTCAAACCTGCAGTGATCTTCCTGCCTCAGCCTCCTGAATGCTGGTATTATAGGTGTGGCTACTACACCTGGCTTTTTTTTTTGGCATCTTGAGGCCTGGTTTCACTATGAAGTTCAGGCTGGCCTTAAACTCACTGTGAAGCTCAGGCTGACCTCAAACTCACAGCAATCCTCTTGCCTTGGCCTCCCGAGTGCTGGGATTACAGGTGTCCACAACCATACCCAGAGTCAGAACCTTTACCATAAACTCTGTTTCCAGTATTCAAGTATATGGTACATTATCATTATTATATATAGGTAGAATGCTATAAGTAATCCCCAGATATTCATCCTGTTTAGCTGAAACTTTGTACTGTCTTAGAAGCAATTCTTTATCTCCCTGGCCCCCACCCCTGCCGCCTCCAGGCCCTGCTCGGCACAGTCTCCGCTCACCCCATGAGTCGGACTCTGATCCCGCGTACTAGGTGAGGTCATGCAGCACTTGTCTTCTCAGCAGAGCTTATTTGACTTAACCCAGTGCTCCCGCCGCCGCCGGCGGGAGTGACAGAATTCCTGTCAAGCAGAGCAGCCTCCACTGCGGGCACTGCGTTTCCATCCATTTGTCCCCTGATGATGCTCAGACTTTTCAGTCCCCCACTGAGCTGCATCCCCAGTCCTCGGGACACTGAGTGGGACGCTGCAGAGACCATGCAACTGCAGGGATCCTACTAGGGCTTCTGTCTGCGGGCTACACTCTCCGGAGCACCGTGGCTGCAGGTCTGTTTTTCTTTTTTCTTTTCTTTTTTTATTTTATTTACTTTTTTTTTTTTGGTCTTTTTCGTTTTTATCGGTACCAGGGATAGAACTCACGACTGCCTGCTTGCAAGGCAGGCGCTTATGCTGCTGAGCTAAATCCCCAGCCCGCAGGTCTGTTTTTCAGTTTTTGAGGAACACTCAGGTTGTTTTTCCTCATGGCTGCACTGATTTACATTCTCATCAGCGGTGGACAAGGGTTTCATTTCTCTATATGCTGCCAACAGCTGTCATTTATCTTTTTGATAATAGATACTCTTAAGCGTGATGTGATATTGTAGCTTTTTCATTTCTTTCATGTTTTGTGAAGTTAAGCATTTAAACATTTATTCATATACTCACTGGCTGTATGTCTTATTTTCAGAAATATCTATTTGAGTCCATTGGCTTTGTTTTTGAACCACTTTGTGGTTCAGGTTGACCTTGAACTATGTAGCCCAGGCTGGCCTCGAACTCACAGCAATCGTCCTGTGTCAGCCTCCCAAGTGCTGGGGTTACAGGTGTGCACCACCACACCCAGCTGTACTTTTAATACTTGAAACTTTATTAATAAAATGAGATGAAAGCAGGAAAGTGAAAGCCTTGATCATAGAGATAAAACGGGGAGGTTTGGCTGGGGCCTGGCGGGATGACCCACCTGTCATCCCACAGACGTTGGGGCAGGAGGAGCTTACGTGTCAGCCCAGTCTGGGAAACTTAGTGAATTAGTGAGACCCTGCCTCAAAACACAAGACAAAGGGGCTGGGGATGTAGCTCAGTGTGAAAACCCTAAGTTCAATCCTTGCTACTGAAACAAGTAACTAAAATGGGGGTAGGTTTCATAAACAATACAAAGTTGAAATAGCTTCAACTGGAAGATTAATATAAATTTATGGACTATGTACTCAGGAAGGTAAATAGAAAACAAATGGAAAATGCTAGAAGCACACGGTCAATGCCTATGCCCGAGGACAGATACACGCTGGTTATTCTGGAGAGGGAGCTCCATTTGTTGTGTGTAAGTCAGCTCTTTGACTTTTGCACATTTAACCTTCAATGTGTTTCTAGAAAAGCAGTTTGTGCTAAAATAGGAGATTATAACCCTACTAATAGTATAGCTGTTTGATTCAGCAACTCTACTGTGCTAATATGATTGAGAACAGTCTGCTTTCAGTACATTTGTCATTTCTCTTTTGGAAGCAGAATGTCAGTAAATGGATTATATAAAACGTAGGAAAAGAAAACAAGGAATAATTATAGCAGATGTGTACGCTGCAAAATATCTTCACAAAATAAAACATGCACTTTAAAGATTAAAATTTTTAAGGTGGGCATGGTGGTGCATTCCTGTAGTCCTAGCACTGGGGAGACTGAGGCAAGAGGATCACTGTGAGTTCAAGGTTAGTGTGGCCTACAAAGTGAGCTCCAGGCCAGCCTGAACTGCATAGACAGAATGTGTCTCAAAAAGACCAAAAACAAAGAAAAAATTAAATTTTTTCTAAAATAACTCTTATTTTTTCAAAATTTTAATGGGCTTTTTTCGTGGGGGGAGGGTTGACACAGGGTCTTCTATGCAGTTCAGGTTGGCCTCAAACTTGCAGTGATCCTCCTGCCTCAGCCTCTAGAGTACTGAAATTACAGGTATGCATCATCACCTGGGCTAACCTGCCCAGCTTACCTGAGTGGCAGGGAGTTATTATAGTTAATGGAGATACAAATGCAATATGCTCAGAATATTACTCTGAGGCAGCTTTGAAAAGGAACCGTTATCTAGTTGGAAAAGAATTACAATGCACTGCTGAAATGGGGAAGTAGACTGACTGAGTCAGGACTACTTAGGGACTCTTCCTCCTTTCAAATTTTGCTTTAAGAAGTCAGAAGCAGTGACACACCCTGGAATCTGCGTTACTCCGGTGGCTGAAGCTGAAGGGTCGAAAATTTGAGGCTAGCCTGGGCAACGTGATACTGTTTCAACATAAAAAAATAAAAACGGCTGGGGATGTAGTGCAGCGTTCCCTCCCTCCAATGCCAACACTGCAAATGAAGCTGTGGGGCTTTTGTCCTCAGTAGCTCTACGCTGCATGAATTCCTGGTGGCACAGGTGGCCCAGGCGGCCCAGGGCTTTTGGTTGTTTTGGTTAGCTTGTGAAATGTTGTTTTCAGTATGACATTAAGCAGTATTCACAAAAAGGAAGGAAATCAAGTAGTGATTACAAAACCAGGCTTCATTTTTAAGGAGAAAGTTTTCAGTTTAGTGTGTTTGCTGAAACAGTCTCCCGAGGGTGAAAGGAGTGGTGACTTCCTGTCATCTACTTCAGTACAGGTTATCATTTATTAATGGGCCCACACTGGTAGAGTAAACGTCGCTCAATTGCATTATTCAACTAAGATACCTCAAAAGAGATTGGCTTACTCTTACAGGGATTAGGCCATTAAGAAAAAAAACTGCTGTTTGATTTGGTAGCATATAAAAGCAATTTATCAGGAACTTTAAAGATATACTCCATACAACATAGTAATCATCTAGAAATTGCCATATCTATCTATCTATCTATTTTTTTTTTCCTATCTTTTTGAGACAGGGTCTCAACATGCAGTTCAGGCTGGTTTTGAGCTCACTTTGTAGCCCAGGCTGGTCTTGAATTTGCAACGATCCTCCTGCCTCAGCCTTCTTGAGTGCTGAGATTACAGGCATGTGCCACCACACCCAGCTGAAACTACTATACTGAGTAATTTTTAAAAACCATTTAAAGTTTAAGCAAGCCTAGGGTGAATAGAAAAGTTAGAGAATTTATCAGTAGATAAAAGATTCCCTAAGGAATCTGAATATTTACCAAATTCCTATCATATATGCAAGGTACTGAGCTAGATTTGGTCGTGGAAGGTTAAATATTGTCTAGACTATACACACAGCAACACAGTTCAATCCCCTTACAAACACTTTGCTAGGGGGTCTCTGAATTCTACTAGACGATCTGGGAATACTGGTCCCTGCCATTTGGAACACTGGAAAGTGCAGGGGTGGACGTGGTGGTATGGTTCTGGGACCCCAGCACGGGGGTGGGATCCGACTATGTAGTGAATTGAAGACCAGCCTGAACTATGTAGCAAGATGCTGTCTCAAAAAACCAAAAACCCCAAGCCAACAACAACATTAGAAACCAAAAGAGATCTTAGAGATTATTTGGTATAATTCTCTTATTCTAGTATTTAAAAACTAAGCGCCTACATAAAATGCCTAAGAATGCAGTGTGGAAGATTCCTCCACGCTACAGCTTTCTCCACCCTGGTTCCCCCAATCTTCTCAACATTTATTGATTCCTTCTTATGCCCAAAGCTTAATCAATTTTGGAGCACAGTTAACAGCTTTTGAGAAACAGCCTCATTTAGTGGCAACATGGCAGACAACCCATTTGGACAATTACTAGCACCTTTGAATTCTCAAAATAGCTGTGCTGGCAGATTTTCTGTGATTATTTTTTTCAGTCCTCTGGGTGAACAGCAGCAGGGTGAATCACAGGGCAGCAGGTCTTCAGCCTCTGCAGTTGGACAGGTGCAATGATTACAAAATTGCTAATCTTAGCTGGGCATGATGGGGCACACCTATGATCCCAGCATTTGGGAGGCTGAGGCAGGAGGATTGTAGCATGTTTGAGGCCAGTCTAGGGTACATAAAGAGTTCAAGGCCAAGTCTGGAATACTGCGATGAGACCCTGTCTCAAAAAAAAAAAAAGAAAAATAGATTGCTAGTTTCGCTGCATCTCAGCCAAGGAAGCTGCAGGGAGAAATGGTGGTAAGTACACGTAAAATGCTAGCACACTGCTGGTGCACGGTAGGGACTTCATATACCGTTAGTTCTTTCCTGCTGTGAAGCTGGCAGAGAGCATTATGGTTTGTAGTAAATTAATAGTTCACAAGTGAGTTAACCTGGGAGAATTGAAGAGCTTTTGCAATTGTGCAAATATGAACTCTATAAAAAAATGGAAGTTTTTTGGTATGTGTAGTGAATTTAGATCATTATTGTACTGTATAAAGACATCATGTCAAATGGATCAACATTACAGGTTCATAAAAATGTCTAAAATTAGGTTGAGAGTTCAGATAATACCATTAACTTTGTATCTCACTGCTTTAATTTTTCTATGAGGGAATACGAGCTAATATAAAACACAAATGTCCACAGTCAACAGCTTCAGATCATTAGGCAGAATTTTAGGAAATATTACTATATTTTAAATCTTTACACCCAATGGTTTAAAAATAAGGAGGTGCCTGCTTCATAAAACTGTTTTATTTGTGCTACACTTAAAAAAACATGAACTCAGTACTCTATAATGAATTAATATAAAACTTATCATCAAGTACAATGATACAAAGTATGTCTTAGAGTACTGGCAATTTCCTTAAAGACTAATGATGTGGTTTGGTATTCTGCGGGAAGTTTTTTGAAATTTCAACTAATTGTGTTACTCATATGGACGGAAGAAACAAAGATTACATGTACATAAATCCAAGACAATCTTTTAGACAGAAAAACCTCTTAGAAAAAAATATACATAAACACACATTTTAAAAGTTTTTTTATGCGATACTTATTTTTTCTCTCTCTCTCTCTTTTTTTTTTTTTTTTTTTTTGTCTTTTTCCTTTTTATCGGTACCAGGGATCGAACTCACGACTGCCTGCTTGCAAGACAGGTGCTTATGCCGCTAAGCTAAATCTCCAGCCCCTTTCATGTGATACTTAGAGAGTGCCATTTCTATTTCCCTTTTAAATGTATTTTAGAGCATGGCGGTCACTTTGTTTCCATTTAATTTCAATAACCACTACCTGGTATGCATGTACATACGTATTTATTTTTTGGTACCAGGAACTGAACTGAGGACCTTGCACTTGCCAGGTAGGCTCTGTGCTGCTGAGTTACATCCCTGACCCTACCCTGATATTTAAAAGTTAGTATCAAAGTTGAATCACATCTCTCTTTTTTGGGGGGTGGTTATTCTGAGACAGGGTCTCACTCTGTAGCCCAGGCTGATCTTGAACTCACAGCAATCCTCCTGCCTCAGCCTCTCAAGTGCTATGACAACAGGCATGCACCATCCTTCCTGGCTTGAATCAGATCTCTTGACAGACCAAACACACACACACACACACCACATGCGTGAATTATTTACAAAGAAGTACAGTGAAGAGATTACATCTGTCCCAACAAGATGGAGGTTGAAACAACAAGGTTCCCATTAAATTAATAATGTATTTTATTTTTTAATTTTTATAATTTTATTAGTATGTTTGCAGTACATACAGTTTACAATCATCCTGGGGGGCGGGTACAGGTAAATACTACAGCTTCTTTTTTATTTCCTCCCCTCTCTTCTAATTCCCTCGTCCTGATTTTCACTCTTGTTATTATTAATCTCAGCTCATGTCATGGCGTACACTGTTTATGGTCACTGAGGTTCCCTGAACATGGCCTGTCTGTGTTTTTCTAATCTCCCCTCCCCCTCCTTATCCTTGGTCCACTTCTCTACTACAAGAGGTCCCACCCCTTGTCCTCTTCTATCATCCTTGATTGTTCTTTTTGCTTGCACTTTGCCTCACGCTAATGAGAGACTCCGTATGGTACTCGAGCTCATGTGTCTGGTTTATTTCACTCAGTGCTGTATTTTCCAGGTCCATCCATTTTCTTACATGTCTCAAACCTGTCATTCTTTATAGCTGAATAGTATTCCTTTATATATAGATACCATATTTTCTTTGTCCAATCATCTATTGATTGTTGCTTTTTGCTCTTATAAGTCATAATAATCTATTTTATTGACATTTAAATAAAAGTATAGCTTTTTCAGTGCACAGATAAAAACTAAAGACACTCAGAAGTCAAGTCATGTTAAAATTTTAGGACTTGCTGGCTGTGGTGGTGCATGCCTGCAATCCCAGTACTTGGGAGGTTGAGCCAAGAGGACTCCTGAGTTCAAGGCCAACCTGAACTAATAATGAAACTCCATATCAAAAAAAAAAAAAGGAAAAAAAGATTTTAGATTAATACTATGACTCAATAATAGCACTCTTTCAGACTTATTTTTATAACTTACGGCTGTTTACCACAGGCCTAATTCTTGTGCGTTTGAAGTTTCTCCAAAAACTTGCAAATTTACATAATAAAAATGCCAGAGTATTTGTAATCACTGGTTTTATAATCACTAGTTTCCAGTTCTGTGCATTTAATCTGACTGAAACAGCCTATAAAAGTGGGATGGTTACTGGCAGAAAGAACCGAATTTCCATATATAGTTATGTAATGTACTCAGCTGTATTCTACAACTTGGAATAAAATAAAATCAGTATGTGAGCCAGGTGTGGTGGTATATGGCTGCAATCCCAGCACTTGGGAGGCTGAGGCAAGAGGACTGCTGCAGGTTTGAGGCCAGCCTGGGCTACACAGTGAGTTCACAACCAGCTTCAACTACACAGCAAGACCCTGTTTCTCAAAAAAAAAAAAAAAAAAAAAAAAAAAGTGAAGCAAATTTAGTTCCATAACTTTGGGGAATCTTTAGAATAATGACATAGCTTTTATTCACCATAATTATTACCATTTGTTATGTTGCCTTTTCCTCTTTAAAACAGGCTTATTCATGAATATTTATTTTAACCTGACTAATTTATCAAGAGATTATGTGTCTAGCAAACGCAAGAATCTTATTTCAAACTTTAAAAGCCCAGGTAAACAAAGATACTTCACAAATTCATATTTGGGAGCATATACAACTACTAGGAAAGGGCTAAAATAAAAACATACTTCTTTATATTTTCATATTTTCAAATTCTTAGGAGTGTAACACAGTTTAGAACCTTAACAAAAAGTAAACTATTTCCCAGGATTCATAGTTTTTACAAAGTGCACATTAATCTACAGAAAAACCTCCATACTCTCCCCAGGGTGCATCAGATTTAGTGCCTATGAACCTGGTGGTCTAGATCCTCAGCATGCAGTGAATTAGCAAAGGAAAGTGAGGCGCTGGCCGAGACTGGCGCATTATCTACCACCCAGCCTGACAGCAGGCACAGGTGACCAACAGGTGAGAGACACAGACCTGAGTAACAGCAAGGCTGGGGCCACTTAGCAAAACGGGAAATGCTCTTCAATAGTTCCTAGAAGGAAAAATATGGTTCTAAGACAGCAATATATATTTGGGTCCAATCGTAACAGGTTAAACTCCTAATGCTGTCCATTATTGGAAAATATTTTAAAAATTAATTATATTGCCTTAAAAGAAGAGAAATACATAGTTTAGAATTCTATTTGAAATAGTTAAACAACTTTTCGATCTTAAAAAGCCTTGATTGTGTAGCTAATCCATTTGTGTGGCTATCTCACTTTTTTTCAATAAAGTGAGAAATATCAACATAACTCAAAAACACAGGACATATCGCAATTACATACAGTAATATGGTTCATCAGAATATATGTAGTGAACTTAAAAATCATCACTGATTTCTTTATTTTCTAGGTTATATTCTTCCAAAGTTCCCTTTTCTTTTGTAGTTGAATATGCTATAAAATCATGCACTTTCCCCTTCAGAACATCTAGTTCATTCTGCATCTTTAATATGCTATTATCATACTGAATCCCCTCCAGGCTTTTCTGCAGTTCCATTATTTCGGACACGGCTTTCAGCATATCGTCTTCTAGGTTAAACATCTGCATGGTCAGCTCTTCCATTTTCTTTTCTGTTCCCATCAGGTCCTGAGAGACTCTGAGAACGGAGTGAATAGCATTTTCGATGGCTGGCAAATGCATCTTGCATTCTTCCACTCTGGGTTCGTAGCTGGAAAGTTTATTGGCCAGATCTTCGTCTTTGGCGAGGAGGGCTTTCTGCTCCTCTTCTAACTTCTTGACTGCTTTTGTATCGGAGCCAAGCTGCTCCTCCACTCGCATGAGATCTTCCTCTTCTTGTCTTTTTACTGTCCTAATATTTCGCAGTGTGCTGTCTTCCAAATCATTCAGCCGTTCTGTGAGCAGTTTCATTCCCTGCTCAGCTGAGTTAATTTGGACAGTAACTTGAGAATGTATCTGCTTTGCTTCTGCTTTGAAAATGTCTGTATTACCACTTATTTCTCCGAGGCTTCTCTTCCAGAAATCTGTAATATTTTGGAATTTCTCATTAAGGACTTGCACCTTTTGAGTGAGCATCTCTTCACTATGTTCCATGTCATGCACGAGTCTTTGGAGGCCGGATACTTCCTGCTCAAACTGGGTCACCAAAGACCTGGAGGATGTGGCTTCCTGCAGGATACCTTCAGTAGACGCAAGCTGCATTTATAACACAAAACAATTCCCAAGGCTACTTAGTAATTTTTGATTAGAGAAACACACGTTAATAATTAGGACCATAACACATTCCCAGACTCAAATTCAGAAGATGTCTCAAATATCCAAATATGTCAGAATTACACTGACAAAAACATTTATGAATGGCTGTTTTAACAAATTTAGTAATTAGCTGTATATTAGAAAAACATATACATGAATTTATAGTCTCAGATATTTGTACATTTGCACAAAGGCATTTTCAAAAGAAAGAAAATGTTGAGAAGTCTGAAGTATATCACATTTTCTTGTTTTTCATTCCACGAAAAATAACTTAAATTTTAGGTCATTTGGTTTTTCTGTGTATGTGTACGTGTACGTATATGTGTACGTGTGTGTGTGTGTGTGTGTGTGTGTGTGTGTGTGTGTGTAGGTTTTTGAGACAAGGTCTCACTATGTTGTTTAGGCTGGCCATGAACTTACTAGGTAGCCCAAGTGGACCCTGAACTGGAGGCAATCCTCCTGCCTCAGCCTTGTGAATGCTGGGATTATAGGCATGTGCCACCATTCCTGGTCCTATTTGGCCTTTTATTTATTTATTTATTTTTGAGACAGGGTTTGTTATATAGTTCAGGCTGGTCTTGAACTATGTAGCTCAGGCTGCCCTTAAACCCACAGGAATCTTCCTGTCTTAGCCTCCCAAATGTTAAAATTATAGGCATGTGACACCATGCCTGGCTCATTTGGCCTTTTATAAACTACGACTCTGTAGAATTTGTTGCTTTCCCTAAATCTTATGATTCTGAAAGAGTTTCTGTCTGAAAAAAAATTTTTTTTTCTTTAGCCAAGTCTGTACTATAACAGAAAAAGTTATGGAAGCGGGGGCTGGAGGTTTAGCTCAGCGGCATAAGTGCCTGCCTTGCAAGCAGGCAGTTGTGAGTTCGATCCCCGGTACCCATGAAAAGGAAAAAAGACAAAAAAAAAAAAGTATAAAAAAAAAGTTATGGAAGCATTTCGGTGGGGCCACAACTGAAGACTTCAAAGCCAAGTATTCTGTAAGTCTTACTAAAATCTGCTCCCAGTCTATTCTCTGTATCATCCTACCCTACCCCCAGATTAACCTTTGAAAACTATGAAGCTATGTGATGGTGCACACCTGTAATCTCACCACTTGGGAAACTGAGGCAGGAGGACTGCTGTGAGTTCGAGGCCAGCCTGGGCTACACAGTGAGCTCAAAATCAGTATGAACTATATAGTCAGACCTTGCCTCAAAAAGTCATAATCAAAGCAAACCAAAACAGAGCTTCCATGTATATCAATGCACACGGTTAAAAAACAAAATTACAAAAAGGAAAACATTTCCGCTATTTCCTGCTACCTCCAGGATAAAGTCCACAGCCCTAGGCCTGATTTCCTGGAGCACCTCTTACATTACATAGTTGTCAAGTGTCATAGAAAAATTTTGAGCATTCTGTAGTAGATCAGTCCTGGTCTTACTTTTTTTTTTTTTTTTTTTTGGTACTGGGAATCAAACTCAGACCCTGTGTTTGCTGGGCAGGCGCTCATGCCGCTGAGCTATATCCCGGCCCTTGGTTTTACACTTTAATACAGTGTTTTGGATCTCTATATCATATATCCTAGATTCCTAATAGGATTTTCTTTGTGTGTGTGTGATACTAGGGGATTGAACCCAAAACCCAGAGCCCTTGCATTGAGCTGCATCCAGAGCTCTTTCTCTTATTTTTTTAAAAGACTTTTGATACAGGGTCTCACTAAAGTTGCTAACTGCCCAGGCTGGGGTAGAACTTGCAGTCCTCCTGCCTCAGTCCCAGAGCTAGGACTCTAGGTGTGCACCACCATGCTGGCTCTGATAAGATCCACTGAGTGCCTTCTGCGAGCTCATCATTCTAGGTGCACAGCAAATAGAGATAAAAGATGACAAGGGCTGGGGAGGTACGCAGCTTGGTGGAAAGCGCTTGCCTGGCTGGTCATCGAGCCCTGGGTTTAGTCCCTAGCTTGGGGTGGGTGGCAATGTTTGACCCAAAGAGACATGGGAGACCAATTAAGGATAAAAAAATCACCATGGACTAGGATTAATGTCATGATAGAGAGAATGCAGGGAGCAATGACACTTAGGGGAGCAGTAAGTCGGGGACAGTGGAGAAAAGCTGACACATGACGGAAATCTGACTCTTTCCAGGCTGATGCATTGGTCAGGAGAAGATCTGAAAGCTTCTAAAGCTCTCTCTGGAAAGAGAATGTGTTTTAAGATTTTTTTGTAGTCCCCATATCTCAGAGTACAAAGGACACACGATTGTTGATATTTATGAAGAAGAAAGACTGTAAGAACTCTGGGGCTATAGCAATTCTGGGGGACAGGTGGGGACAACATGTAACAGACCACTCTGAAGAAACATCATTTACAAATTATTTAAATGCATGCTCGTCACCACAAGCCAAGCTCCTTTAAACACTAATTCTGAAAAACACTTGTACATTGGTAATAGTGTTAGGTTTGGCTGTTTTAGGAGTATCTTAAACAGGCAAGCATATCTTTGCTGGGGATAATTTCCTGGCTAAGCTGTTTATCAGAGCAGTGTAGAAGCAGAACGCCCCAGGCACAAAATCCACTTTGAGGATATTAAGTTTCAAGCTTGAATCTGCAAACCATAGGTGACTAAGACGTCAGTGTAACTAGCCTTTATGGGTTGCCATTGCATTTTAAGTTTTTCAGTGTTCTGAAAAGAGCTAATGTCATAAGTTAGTGCTTGAAAGTTTTCTAAGGGTTTGTACATATATTTCATCCGATCCTTACAAAAATCTTGTCGTTTTTTAATTTTATGAATGACAGGAAACAATTGAGAGAAGTCCCGGGGACTTGTCCGAGGGGACACAATGGTGGTGACTGCCCAGCTCCAGTCCCAAGGCGGCTGTTATTAAATTACTCCCCAGGGCAGGCAGGGAGAGGAAGAGCTGTGAAAGGCTGAATGTTTCTTGACTCCCGTGATGATATTTGAAAAGTCTGCTTCCGAGCTTTTATTATTTACTTATTATTCAGTTTATTGGTACAATTTAGACATACATATTGATCACATTCAGTAAGGGAATTTATACATGTACAAGATGTATCTTGCTATTTCTTTCTTTCCCCCATTCCCTTCCCCAAAGCTTTTAAATTGTCACCCAAAGTTTTCATTTAAAAAGGAAATGTAGCTGGGGATGTAGCTCAGCAGTGTGTCTGTCTGACAAGCATGAAATTGTGAGTTCGATCCCTGGTACACACACACACACACACACACACACACACACACACACACACACACGGGAATCTAGTCCGATGACTGTAGGTCTGTAATAGTGGTTAGGGAGGCTGAGGCAGGATTGTGAGTTTTGAGTTTAAGCTGGACAACTCTGACTTAGTAAGACCTTCTCTAAAAACAAACAAACAAACAAACAAAGAAATGGGGATGTAGCTCAGTCCAAAAGTCTTGGGTTCAATCCCTAGCATGGGGGCAGGGAAAGAAAATCTAATTTTGTTCAAAACTTGCTTTCAATTAAGTATGCAAATTTTGCAGCTCCTGAAATGTGCTCTTCTATTAGGGGGTTAGAGTGCCCCCCTCCAACCACAACCCGTTCCAACTTAAGCCCTAAGAAAGCAGTCTTCACATTTCCTTCTGGGATGCCCCTAGCCCCACCTTGAGTCCGGGGAATCCTCTCCTGTGGGTTAGCCGGGCTCACTTTTCACCCCAGCTTTTCTCTGCTAGGGGGTTAAACCCTTGCCCTGCGCCTGAGGCTGCAGGGGCTCAGGCCCTCCATTTTATAGATGTCTCTCTCTTATAGCATCTACGTTTATTTAAATATCAGCATTATGCAACTAAAATTTGCACATTACACAATATACAAACTTAAAGTGATTTTGTAGATTCCAGCATACTGAGAGAGTTGCACAACCATGGCCACGATCAAATTTACATCAGTTTTGTTGTCCTGAAACAAAAAGCTCTACCTATGAGCTGTCATATCCCAAGCCCCAAGCTCCCAAACCAAGGCAACCACGGAGCTACTCTCTATATTCATAGATTTTCTGATTTTGGAAATTTATCTTACTTCATGCTCATAGCAACAATAAAGACCTTAACATATCCAAAGGATTGGCAATCCTGCAAAGTGAGCTCTCATAGCACACTGGGGTGAAACTCAAAACCGAGGGCAGAAACAGAGAATACAATAACCTTTTTTCCTAGTATCTTTTATTTCATCCTTTTTTTACGTATTAGCTTTTTCATTTGAGGGAAACCATGTGATGCTCACACTTGTGTGTCGCTCAAACTTGTGTGTCCGATTTTGTTCACTCAGCATTACTGTCCAAGGTGCATCTGTTTCCCTCTACGCCTCAGGCCCATCTCTCCACAGCGGAGCAGTACCCCGTGGTGTGTGCACACAGCACTTTCTGCTCATGGCTGCTTCCAAGGCTTAGCTGTTACGAATTGCACTTGTCTATGTTTATAGCACCCTTGCCCACCCTGTCATCAAGCAAAATCCCTGTCTACCCTATGTCATGAGTAAACAAATACGGCCCACGCCCCAGTGATAGCTTGGTGCCTGGTAGGAGACAAAGGCCACACGATCCCTTACGGATCACAGCTGACCTTGTTTTGAGAGATGTGAGTTACAGTAATAATGCATCTGGCAGGAATCTGCACTGCCAAGTTGAAGAAAGGTAGCACAGACATGTTATTTTAGTTTTCATCAGAACTTTGTTTTTGTTTCTGAGACAGTCTTGCTGTGTAGTTTGGGCTGGCCTGTGATCTTCTTGCGTTAGCCTCCTGATTGTTGGGGTTACAGGTGTATTTCATACATGGCTAGAATTCTTATTTGGCTAGAGAATCAGCATTCATTTTTAGGCTGTCCTTATACACTTAAAAGATGAAAACCAAGAAAAAGAATGGATCTATCTTTTCTTAACAAATGCTTTCCCTATTCTAATGTGACAGCTAAAGATCAACCCTGTTTTCAATGCTCTTGGTACCTGACGCTGACATCTCTGACCTTTGAAAATGCAGCTTGAGTCTAAACTGGGTTGGGGGACAAAGCCGGGAGTAGTAGGAAGACCAGCGAGACTAAAACAGTACCGGCTTAACGGGCAGGAAGAAGGCAGCCCTGGATAGAAGACAGCAATATACAAATGCAGCATCGTGGGAACGGCTCCCAGACAAGTTAATTCATAATTACCTTTTCTGAAATTAAACTGATTTTACTTTGAAGTCCTCTGAATTCACTGTTTTCTATTTTCAGTAACTGGTATTGGTTTTCTATCTTTGCAAACTTCTCCGACTGCTGAAATACGAACCTGGAAAAACAAAATAAAAATCACTACTGCCCAGTCTATAGTCATTTAAATTTGAATTTCTAAGGATGATTTATTCTACCCACTTCTGGTAAGCACAACATCAATTCTGGTACAGGCGGCTACAAGTCTTCTTAGTGTTTACGCTCATTGACACGGACCGCAGCTTAACTTGCGCAGGGAGGAGCAAATACAAATAGACACTGCTTCTGCGCATGTCCACAGCGCACTGAGCAGCACAGTGCGATGTCTATAACAGCAGCCTGCGCAAGAAAGTAGTTCTGGAGGACACCGTGATCTGTTTAGAACGAGATTGCTGATCTCAACTACTTTTCGCAATATCTAGAAAGCAGGTATGCTAGAGAAACAAATATAGCACAGCAAAGTATTTTAAAGCTAAAATTTAAGGATAGGCTAAGAAATGCAGAGTGGTAGAGACAGATGATGGTGATGGAAAGAGAAAAAAACAAAAGCGCCATTACCAAATAACCACAGAACATGTAGGGGATACAAGGTGAGGAAACTGTGCAGTTGAATATACTCAACAATACGCCTCATATGGCTGTCGGACTGTACTTACGTGTTCTTGCCTGGCATGTGAGAGACTGTGGCTTGATGCCAGTTCCAAAGCAATTAAAAAAATAAGACAACTCAAATAAAATTGGAGTGTATTCTTCATCTGGTAAATAGTAAAATTACAGAAGCAAAGCCAGGCACATGCATGTAAATCCCAGCACTCAGGAGGCTGAAGCAGGAGGACTGCTGAAGTTTAAGGTCAGCCTAAGCTACACAGTGAATTCAAGGCCAGCCTGAACTACAGAACAAGTCCTGACTCAACAAACAAAACCAAAGGGCCAAAAGCATAAAAAAGCCACCGTGATCTTTAAAACAATACATCAGCACCAGCTTGTAAAAGATTTGGAATCAGTGAGCACAAAAGAAATGCTTGAAATTAACACTACTTTGGCTAGTGACTCATTTCTTCAGGCTCAGAAAAAGCAGCAGTTGACATTCATATTTCTAGTAGTGCAGTTTGCAATAGCTAAATTTTGAGAACCCAAGTGCCCATCAACCAATGAATGGATAAAGACGATGTGGTTTTCTTTATACAGGGGAATACTACTCTGCCATAAAGGACAAATTTTGACCCGTTTTTAGCTTGGCCATACTTTTTTTTTTTTTTTTTGTCTTTTTTCATTTTTATTGGTACCAGGGATCGAACTCACGACTGCCTGCTTGCAAGGCAGGCGCCTATGCCGCTGAGCTAAATCCCCAGCCCCCTTGGCCATACTCTTAAATAAATCTGACCCATGTGTAAATATCGCATGGTTTTTCTGGTGTGAGAAACTGAAAGTGTAAATAAGAACCAAAATGTATAATTCATATTGTGAAATGGGAAAAAAATGTTGAAAGGAGGAGAATAAGGTAGGGGTGGGGGAGGAGGAAAGAAGGGCCAACAACAACAAAAAAATCAGAAGGAAAAAAATGCAAGCAAAGCTTTCATAAAGAGAAGAGGGCCTGAAGGGTGGGGAGGGTAATAGGGCTAAAAAGCACTGCAGCAGAACCAGAGGAAGCACTGCCTGAGTCACAGTACACAGGCAGTGTGGCTCAAAGCTTCCCCGCATACTGGAATTACCTGGCAGCGCTAGCGAATTTGATGACTGCCCCCCGCCCTTGACTGGTCTGCGATGTGGCTTCTCTATTAAAAACTTTGATTTCCCAGAGGAGCGGAGTGCTAGTCAAGCTAAGAAGCACTAACTGACAATGTTTTGTAAATTCATTTCCACCGAAAGACAAACATTTAAAGATGCCAAAGCTTAATGAAGAGGTGAAAGAGACTTAAAATCTTTTATTTACTCTTTATTTATATTTGGGTTTCTCATATAAGAGAAACTGCACCACATTTAAACTTTATATATGATTAATTTCTCTTAACATTATTGTCTTCAGGTGCATCCATTTAACTACAAATGCTTCAAGTTTATCCTTTATGTAGTACTTCATGGCATGTAACTAATTTTTTTATCCATTCGTCTGTTGGTGGACATACAGGCTGTGTCCAAGATTTAGCTATTGTAAGCTGTGCTGCTCACACGTGTATATATCCATTATCCATTGTCTCTTGGGTGTGAGAAATTGAAAGTGTAAAAAAGGACCAAAATGTACAACAGGTATTGTGAGACAGGAGGAAAATGTTCAAATGGGGAGGTGAACAAGGGAGAGGGGAAGGGGAAAGGAAAAAAGTTAAAAAATGAGAAAGAGAGGAAAAAATGGAACCAAATCTTTTGTAAATGGGGAGGGAAGGAGAGGTTGAACAGTGTCTACAAGAATGGGGGATATTCAGTTACTACAGAGAGAAAAAAAATGGATAATCATGTACAGGTACAAATGTTTTATGACATATGTGATCATTATATGTATCTAAAATGTACCAATAAAATATAATTTAATAAAACTGTGCTGCTATAAACATGGGTATGGCATGTGTCACTGTAATATGGTGATTTTAACTCGTTCAGTACCTTGTAGGGGAATGCTGGGCCAGATGAATGTCTGTTTTTACTTCTTTGAAACAGGATCTTGTAGTCTAGGCTGGCCTTGAACTCACAGCAATTCTCCCGCTTCAGTCTCTCAAATGCTGGGCTTCTAACCGTGCGCCACTATATCCGGCCCTCTACTTTTGGTTTTCTAAGGAATCTGCATACTGATCTCCGCAGAGTTTACATTCCCACCAAGAATGCGTAAGGGTTCTTTTTTTCCCCCTGCATCCTCACCAGCATGTTAGTAGATTTTTTGATGATAGCTATTCTTTCTGGGATAAGATGGCATCTCAGTGTAGTTTTAATTTGCATTTCTGATGGCCGGCAATATGAAACATTTCTCATGTATTTACTGGCCACCTGTACTTCTGAGAAGTGTGTATTCATTTTGGTTGCCCTTTTATTGATGGGGCCTTTTGTTCTCAACAGGGTATAGTCTACATGTCAGTCCTGGTTCAAGGACTAGCTGGCAAAATTTTTTCCTGCTCTATAGGTTGTCTCTTCACTGTTGTTTCCTTTGGTGTGCAGCTTTTTATTTTTATTTTTTTTTCTTTTTTGTCTTTTTCCTTTTTATCGGTACTGGGGATCGAACTCACGACTGCCTGCTTGCAAGGCGGGCGCTTATGTGTGCAGCTTTTTAATTTGATGTGATTTCATTTGTTAATTCTTGGAATTATTTCTTGTGCCATTGGGGTTCTGTGCAGAAAGTCTTTGCCTAGTCTTTTAAAGTTTTACCTATTTTATCTTCCAGCAGATTGTTTTAACATTTAGATCTTTCATGCATTTTGATTTTAGCTTAGAACATGTGATTATCTGTCTCTACTCTATTTTTTGCCTGTGGATATCCAATTTTTCCAGTACCATTTATCAAAGAGGCTATGTTTCCTTCAGAATGTTTTTGGTTTCTTTGCCAAAGTTGACCATGTCTGGAGTTGTTTCTGCTTCCTCTGTGCTGTTCCACTGATCTGCATTTCTGTTTCTGTGCCAGTATCATGCTGTGTTTATCACCATAGCTTTGCAATATAACTTGGAATCTGGGATTGTGGTGCCTCCTGCGGGGATTTTATTACCCAGAATTGCTTGTACGGTTCTAGGTCTTAAAGAAAGACTTCTAAGTGCAACTGTATGAATTTCGTGTAGCCTTGCAAAGGTTTTTCTCATTTCTTTTTTGGCATTTTGAGTTTATAAATAGCATCATTAGGCTTAACTGTACACATAAAACTATAAAAGTGGACTTTTCTTTTTTTTAAACAAATGTGCACAAGGTTGGCTGAAATAAATTTCTTTTGATGATGCAAGTTAATGTCTACATTATGAGATACTTATAAACCCAGGTTACATAATTAGAGCAGACTGACATTTTTCCTGTAAGTTAATATGAACTATTTTTCTAAAAGTATATTATTTATTTTGGTACTGGGGATTAAACCTAGGGTGCTCTACTACTGAGCCCTTTTTCTTGCTAAGTTGTTTAGGTAGGAGTTGAGCCTGTGATCCTCCTGTGCTAGAACTACAAATATGTGCCACCATGACAGGACAATATGAACTTATAAAACTTGTTACTACACTCAATATAGCCAAAAGGCTAAGAAGCAATTAAAACTCATTACTAGAAAGCAATATTTCCTAATTTTCAAAGATGAATATGTGGAGGTTATGTTTTTTGATTGACTGACTTATTGTTTTTGTTTTGTTGTTTTTTGAGACAGGGTTTTACTCTGTGGTCCAGGCTGGCCTTGAACTCACTATGTAGCCTAGGCTTTATTCTTAGGTTTTAAGAATTTTGTTTGGTCTTATATAGGCTCGTGAGATCATCCAAAAGAAATAAAAGTTGGGGCTGGGGATTTAGCTCAGTGGCATAAGCGCCTGCCTTGCAAGCAGGCAGTCGTGAGTTGGATCCCTGGTACCGATAAAAACGAAAAAGACAAAAAAAAAAAAAAAAAAAAGAAAAAAAGAAATAAAAGTTAATTTCAGGAGCTTGTTTTACCATCCATGACTTCATGAATTTATCCTATTCATCAGCAAGTTTATTCAGAATGAATTATAACAGAAGCTTTGTGTAAATTTGATCCACTATAAAAACAATTACTCCTGACTTGATGGTACATGCCTGTGATCTCATCACTCAGGAGACTAAGGCAAGAGGATCGACACAAGTTTAAGGCCAGACTGAGATACATAACAAGATCAAAGTCAGCCTGAACTACACAGTGAGACCCTGTCTCAAACCTAATCAACCAACCTACTTACCTATATATTTATGGTAAGCACAAAATGCTGTCTTTTGTTGAGACAGGGTCTTGGTAGGTAGTTCCAGATGGCTTTGAACTCACATGTGGCTCATAGTGCTGGCTTCAAACTCACAGCAATCTTTCTGTCTCAGCCTCCTAAATGCTGGGATAAGGTTATTTCTAACATTCATTTTCTCAGCCACACCCATCTTTCACTATTTGCTCAGTTTAAAATTTATAAATGTTCAACTGTTAAATACTTAAAGAGTGCTTTTGCGGCTTTACGGTGCAGTTCAGTCTGTAACCTAAGCATGGTTTATATTCATAACATATGCAATAGACTGGAATATGAAAAATTCTCCAAACTTCACTGTTTAATGTTGCTTTGACATCATAACAACTGTAAGTTGTACACATATCCAACAGACCTTTTTGGGTGGAACGGTGCAAGTTTGTCCGGGACAGCGCAGAGTGTACAAGAAGTAACGGTTTATAACTGTGTAAAAGCGTCCAAGTGTACTAAATGCTCAATAAAGCATGGCGAATAGGCTGGCGTGGTGTGCTCGCTTGTAATCTCAAAACTCTGGGAGGCTGAGGCAGGAGGATCCCAAATCCAAGCTCAATCTGCGCAATTGTGACAGACTGTCTGGCCGAATCTGAAGCCTTTAAGAAAAGGCTGACTCGTTCCCAAACTTCAGACTCAGCATCAGGTGTGCGACACGACTATGGAGCTAGCATGAAGAATCAATGATTTCATGAAACAATCGCCAGAAAGAAAAGGAAAGGAGAGCTGAGGCAGGGGTTCCGGGCGAGGCAGAGGCTGCAGCCGCGGTTTGGGTGGGAGGCCGGGCGATGCCCAGCCCAGGGCCGTGCGTCACTTACCAGGCCAGGCCCAAGCACGTCCCCAGCGACAGCAGGCTCAGCCCGGTGCGGGGGTCTGCCCAGCCCCCGCGCGTGTCTCCCTGGGCCTCGGGGCTCCTCCTGCCCTCGCTCCGCTTCCCAGGCTCCGCCGGGGCTGCCTTGGGCCCCGGCTTCTTCCGGTTCTTCACTTCGGCCATTTCTGGGGGCCCAGAGAACCGCGATCCGGGGATGGCTGCTCAGGGGGGGCAGCGGGACGTGGCCACTGGAGCATCTCTGGGAAGCCTCGCCCCTCGTAGACTCAGTCCCGCCCAGAAACCAGCCCCTTTTCTCTCCGGGCCATTCTCGCAGCCGCTCCACTAAGCCTCCCAGCCAGCGGATTCCTCCACCCTAACAAGACAGCGACTGACCTATCCCCTCCTCCGCTCTCACGGGCGCGCGCGAACTGTCCCGACGTCAGGGCGCGGGGGCGGGGCCACGCATGCCACGTCGAGCGCGTCGCTCCTTCAGCTCGTAGGAACGCGGAGCGCCCCTTGGTGTGACCACGCCCCCTCGCGGTGTGGCGGTGCTTTCCGAGCATGCGCGCCGCGCATAAGCCAGGGCTGGCGCGCGCGCGGCCGCCGCCCTCAGGCGTCCGGCGCGTGTGTATTTGCATGCGTGAGCGCGCGCTGTCTGGGCTGGGCGGGCCGCGCAGGTTTTGACTGTTCTGCGGTCCTGAGGCGGCGGCAGGAGGAAGAGGTAGCCTGTGGCGCGAATAATTCCTGCCTGGGGCCAGGCCTGAGCGAGCCTCTGGAGTGAGGGTCGGGGCCGCGGCAAACACGGGGGACCTGACTGACCGCGGTGGCTCTGGAGGGCGCGAGGGGCAGCCCGAGTGGTCAGCGAGCCTTTGTGTCCTGGAGGCGGGGTGCGGGCGCCCGGGTGACGCCCCTGTTCCTCCTCGGAGGTCCCGGGGGCGGAGGGAGGCACCTAGGAGCCCGGACCTGCCGGGGTGCCGGGTCCGGGAGCAGCGGCCGGGGTTCCATGTAGAGCTCGTCTCCGTCGTCCCCTCCGAGCTCTCACCGTCCCCGCCGCAGGACTGCGCTCCCAGTTGAGCCCAGGCTCCCGGGGCTGGGTGAGTGACCTACCGCCTGTCTCCCCAAAGTCCGGGAGGGAGCCTCCGGGTGTTTGATCACCATCCTGCTCCGGGACGGGGAAGAGACAGTATCTAAAGAGGAAGTGGTAGACTATTACAGTCTTGCTGGATGAACTTACTCTTTGTATTTCATGTCTGAAAAGTTTTGGTTTTCGTCTTTGGAAGGAGAGAAAGACTTCCCATTTTACTGTGTCTACAGAGGGTGGGAGGTTTTGAGAATTTTTTCATCACATTTCAATTTGTGCAAAGTTTTTAAATGTGTTTAAGACTCATTACGTATTTCAGTTTAATAGGTCTAGGTAAAACTGGAAATTAGTTTCAGGTTGCCAGTGTCTTTATTTGCTTAGCTAGTGGACATAATCTGAAAAAGTACATTTCTGTTTAAGTCGAATTTTCTTGGTGTAAGTTGAGAAATGTGCTAACATTTTAAAAATATGATAGCCTAGATTCTAATTATAAGTTTCTTTTAGTCTGTTTCCCGCCAGTGCTGGTGCATTGTACTATCCTCGACAAGCATAGGCAAACTACTTCCCTATTTCTTAAAGTACTACATTTGGTGACTTTTAAAAAATACTTGCATTTCCCAATCTCACTGTTGGCTGGGTTCTGAGCCTTTGAACTATTTATGCTTATCTCTGGTTTTGCACTTGAGACATTCACATTCTAATTACTGCTCTTTTCCTAGATTGTGAATTCCTTCAGGGATATGATTTAATCTTTGCCATGTCTGGCCTACAGGCAGAGTTCAAATATGTATTGTTTACCTAAGTTTATAAAGTAATTTAGACATCTCTCTGCAATTCTTTGGGTGGAGTTCTGCATATGTTTTAAAAACTTGTAGGCATCCTGAGCACAGCCTTAAATCCATGGAAGAATTTGCATTATATTTGAAGCAAAATTGATATGAACTTAAAAGTATTTTGCGGTAAGGAATATTACACTTTGAGCATGGAGACACATACCTGTAATGGTAACTCTCAGAAGGCTGAGTTAAGAGGACCCAGAGTTCAAAGCCAGTCTCAGTAATTCAGTAAGTTCAATGCCAGCTTGGACTATGTAGAGACCCTGTCTCAAAGGAGAAGGAAAAAAATACTCTGGGTTACCTTTTAGTCCAAGAAGTTACATCAGAGGGTATTTCCTGTTGCTTTGTGAAAGTGCTGACTAATGAAAATCTGGAGCTGGTTCCCACTTTGAATGAGAACTAATAATTCCAGCAATGCTTTCTTTAGTCTTTATGTTGGATAAAGAGAACAAGATGTTTTTTAAACATTTGGACTTAAATAGAGTCACTGATTTATAAAATCTTAATTTAAAAAAAAGGATCTTTTTGTTGTAAAAATGATGTGTACTGAAAAAATTAAGACAATACACAAAAAATGTATGAGTGAGAAAGGAGTAAGGAAGTCTTAGTATTCAGTAGCCCAAATAATTTAATGAAAAATTTCAAAACATCATATGTTTATATGGTGTCAACACATTTTTTGGTTATATATGGGGTCATGGGTCATGTATCTACTTTTTCTTTTTCTTTTTTATCGGTACCAGGGATTGAACTCTCGACCACACACCTGCAAGGCAGGCGCTTATGCCACTGAGCTAAACCCCCAACCCATGTTTCTATTTTTTCAATCAGCATTGTGCCTTGAACATCTTCCCATGTATGTCTTATTCTTTAAATGCCTGCATAACATTCTGTTCTGTATGTTCACCATGATTTTTCAAAATTCCATTTTAAGAATAATAGACACTTAGTTGTGCTCATTTTTTCTCACCTTATCACTCCATTAATTCTTTCTGTGGACAGTTTTCATACATAAATGATGTTCTTATTGATTAAAAAATTTATTTTAAAGAATAAAACAAAATAAAGCAGAGCAAAGCAAATTAGAAAAGAACAATGCAGGTAACACAAGACTTCAAAACAACAGCAGGATGTCAGCAGTGGCTACCACACTCTCTTGTTTTCTTTGAAATAGGTGACCATACCTTCACACACAACATCAAACATAGCAACATGTATAAAACCAATCAAAAGAAGGAAAGTGAAAGGTTCTTGCCTTAGTAGAAATTATGGCAGTGGTCTAAGGTGGCAGAAGGCCAAAGCGGGAAGCCCACCACTTCCTGCTTCTTCCTCAGCCTTAATTGCAAGTCCCCTTCCTGTTTGCACCAGAAGAAAATTCCAGTTGACAGTGCCCCGCCTAAGCACCAAGAGGTTATATGCATATCTCATGCTCCACATTCTGGCCAGAGAAAGCCAGGCCGCTGGTGGTCATGGACTTCTCTACACCTCCTTGGAATAAAGACTATTTTTACTTTATATTTTCTCTTTTATCACACCAAAAACTTTCAGAAAGCATTACAGGACTTCAAAACCAGATAACAGGAAATGAACAGTGGTTACTGTAATGTCTCATTTTCTTCAGAAAAGTTATCCATACTATCACACATAATAAAATAAAACAACAGAATAGACCCAATAAAAACAAAATAATAAAAGCATAATAGGACTTCAAAACAAGATGATGGGAAATCAGCAGTGGCTACGGTACTACCACGTCTCATTTTCTTCAAGATAGTTGTTACCATCACACATAATACAATCAAACAAAACAACACCAATTTAACTAATGAAAGCTTTGTAAGACTTAAAAACAACGTAATAGGAAACCAACCATGATTATCATAATACATCCCATTATGTTCAAAATAGCTGCCCATACCATCAGATACAGTAAAATCTAACAAAATAAGACAGAACAAAGTCAAACTTAACGAACTATGAAATCAATACAAGAGTAAAGACAAGACAATAAGAAATTAACACTAGTTACCACCTTTCCCTCTCAGATGTTTCCTCCCCTATTCTACAGTAATGATTTTGCTTTTTGGATCCCATTAACTCCTTCAGTTTTTTATGCTAGGGTTTACCTGTATGAGTTCAGACTGTTACGCCCATGAACATGATCTCCAGTTGCATCCATTTACCTATAAGAGCCTCAAGATTATTCTGCTTTATAGCTATGTAGGTTTTCATTGTATGAAAATACCATATTTTTCTTACCCATTCCGCGAGTGGTGGTCAAGTTACCCTTGCTTTGTTTCTGGTCTACTGTCCCATGGAACAATTGTTTTTTCTCCTTTGATTTTCAGTCTATGAATTTCCTTTCCAGTTAAATGTTTTCTTGTGTACAGTATATTGATGGATCTTGTTCTTGATCTACTCTCCTCCCTGTGTTTCTTTGTATTGCTGAATTGAGGCCATTTACATTAATGGTTACAACCAGCATACATTGGTTTGTCTCTGCCATGCTGTCTTCCTGCTGTTGGCTCTCCATTCTTCCCTTTTATTCAGTTGCCTGTCTTGTTTGGTGATCCTCCTCTTCTGCTGCTGTTCCTGGAATCATGGTCATCTTTCTCTCTCTCTAGAATATCCTTTAGCAGGAGAGCTGTAGGGTTGGTTTGGTAGTCATGAATTTCTTCAGTTGTTCTTTATCATGGGAGTATCTTATTTTCCCATCAGTGTTGAAAGATTTGTAGGGTACATCAATCTGGGTTAGAAACACTTTCAGGATTTGAAACACTTCAAACTCTTCTTAACTTGATGATTTATATTGACAAGTCTGCTGTGATTCTGATTGGTTTTTCTTTAAAGGTGATCTGTTCTTTTCTCAAACAGCTCTTAATATTCTGTTCTTGGGCTGAATTTCTGGAATCTTGTTTATTGTATGTCTGGGTGTAGATTTGCTTTGGTTCTGGCTAGTTGGGAGTTCTGTATGCCTCACTTATCTGCATGCCAGATCCTTTTCCCATGTTTGGGAAGTTTCCTGCTATTACTTCTGTAAATAGCCTTTTAATTTCATTTGTGTTGACCACTGCTTCTTCACTGATACCTATCACTCTTATATTTATGCTTCTTAGCATCATGTGGCATCTTTTGAATTATTTCCTGATTTCTTACTGTTTTTAAGAGATCTTTCCTTTCATGATCACTAGCTGCAATCCTGTCTTCAAGGTTTGAAAGTCTATCTTTAGTCTCTTTTAAGCGGTTTTGCCTGCTTTCAATTGACTCTGATTTCCTGGATATCTCCTTGAATCTGTTTCATGCATTGTAGTTCTTTCTATATTGCTCAATTAAGGTTCCCATCATTTTCCAATACTCCTCTTTTTTTTAATCTATGTCTTTACATATGCTGAACAGTTCTTTCGTTATGTTTGTGATTTCTTCTTTTACCTGAGATGTTATTTCTGATTTGATTGCTTTTACAGTCTCATGGAAATTGTTTCTTCAGTTGCTATCCTCTCAAGAGATTTTCAGGTGTGTGACTTCTGTTTTCTTCCATGACTGTATCTCCCAGACTTTTTCTGTGTGGGCTAGAGATCTGAGATTGCCTTTTGCTCCTTCATCTTGACATTCTCCTGGGTTCCTCCCAACAAGCTGGTTGTGGGGACCCAGGCACTTCCCATGTTGGCAGCCCCTCCATGGTGTAGGGGGATGGGACAGGCACCTGGGTTCCTTTGACTCCAGATTTACAGGGAGGTAGGAGAGGATGGGGTGGGCTTTTCCAGACCTCTGCAGCTACACTGGTGCTTCTTCCCTGATCACCAGGGATGCGTGGAGGTGGGGCTGCTTCTCTCAACCTGTGTGTTTACACTAGGACTCCCACGATGGTGGCAGGCACACAAGGGTGTGTTTGTCTGATTCTCCCAGTGGGTGATGGCTGCCCAAAGGAACCAAGGACCTCCAGTGGTGGCCTACAGGTGCACGGGGTTTACCTGGCTCTGTTCCTGCTCCTGCCTGCAGAAAGGAGCCTTCTGGTGGCGGTGGCCATCAGGTAGAGGCTCCTTGCAGATTTTTTAGAAGTGGGATTTCTGGGTTATAGAGAATGTTTTTTTTTTTTTAATTTGCTTTGCTTTATTTATTTACTTTTGGTTTTTTTGAGACAAGGTCTGTTCAAACTGGACTTGAGCTCACTTTGTAGACCAGGCTGGTCTTGAGCTTGTAATGATTTTCCTGCCTTAGCCTCCTGAGTGCTGGGATTACAATCCCAGTGCCACCACACATGGCCTTGTTGTAGATTTTTTTTTTTTTTTTGATACCAGTGTTTGAACTCACGACCTTATACTTGCCAGATAGGCGCTTATGGCACTGAGTTAAACCCCTGGCCCTGCTGTAGAATGTTTAAGACACAAGAAGACTACTGGAAACGGAGGATTTTACTGAGCATGCCTAACTCAGTTGGACTTCGGTCCAGAAGACTGAGAACAAAGGAAAATTTCTAGGTTTTATACATGTGGCGGTGTGTGTGTGTGTGTGTGTCTGTTTAGTGGAGGATAACAGGCAGAGGCAGTTGTTCATGTAGTGACAGTTTGTTAACTTTGAACCTTTTGAACATTGTGAGGATGAGAATGCCATAAACTTGGATATTGTGGATGCCATGGGAGGTTCCAGGGCTCTTCGTTCAGAACCGTAATGGTCCTTATCAGAACAGAGCAGAGGTCAGCCTTGAAGGAAAATATCCTGGTGGAAACAGGATGATGCCACAGGACTCTGCAGGAGTCTAGTTGTTGTCCTTATACATAAGCTTGTAGAGGCATATCCCTGTCGGGGAGGGCAGCTGGGCAGAATTTGCTCAAGCTTGATTTCCTTCTGTGTTCTGCTTTAGTTCAGGTTGGCCTTGAATTCACTGTGGGCCCAGGCTGGCCTCAAGTTCATGGCAGTCTTCCTGCTTTTTAGCACCACAAGTGCTGGGCTTAGGGCTGTGCATCACCATGCCTGGCTGAGTGATGTCCATTTAAAAAGCCTTACCAAAAGAAAAAAAAAAATCAAGCTTCCTTTACAATTCTTGACTATCAGTGGGGTTCCACATCCTGTTTATTTATTTTGGGATACTGGGGACTGAACCCAGGGCATTCACATTGCTATAGCCCCACTTCATTTTTTATTTTGAGAAAGGGTCTCACTAAATTACTAAATTGCCCAGGTTGGGCTCAGACTTGCTGACCTCCTGCCTCAGCCTCCCGGAGTTCTGGGTTACAGGTGTGTGCCACCATCTTTTCATATGTTTGCACATCTTTTCATATGTTTATTGTCCTGACAAATATTTCCATGTTTTGCCTGTAGCTCATGGTTGACAGCTCAGAGAAAAGAGACTTTGAGAGAGGATGGATGCCAAAGCTCGAAATTGTTTGCTTCAACATAGAGAAGCTCTGGAAAAGGACATCAAAACATCCTACATCATGGATCACATGATTAGTGATGGAGTTTTAACAATATCAGAGGAAGAAAGAGTAAAAAACCAGGTAACACCTGTTCAGATGGTCTGTATTTTTTTCCTTAAAATTCCAGAACTTGTATAATTCTTCATTAATTTATGTTGCAAACATATTTATCACTATATACTGATTTTTTTTTTAGCCCAGTAACCATCAGCGAGCAGCTACACTAATTAAAATGATACTTAATAAAGATAATCCTTCCTACATATCATTCTACAATGCTCTGCTGCGTGAAGGATATAAAGATCTTGCTGCCCTTCTCCACAGTGGCATGCCTGTGTTTTCGTCCTCCAGTGGTAAAGATTCAGCCAGTGGAATAACTTCATATGGTTTGTATCTTGATACCTTCAGTCGCTGTCATGATGTTATGATACTTGCTAACACGAGGGCCACCTCACTCTAGTATGTCTGAGATATTCTAAAGAGAGTACGACAAGTTCACTGAAAAATGCGTGTGGAAAAGTTTTAGTGTTTTCATTGTAAGTATGTCTTACATGCATCCATGTTAACAGATTTTCTTCACACCCAGAGAAACATTTATTGCTGCAATAATAATGTGTACCTTAATTTTTAGAGAGAATAAGACTGTCATGGTGCTTATTTACTTTGTAGTTCTGTGTATTTTAGAGTTAATAGGAAAGATTAAAAATATCTAGAAATCTGCATACTTGAAAGAAGTTCCGTAAACATTCTTCCCTTGACATTCACCTTCCCAGACTTCCTTTTTAAAATTAAAAAAAAAAAAAAAAAAAAAAAATCAGTGCTGGGGAGTGAGCCCAGGCTGCAGACATGGTGGGCGGTGTGCTTTCTGCTGCTGAGCTGTGCTCCTTCCCTTTCCCAGCCTTCAGCAGAGATGAGGTGGCTGGAGAGTCAGGGAGGAACGAGGTGTGGGAGGCAGGTACAGATGGAGATGTCACGGTCTTGAAGACTGTATGTTTGCTTTTGTTTCTGTGTCCCAAGAAGTCAGAAAGTTTAATGTGATAACCACATTTTCTTATTTTTCTTGAAAATTCTGAGACTATGACCTTAGCCTGGCACTTTCTATTTTTTCTTTTCTTTTTCTTTTTTTTTTGTATTAAGTAGCCATTTCAAGGTTTCATTCATTCCTGCTTCTTTTGGATTTCAGTAACAACAGTGCTGTGCGAAGGTGGAGTTCCACAGAGGCCAGTTGTTTTTGTTACTAGGAAGAAGCTGGTGAACGCAATTCAGCAGAAGCTCCGGAAACTCAGTGGTGAACCAGGGTGGGTCAGCATCTATGGCATGGCCGGCTGTGGCAAGTCAGTGTTGGCTGCAGAAGCTGTTCGAGATCATTCACTCTTAGAGAGTAAGGCTTTTCTTTAAAAAAAGTTTTTTTTGGCTGTGTTCTGTTTTTCAGATTTATTTATTTATTTTTAAAGTCTTTATGAAGTTAATTACAAACACAGGTTAACAGCCAGAGTAACAGACCCAAAAACATTACTGGATTAAATCAAAGTGTATTTTTAGATACATTGGCTGTGCTGGATTACAAATTCTTTTTTTACCCCAGAATTTTATATATTGGGTTTCTCATTTAAGAGAAACCATGAGCTTATTTAAACTCACATGCCTGATTTATTTTACTTAACATTATCCTCTCAAGATGTGTTCACTTTCCTACAAATGACTCGTTTATCCTTCTTTATTGCAGAGTAGGTTAGAATTTGTATAAATTCTACTTTTTTTTTTTTAATCCATTCAACTGTTAATTGGCATATAGGCTGCTTCCAGGATTTAGCTTATATGAATTGTGCTGTATGTATGTTTCACTGTAATATGATAATATATGATGTCTTCTTTCAGGAAGAAGATACATGGGGAGTAGTTGGGTCAAATGGAGAGTTTTCTGGGGACTCTCCATACACATTTTCACAATGGTTGTGTCAGTTTGTTGTCCTACCAAGAATGTAGAAGGGTTTCTTTTCTGCCCCTGTGTTACTGATTTCTTGATAATGGCCATAGAATCTCAGTGTTGTTTTGATTTGTATTTCTCTAATGGCCAGCAAGGTTGAACATTTTTTGCGTATTTATTGGCCATTTATACTTCTCTGAGAAGTGTTGATTCATTTTGATTGCCCACTTTTTGATTGGATCTTTTATGGGGAGGTTCTAATTTTTTTGAGTGCTCTAGATATCAGTCCTCGTCTAAGGAATAGCTGGTGACATTTTTTTCTCATTCTGTAGGTTATCTGTTTACTTTGTTGGTTTTTTTCTTTTTTTATGGAGAAACTTTTAAATTTCTTTTTCATTGTTGATTCTCATGTGGTATTATTTCTTGTGTCATTGCATTTCTGTTCAGAAAGTCCTTGTCTATGCCTGTGCCTTCAAGAGTTTTACTGATGTTGTCGTCCAGCAGATTGTTCTGTTTTAATGTTGAAATCTTTGATCCGTTTTGATTTTAATTTAGTGCATATGGATCCTGGTTCCATCTTTGGCTGTGGTAAGCCAGTTTTCCCGGAACCATTTGTTAAAGATATTTTTTTCCAGCAAAAATGTTTGGACCCTTTGTCAAAGATAATGTAGCTGAATATGCCTGGAGTTGTTCCTATATTCTCTATTCTGCTCTCATTTTTCCAATACCATACTGTTTTTATCAAAGTAGCTTTTTAGTATAACTACAAGTTTGGGATTGTGATGCTCCCTGCCTTGCCCTGTTGGCCAGAATTGCTGTTGCTATTTAAGTCTCTTCTGGTTCTGTATGAATTCTAGGATTGCTTTCTCTGGTTCTATGAAGAATGCTATTATTGGTATTTTGATTGGAACTGTGTTAAATCTGCATAATAATTTTAGAGGCTTGGCCATTTTTATAATACTGGTTCTACCTCTCTAGGAATGGGAACGTCTTTCCATTTTCTGATGTCCTGTTTGAGCTTCATTTCTGTCTGTCTGTCTGTCTGTCTGTGTGTGTATCTCTCTCTGTGTCTCTCTCTGACACAGGGTCTCACTATGTAGTTTAGGTTTGTTTTGAAGTTACTATGTGGACCCCAAACTCAGGGTGATTCTTCTTCAGCCTCCCAAGGACTGAAATTACAGGCACACACCACCATGTATGGTTCATTTACTTTTTTCAGAGCATGGTAGGAGACCTTTCACTTCCCTGGTTAGGTTAATTCCTGTTGGGACATTCTGCTGTGTACTTGGCACCCTATATTAATTTAAACTATTACAGGTGGCTTGATTTCTATAATTAATTCTATTGGTTGCTTATCTTTGAAAGTAAACTTACCATGTGTGTAAACTCCAACAAGAAAACCTGGGCGTTGACTATAGCAATTGATGGCTTTTGCATGTAGGCTTTATAGATTCCTTTGACATCTGGTGACTGACTTCTTGATGCTATTTTGGAAGGTTTTTTTTTCCCCCAGTTTCTCTCTTGGTGAGCTCATTGTTGGGTATACAGGAATGCTATTGATTTTTGTGGGTTGACTTCATATCCTGCTATGCTAATAAATTGAGTTATTAATTAATTCTAGGAGTCCTTTGATAGAATTTTTGGGGTCGTTTATGTAGACGATCTTGTCATTTGCAAATAATGATAGTAATTTCACTCCATCCTTTCTATCCACATCCCTCTTATTTCTTTCTTTCTTTCTTTTTTTTTTTTTTTTTTTTGTCTTTTTCCTTTTTATCGGTACCGGGGATCGAACTCACGACTGCCTGCTTGCAAGGCAGGCGCTTATGCTGCTGAGCTAAATCCCCAGGCCTCAATCTTATTTCTTTCTTTGCCTCACTGCTCTGGCTAATGTTTCTAGAACCATATTGAACAGGAATGGTGATAGCAGACAGAGCATAAATGTTGACCACTGTGTGTTGCTGGCTCAGGAAATAATTTTTCAAGCATCATGTGAGTTTCCTATTGCTGCTGGTAATAAATTACCACAAATTTAGTGACTTAAAACAACACATTTAAGCCAGGGATTTAGCTCAGCGGGAGTTCAAAGACATTTCTTGACTTCTAGCAGTAAACGCCTGCCTGGCAAGTGTGAGGTCGTGAGTTTGATCCCCAGTACCAAAAAAACAAACAAAAAAATTATTATCTTTCAGTTCTGGAGGTTTTTAACTTGGCTAAAACCTTATCCATAGTGTTAGCAGCACTGAATTCCTTCAGAACGCGCTCAGGAGAATTCTTTCCCTTAAATGTTCCACCCTTCCGAGGAGGCTTGCTTTCCTTGACTCCTGGTCCCGTCTCAAACCTGGCCTTGTCCGGGACCCCGCCCGCCTTCTTCTCTCTGGTCTTTGCTTCTGTCTCCCATTTCCTTTTTTGATCTTCTTACCTCCCTCTAATAGGGTCTTCCTGATTACTTTGGGCTCTGAGATTACTTTATAAGCTGAGGTAATATCAAAATATTTAATCTGGTCAAACCTACAAATCCTGTTTTGCCAGATAAGGTAACATAAGTGGATTTTTTTGGGGCCATTATTCTATTTATTCCAGGCATGGTTAAATTTGGAATTTATTTTCTACTTTGTCAAAATGAGGATTGGTTAGCTAGGACAATTAAGTTCACAAAAGTATCAGAGGCTATGAAATATTACTGGAGTGAAGCTGATTCACTTGTATCTGAACAATTGAGATGACTGAAAAAGAGTTTGAAGGTTGTCCAGTTTTACACGACTGCCTTCAGGTGGGCCAAGACTTGCACCTTCCTAACAGTGTCTGTTTTGGCATGGAGGGCAAAAAGGAAAGAGTTTCTTACAAACTCAGTTCTATTAGTGACTTTTGCTGTTGGGGCATTCTGCTGTGTACTTGGCATCCTATGTTAATTTAAACTATTACTAGTGTTTGATTTTTATAATTAATTTTATTGGTTGCTTAACCAAGAAGAAACCTGGGTGTTGACTATACACCTGATGGATTTTTGCAGGTAGGCTTTATAGATTCCTCTGACATCTGGTGACTGACTTTTCGTGCTTCGAGTGTTTATACGTTCAGTAAATGTTTGAGGCTGCTCTGAGGTTAACAGTTTTGGATGCAGGGTATCCAAAAAGAAGAAAAAGTCTCTACTAGACTAAACACACATAACCAGATTGTGTACTGTATGTGTGGTAAATGGAGCAGTGGAAATGGTACAGGGGGAGGAAGAGGATGGTAGGGTCGTTTTCCTGAATGAGAAGACATCTCAGCTGGAGTTTGGAGGGAGAATGAAAGTGTGCTCAGTAGGGGTGGGGAGTAGTGATGGAGTGGTGGGCAGGTGTCCTCTCAGTCACCGTAGCAGGGGCGCCTCTGGCCTCAGCGACCTGGTGGGCTCCAGGGTATCCCTTGGAGTAGGTGTCGCTTCCTTAGTGCTTTGCTGCCTTCATTCCTTAGTGAATGCCCTCTGTGTAACACTTCCTGGGGAGTTCAGAGACATTTCCTGACTTCTAGCAGTAATTTCGTCTTCTTTTTTTGCACACAGGTTATGATCTGTTATGACAGTTTAGATGACAGATTGAATGGATTAGCTAGAAGGCTCTAAGATTTGAAAAGATGGAGTTTGGGGAACATTTGTTGAATACACAGAATATTTGTTTATAACTTGGTAGCCTTTGTTTACCGCAGTCATTACACTCTTGTCAGGAGCGTGCCCCATTCCTGATCCTTGTCATCACAGAGAGTTTACCCTTGTTATTCTTATTGCTGTCCATGAGGTTCGCTTGTTTTAGCCTTACTACTCACATGTAGCTCTCTGCTGTCTTTGAAGTCTGCCTTTGTGGGTCCACTAGTTTAGGAGAAGCTGCACCCTGGGGCTGTGTGTGTAGCTTAATGATGGAGCGCTCACCTGGCTAATATGGGTAAGGCCCTGGGTTTGATTCCTAGCACCTCAAAAAAAAAAGGGATACTTCCCCAAAGATTCTGATCTATAGAGTTAACGTCCTTTCTGCAGTATGGGATCCTTGAGTTTTGGGCACTAAAAACTTTTTTTTTGGTAACAGAGATCTTACGACCGGGTGCTTATCAGGCAGGGGCTTATGCCGCTGAGCTAAATCCCTAGCTGAAACCTTTTCTTTTTTAAATACAAATATTATGATTCAAACTTGATTAAAACTGGGATTCTTAGAGTAATATATAGGTTATTTTTGGGTGGTGGTTGATCTGAATTAAATACTAGATTTTTAATTATGACTGTACATTTAAAATAACCTAATTTTCTATTGAAAGTTTCTTATTTGTAGGTGAACTGTTCCTTTTATACTACTGTACTTGTATGCTGAGGTTTTTTAAAAAAATCTTTTGAGGCAGGGTTTCATTGTGTAGTTCAGATTGGCCTTGAACTCCCTATGTAGCCCAGGCTAGTGATGTTCTTTGGCAGTCTTCCTGCTTCAGCCTCCTGAGTATTCAGATTACAGATGTGTTGTCACACTTGGCTATATGCAGAGTTTTTAAAGCATGGACACCTTTTTCACAGGCTGCCTATGTATTTGTTTCTGTCTTTCCCAAGATTTATTTGATACTGTTAGATTATTATTTGCTACTAGGTTAAACTTCACGTTGTAGTGGGATTGGATTTATTTTGTCTGAGTAAAGGCAAATTTCTCTGAATGAACTGTAAGTACAAGCCTCATTCAAGGCTCATTTGCTCCCTCTTGTGCCCAGAGTCAAGATTTTTGCATTGTTTCTGAAATGTGGAAATAATAGTTCAGTATGTAACTAACTGTTATGTGGTTTTGGTAGATTTGCCATTTAGTTTGTTACTTGACTTATTTGTCTGCTTTCCTTTCAAAAACCAGTAGTGACTTCTTTTTTGGCATGTATTTATAATGCCCTAATTTTTTTACTTTTAAAGTTAGGAGGGAAAGCTCTTTAACCTAGGTCTTGAGTACTTAACATGTGGAGTATTTTTAAAGCAGTTACATCAGAATATTTTCTTTGCTTTGTCTTTAAGTATTTTTTTTAACTAGAAAGCACAATTTAATTATAAATATTTATTTGTTTAAAAATCACAAAAGTAGTATTTTCATGTAAAAGAAGCAAAGTTCTTTTCACTTGGCATTCTCTCCCTTCCTCATGAATTCTAATCCTACCCTGAAGATAATCTTCGGTGACAGTTTGAAGTGAAATTTTCAGCATTCTCGGTGCATTTGCATACCACTGCTGCAACATTAAATGAAGCTACAAGAATTTGCTGTTTGAACTCCCAATCCTCTTGCCTCAGTCTCCTGAGTGCTTCTCATTCATTGACTCCATAATACCTTATGTTGCTGTGTGTGTATTTTTCCTTAAGTTATGTGGAGCTGCTTAAATATAGTTTATGAAGACTCGAGAGTTTTGGTTCCTGATACATATGTAAGTAAAAATAATGTGTCTTAAGATACATTGTGGTCTGACACATTCACAGTGGGATTGTAATCTGTATGTCTTGCTGCTGGGCAGCTTGAACCACTGTGGTACATGTGGCACTGCCCCATGTGTGACTGTACCACTTTCATCACCAGTGGTGCAGGCTGCTTGATGGGACAGTCACCAGTGTCCCACTGGTTCAAACCAGGAATGGATGAACAATAATGATGGTAACAGTGATAATAATTGTGGCCATCATTCAAAGTGCTTACTACTTCAAAACATAAAAATGTATTTAAAAGTGATCCATAGGGCTGGGGATTTAGCTCAGTGGCATAAGCACCTGCTTTGCAAGCAGGCAGTTGTGAGTTCGATCCCCGGTACCGATAAAAAGGAAAAAGACCAAAAAAAAAAAAAAAAAAAAGTGATCCATAACACTAATAATTCTGACTATTAGAATAGTTAACATACAATTTCAAATGCCTTAAATTACTGGTTTCTCATAGCAACCCTGAAATAGGTGGAACAGTTTTATTTCAGTGTATCAAATGAGACTGAGATTGTTTGCTATGTATTAGATAGCTAGTAAACTGCAGAGCCAGACTTGAACTTAATTTACTTTAAACATATATATATGAGAATAATAATGAGTGAGCTATGTGTTCCTGGACATCACTGGTGCTTCACTCAGGAGATTGTGTTCTGCAGGGGACATGTGACAGTATTTGGAGACATTCTTGGCTGTCAGTACTGGTGAGGGGAAATCTTACTGGCACCGTGGGGAAAGAGGCCAGGGAGGCAGTTAAACATTCTGTAGTACGTGGGAAAGTCTTGCACAGCAAAGAAAATTATTCAACCCACAGCATTAGAAGCCCTGAGGTGGAGAAATGGTGATCACTAATGCCACAGAACAAAGACTGAGGTTTTGCTTTGTAAGATTTTCCTGATAAACATCAGGTTTACTCCAAACTTCAGTTTGGAGTAAAACTGTTTAGTTTCTCTCAGATTCAAGTTTTAGACCTCAGCAATAATCTCCTATCAAAGTTTATAGACCAAATCAAGGGAAGACACGATGAGATTAAAGTTTGGAGTAAGTCTAATGCTTAGCAGTGAAACCATTCAAAAAGAAACTTCTGCTCAAAGGCCTTATACTTAACCATTCTTTTCCTCATTAGGTTGTTTCCCAGGAGGCGTACATTGGGTTTCCGTTGGAAAGCAAGACAAATCTGGGCTTCTAATGAAACTGCAGAATCTTTGCACACGTTTGGATCAGGATCAGAGTTTCTCTCAGAGGCTTCCTCTTAATATTGAAGAGGCCAAAGACCGACTCCGCATTCTGATGCTGCGCAAACACCCGAGGTACGAGTGGTCGCATTTAGTAGGTATAGGAGACTGCCCTGTGGGCATCTGGGATACGATGCCCTTTTCCTGCTGTCCTGTAGAGGGGACGAAGAAAGAGCTATTGCTTTTCTGCTGCTTGCTCTCTTGTATTAAAAAAAGTTGTCACTTCTTTTCTTTTTTGCATTCTTCTCACCACCTGTCTCATTTGTAGGCCCTAAAGATACGTAGGTGAATTGGCAAGTGGTCCTTGTTAGAATAGAGCATGTTTTCTATTTTGAATCTACTGGTTCTGATGCATTAACATGGAACAAGAAAGAAAATAAAGTTGGCAGCTGGTCAAAGATGGAGGATTTGTGGGACCATTTTGTTAGGTTGTCTTTTTAGAGGTACATGTGTGTATTTCATGAGTTTAGTTTTTCAATAATTGATTAATTCAGCGGTTATGATAATTCTGTGCAAGGCTGTATTATCAACTCAGTTTTTTTTAGCTAGAGGGAGACACAGCGTAGTTGCTGCTTGTTTTAAGAATGTAATCGTATGTACAACCTGAGAAACAGCCAAGTAGCTTGCCCTGAGCAGCTTGGCCCACCGAGGCTTTAAGGAACATCTGGGGACCCTGCACCGAGCCACTGGGCTCTGCAAGGCCATGGGATGGCAGCCTGAGTCCTCAGACACTGGCAGGCACTTCCTCTGGGTCCTCTGGTGTGGCCCAGCCCCTATCATAGCCTGGCAGGCACTGGGCCTCTTCTGTTATTTGTTCAAAGCCTTGCTCACCCTGGTCCGCACACAGCCCTGGAAACCAATAGTACTTGACTGGAAACTCTCATACTTAGAACTGGGCATGCTAGCCCCAGACCTGCTGGGGAATCTGCCCTATGTAAGAACACTGTATCCCAACTGGTGGAGCAGCTTAGGCCACTGAGAACCCACAGGCATTGCTGATACTGACTACAGCTGGGAAACCACATAGATGCTGTATAGTTGTGCCCCTGTGGAGCCACAGTCAGTGTGCCCTGGCAACCAATACTGCACACTATGAGAGAAACTCTATCGTTACCAAAGCCACTACAGGCAACTGATCCATCAACTGTACAGACACCAACATAGGGACCCAAGAAGCATGAAAAAGCAAGGTAACCTCTGAGATCAGAACAAGATATCTGCTTTACTGCTGCCAACTCAGTGTCCTACTGGAAGTCTTAGAGCAGTGATGGCAGGCCTTTTAGAAACCAAGTACAAATTACAGCCCAGGGCCCAGTTACTTAGCACAAAGTGCTGAAACTGCAATTAGACCTGAATACTGAGGATTTACTTTAAAAAGAAATGACCCTACATTAACATCTTGTGTCTTAAAAACTCATGCCATAGGTCTGCCTCCACTATGTTAGAGCAAGAAGTCCAGAGAAGGAAATAAGGCATCCAGGTAGGAAAGGAAGGAGTCTCATTATCCCTGTCGACATACATGCTATGTACCAGTTCCTGTGATCATTTAACCAACTAACTCCCTCCAACAGCTCCTTCTTTAATTGCTCAGCATCTTCAATCCTCTTTCCTTTTGCAAAAAGAAAGCAACTCCTGTATAGGAGAATATTACAGTAATTATCAGATTGTCAGATACAGGAGGCCATAGCTCTGAAGCCTGTCTTTTCTTTGTTTCTCTGTACTATTTGGCTTATACATTTGCATTTTTTTCAACCTGTATATGTATCAGATTTTTTTCTGCTAGAGGAGTAGTATGCTGTTCAGATGAAAATGTTAGTGTATAATTTTGCTTCAGGTTTTAGTTGTATTGTTTCTCTCATTTGTTGTGGTGAGTTAAAAGGTTTTTGGACAGATGTATCAGGAATTAACATAAAAGCCCTTTATTATTTTGAATAAACAAATTGATTTCATGGGTAGAAAATACCATTGTTAATATAATTTATTCTGAGACCATGATATTCTGAGCCCACTGTAACACCAGCACCCTGGAGGCTGAGGCAGGAGGATCATTATGCATTCAAGGCCAGCCTGAACTTCTTGGTGAGACCCTGTCTCAAAATAAAGAAAAATGAAACAAAAAAATGTATAATTTATTCTAATGCTAATAAGCTCAGTTCTAGTTTGGTTTTCATGCTTAAAGACTGAATTGGGTCATTCTGTTATGCGGATAGTTCTCTTTAGGCACTCAATAAGTGATGTCTGGATGAATCAATTTCTAACACTTGTATGGCATACTCACTTTTTTTTGTAGGACAGTTAATTTTAATTTGTTAATATGTTCCGATTTGGGGTGTGAAGAAGAAAAGTGTAGGTTTTTTTAAAATTTGAATCAACGTTTGGAAAGGGAGTATAGCAAGAATTGGAGGAAGAATCATAAGCCAGGCATTTATTCCTTTATTTGGTAGATTTTAAAAACCACTGGTAGGATTGTTTTGAAAGGAAACTGAAAATAAGTATTAGTAGTGATTCATTGTGCTTATTTTTAAAGGTCTCTGTTGATTTTGGATGATATTTGGGATCCTTGGGTGTTAAAAGCTTTTGACAATCAGTGTCAGATTCTTCTTACAACCAGAGATAAAAGTGTTACGGATTCAGTGATGGGTAAGGATGATTAATTTCTATTTTAGTATCTTTACCTGGAAAGGTGCTAAAGGTGTTAATTATTCAGTTCAGGGACATCTGAATATGTGGCATACCAAGTTACTTCCTATGGCTTGCGATTTTCTTGCAGGTCCTAAACATGTAGTCCCTGTGGAGAGTGGCCTTGGAAAAGAAAAAGGACTTGAAATTTTATCCCTTTTTGTTAATATGAAGAAAACAGATTTGCCAGAACAAGCTCACAGTATTATAAAAGAATGCAAAGGTATAGTTCTTTATTTTATGTATGAAGGGGAGCAGCCTAGGTAACTTAGGGAGACCCTGTTTCAAGATTAAAAATGAAAAAGGAAGCTGGGTTTGTAGCTCCGTATGAAGGTCCAGAACCTCCAATGCCACAAATAAAAATCTCCATGTGCCCAGCCATTCAGAATCTCTCTGAACCCTGACCTTTGGGTCTCTAATGGAGGCGACATTGATAGGCTGAGTGATTGGACAGAGTGTGGTCTGAGGCTTCTGAAAGGGGTGGACAAACCCAGGCCCTGTGTGTGCAGGTGCTTTAGGGCTCCCCGCAACATTCCTTCCTTTGGAGGCTGTAGGCTGGGGCACTTTCTACAATAGCACTTGTGTGACTTACTGTCAGACAGAGTAAGTCATAGAATTTATGTGAATTAGCATTTCTGTGACTTACTTTGGGGAAGAGAAGTTTATTTCTGTGGTCCAAATTGAGGAGGGAGTTATGAGCCGGGAACCTTCAGTGGAAGCCAAAGTATTGGTGTCATAATACCACAATTGTTTATTGGATACTTGCATTTAAGAGATTATTCTTGACTCACCTTTTTGTAACATAAGTATTTTCAATTGCTTCTTCTTTTTTAGGAAGTAAAAAGAAATTGTTTAAAATTTTAAATTCTCTATTGAAGCTAGTAGTCTTTTATATTTTTGCAAATATTTACTCAGTTTTTGTATTTACTCTTTGTTTCATATGTAGCTTTTATTTATTTTTTCTATAATGATACTGGAACTTGAATCTAGGGAGTATTGATTACATCTTTAGCTCCTTGTTTTAGTTTTATTTTGAGACAAGAGTTTGCTAAGTTGCAAAGGTTGGCCTCAAGACTTGTGATCCTCCTGCTTCAGAGTATGTACCATCATGGTGGGCTTTACTTGCTGTATTTTTCATATATTAGAATTTGAAACTTCATATACTCAAAAATTTAGATTAAAATAGTTTACATAGTTTTATCCTTTTTGCATATATTATTTTTCCATATTGCTAAATATCTTTTAAAAATTATCAATGGCATGATATTGTGAATTACCTTGATTTGCTCAGTTTTTTACTATTGAACATTTCACTATTATAAATAATTCTGTGATGAAAAGCCTTAAATGAAATTTTCCTTAGTTTTATAATTTCACTAAAACAATTAGAAGTAGACAAGGCAGTTAGGAAAAAGTTAAGATTTTGGGTAATACGCAGTGGAAATTATTTTCAAAACTAGGTTGGTCCAGTGTGGTGATGCACAACACCTTATAATCCCAGCACTCAGGAGGCTGAGGCAGGAGGATTGCTGCATGTTTGAGGCCAGCCTGGCTGTATAGTGAGTTCAAGACCAGCCTGAACTACTTAACTTAGTGGAGAGTTTAAAGATTAGGTAGAATTAACACAGTTACTTTTTTTTTTTTTTTTTTTTTTTTTAGGTTCTCCTCTTGTAGTATCTTTAATTGGTGCACTTTTACGTGATTTTCCCAACCGCTGGGACTACTACCTCAAGCAACTTCAGAATAAGCAGTTTAAGAGAATTAGGAAGTCTTCATCTTATGATTATGAGGCTCTAGATGAAGCCATGTCTATAAGTGTAGAAATGCTTAGAGAAGACATCAAAGACTATTACACGGATCTTTCCATCCTGCAGAAGGATGTTAAGGTGCCTACAAAGGTAATGGATGGGTCAGGAGTCCTCAGTGTGGCTCTGCTTGGCATGGGACTTAGGACATAGTGCTGAAGACCCTGTGGCTGAGAATAGTGGCAGGATAAATTACGGGCCTGAGGTAGTGGCTGGAGAGAGGAGGGTACACCAGTTGCTTTGCAGGTGGCCTCACCAACTCATGAGCCAGCTCATGGTTCTAGCGAAACTGGAAAACCATCCAATGATTCTGTGTCTCCTAGGGTGAGAAATAGTTGGACTTCTTATGAAATGGAGACATTCTTATTTGGGGCCGTGTGTGTGTGTGTGTGTGTGTGTGTGTGTGTGTGTGTGTGTGTGTGAACTACAGTTGTTTTCACTGTCATTCTGTGGCACATTAAATTCTTAAAACAATCCCTAGGTGTTATGTATTCTCTGGGACATGGAAACTGAGGAAGTTGAAGACATACTACAAGAGTTTGTTAATAAGTCTCTGTTATTTTGTGATCGGAATGGAAAGTCATTTTATTATTATTTACATGATCTTCAAGTAGATTTTCTTACAGAGAAGAATCGCAGCCAGCTTCAGGTACTTGCAACTCTGTAATTTTTTTTTAAAAAAGTTTTTTAATTTTGTATTTACAGAAAAGTGACAAAACAGTATAAAGTTTTTATGTATAAACATGTCACCTCGCTTCCCCTGATGTTCACATCTCATAACAGATATAGTCGAGCAGCTCAGTGCTTACCACTAATACTCTACTGATAACTAGATTTTTCCAGCTTGCCCACTGATGTCCTTAAATGGTCCAGATTCAATTCAGGATCTCCTGTTGCATGTCATCAGCTCCTTTCCCCAGTTGCTGCTTGCCTTAGTTTTTTCAAATCTGTGAAAATTCTTTATTTTTTGTCTTTCATGGTATTGTTGCTGTTGAACAGTATTGGCCTGTTATTTGTAGTGTCCCGATATGATTTTGTCTGATGTTTTTTCCTGATGAGATTGAGGTTATGCATAGTTGGCAAGAATTACTACAGAAAAAAAAAAAGAGAATTATTATAGAAATAGATCTCATGTCTTGAGTGTGTCAGATTGGGGAGTACTTGGTATTGATGTGTCTTATGAATAATGTCCATTTTGGTTATTTCATTAAAGTGGAATCTATCTGGTTTCTCTAAATAAATGTGCTATTGTTGTTCCTGTTGTAATCATTAAGTATTTTGGGAGATTACATTGGTAGTAGCTTTGTAAGCTGGAATTACTGTGGCACTTATGTTATAGAATTGTTTCTGTGCTCTGAAATGTGTATTTTGTGTTTTAGGATCTACATAAGAAGATGATCACTCAGTTTCAGAGATATCACCAACTTCATACTCTGTCCCCAGATCAGGAGGATTGCATGTATTGGTACAATTTTCTGGCCTATCACATGGCCAGTGCCAATATGCACAAAGTAAGTTGGCACACTTAAAGTGTTATTTTTTCTTTTCCCACATAAGTTGCAAATATTTTTGTTCATTTATATACTAAATATTGCTTATGTTGCTTTCTAGTGTGTTGAAGGTATGGCTTTTATATAGTTAAGTTGTACTTTTTTTTGTATTTTGCTTTGGTGTCGTGTTCATAAACATGTTTTGTCCTATGATTAGACTTTTTTTGATTAATAAAAATAGAGTTATATCTTATTTTTTTAACCTGTAGTGATTTAAAAAGATCTCTTTGTAATTGTAGTAACTCAATCATGTAAAAACCAATTTTCTTTTTACAAGTAGTTTTTCTTCATGAGGAGTATGGACTTGCTTTTAAGCTTTAAAAGGAAATGGAGAGTGGGAACATATATTTGTTGAATTTTTACTGAGCGCTCGTTGCTGACTGGCGTTATTCTTCATTATGAAAATACAACATAGGCACAAAGTCTCTGTTCTCATTGAGCTTATATTCTTGGGGAAGATAGATACTATATAAATTTATGGTATGTCACTGGGCTGTTACGTGCTCAGGACAAAACATGGAAGGAAGAAAAAGTGATAATGTGGGGTGGAATCATCACCAGCTCCTGACAGATTCGGTGTGCACTGTGATGGGGAAGAATGGGTAGACTCCAGGCTGGGGCAGTGGGAAGAATGGAGCTGCTGTGAAGTGAAGCGGGCCAGGCAGGAGCGCAGGTCCCCTCACCCCGCCATGCTTGTAAGTGGAGGGTCAGGGGCTGGGGATTTAGCTCAGCGGCATAAGCGCCTGCCTTGCAAGCAGGCAGTCATGAGTTCGATCCCTGGTACCAATAAAAACGAAAAAGACAAAAAAAAAAAAAAAAAAAGAAAGTGGAGGGTCAGCAACTCGTCTTGACCGTATTAGGTCTGATGTACTTACTAAGACATCTCATTGGAAGTAATGAACACTTATATACATGTGCAATTCATATTCATGGACAGAAGATAAAGAATTGGGAATCAGTACGTAGATGACATTTGCTATCATGACTACTTACTATTCAAAATGTTAACATTTTGGAAAAATATACGTATTTTTAGTAATTTTTTTATGCTTAAAAATGTTCTAGGACCAGGGGTGTAGCTCAGTGGCAGTGTGAGGTCTTGAGTTTGATTCCTGGTACCAAAAAAAAAAAAAAAAGTTCTATCTTGGTGTATTGTGGTAGCCTGTTTTTTTTTTTTTTTAACCTAGCAGAATATTTATATTTAATAATCTACCTCTGAATGATAGCTCTTCAGTATATGTCTGTGAATCAAACTCTCTCTATTGAACGTTTAAGTTATTTTTAGTTTTGGTGCATTATGACATTATAATGAATATTCTTATTCTTCTTTATACCTGTATTGTTTCCTTTGAAGATTCTTAGAATCACTGAATCAATGCAAATTTTTGAAGTTTTTGCTATATATGATAAGTGTGACAGGATTCAGTTTCTTCTTAGACCTTTTTTTAAAGATAATTAGAAAAACATCTATAGGGAAGAAAATGAAGCTCACATCCATTGCTAATGATCTTATTTATAGTTTTCTGTTTTGCTTACTTAAACTTGTTTTGAAACCAAGTGGTATCATTACAGAAATAGCATCTTTAAAAATTTTTATTAGTATATATTTTCTTTTTTTTAAAATTTTATTTAAGGAGAAAAAGAAAAAGCAGAAAAAGGGTACATGTTATACAGAATTTCACAAAAAAATAAACAGTAGGAAATCACTAGTTAATGGATTACATATTGTCATCTTAGAAATATTTGTTCAAGTTACAAAATTAAAGCATATAAAGTGGATATTCAAACAGTGAGACTGTAAACAGTTCTGTTCAATGATCCAACAAAACTCAGTAATATCATTGTCTATCTTATACACTTAAATATACATGCAGTTATATCGTTTAGAGCACTTTCTTTTCCTCTCTTTTGTACAATGACTATTACACATTTTGGGTTATTACTCCCACAGTTCTTTTTTTTTTTTTTTTTTTTTTTTTTTTGTCTTTTTCGTTTTTACTGGTACCAGAGATCGAACTCACGACTGCCTGCTTGTAAGGCAGGCACTTATGCCGCTGAGCTAAATCCCCAGCCCCCAACTCCCATGGTTCTTATTACTTAAAACCAAATGTGACATAACAGAGTCAGTCAAATCAAAAGGGTGGACATAATAGATAATGTAAAAACATAATACAAAGTGATCAACAATGGTTATCATAATGCCTCCCATTATCTCAAAAAGAATTGCCTATATCATCAGTTATAATAAAATTGAACAAAACAGTAAAGAACAAAACCAACAAAACTAAAACATTGGAGACATTACAGGTCTTCAAAAGTAGATAATAGTCAACCAGAATGGGCATCATAATGAATCCCACTATCTTCACAGCTGTTGCCTAAACTTTCGAACCTGGTACTATCAAGCAAAACAGAATAGAGAAACATCAGTCAAAAGATGGTGAGAGCAATACAGGGCTTCAAATCAAGTTAATAGAAAATCAAAGTGGATTACTATAATATATCCTGCTATTTTTAATTTATTTTTCCCTTAATCAAAAGGATAAAAATAAAAAAGTAAATAATAAAATGGAGATTGAGATAAAAGAGGGCATAACAACAAAACAGCGCAGATCAAAACATAACCATTTAAACAAAATAGTGTTTCACCACAAGATAATCCCGACATAAAAGTTGTTACCATATTCGTCTCTTTCCTTGAAATCTTTGAGTATAACTTTGTATACTGTAGCATCAAAAATATCAAAACAATGTAAAACCATTCAAGAGAATGATAGTATTACAGGGTATTTAGAATCAAATAACAGAAAATGAACAATGGTTTCTGTATAATCTCCTTGTCTATAAAAGTTTTTGTTTATACTATCACATATAATAAAATCCAATAAGATACAACATGTTAAGACCTATGGAGACAGAAGAACAAAAGCTTGATGGGACTTCAAAACAAGATGATATTAAATCAGCATTACCTATTATGATGTTGTTTTCTCCAAAATAGCTGTTCCTATCATCCAGTCTTCTCTGCCTCATTTCTGTTGAGATCTTTTTCTGTCATTATTTGTCAGTTTGTCTTCTTCATTTTGTTTTCTGATCCATTCATTGTGGCCTCTCTGCCACTATTTCTGGATTCTTGGTATTTTTCTTTTTTAGAATATCCTGTAGTATTCTCTGTAGAGTTGAATTGGTGGTTGCATATTCCCCTAGTTCCTCTTTATCCTGGAAGCACCTTGTTTTTCCATCAATTTCCAGGGATAGTTGTGCAGGATATATTAATCTTGGCTGGAGGTTATTATCTTTCAAAGCTTGAATTATTTCCCCCATGCTCTCTGTGATTTGATGGTTTGTGCTGAGAAGTCTGCTGTAATTCTGATGGGTGTTCCCTTGTAAATGATCTGTTTCTTGTCTCTGATGGCTTTTTTTTTTTTTTTGACCTTCAATCCATTCCAATCTGATGGCTTTTAATATTCTGCTCTTATATTGCATTTCTGGTATTTTGGTTGTAGGTGGCTGGAGTCCTGTATGCTTCGTACATCTGAGTATCTTTACCTTTTGCTAAATTAGGAAAATTCTCCTGGATTATTTCTGCGAGTAGCTTTTGTAGTTCATTTGTTTGTGTCCCTACCTCTTCTTTTATGTTCTTAATTCTTAAGTTATAGATCCTCTTATCATCTTCTAGCCTTTGTATTATTGCTGTTTGTTTCTTTGTTATTTTTAAGAAGTTTTTCATTTCATGCTCCCATATTACAAATCTGGCCTCCAGTTCAGATAATCTATCCTTAGTTTCTTTCAAGCTGTTATACCAGCTTTCAATAGAGTTTTTAGTTTCCTGGTAATCTCTTTGAACCTGCTTCACGTATTCTATGTTTTCTCTATTTTCTCCATCAAATAATTCTCCCCCTTTTTTTTTGTTCTTCCATTCCACCATCTGTTTTTTCTTGGGTGGTGCTTAGCATTTCTCTAACTATTCTGCTTATGTCTTGCTTCAGGTCATTAATAACTTCATTCCTAAACTCGTCTATGAGGCTCTGGAGATAGCGCTTTATGTCTATTGGTGCCATGTCTGCTATGGTATGTTTCTCAGGATTGGGGGCCAAGGAGCCTTTCTTGTTGCTCCCTCTTCCCATATTCTTTGTTCCTTATATACAAGCATATATAGGAGGCCGAGCTTCATTCCCTGTTGGCCATAGTCTGTTTGAATTGTGCCGGCTAGGTGTTCCCACCCACCACAGTGCACCAGGAAGTTGCAGACCAGGCAGCCTATGCGGGGCCTGCCCCTCCAGGTCAACCTACCAAAGGCTTCACTGCTAGGGTGCACCTCCAGGCTCTGGGACCTTGGGTTATGCTAGCCTACTGGGTCTCAGCCAGCAGTGTCACATAGGCTAGGCACTGCTCACCAATCCCGCTTGAGGGGGGGATATGTGACTGAAGTCACTACAGTGTCCTATTCCAGCAAGTCTGCCCGGTCCCAGAATGTCCTCTGTTGGAGCCTCCTAGATCATGGAAGAGTCCCCGTTTCCCTCACTCACCACAGGTTGATGCACAGCTCCCTGCCCGTCCTGTTCTCAACTCCGTTCACCCATTCCTGTTCTCAGAGCTTTCGCGCGTCTCTCTCCCTGCCGAGCCAATTCAGACGCAGCAGTGGCAGCAGGAAACCCAAATCGCAGCTTCCAGTGGCGCAGGCTCCAGCTTCCACGCTGAGGCTTTATCTGTTCCTGTTGTAGCACCAGGATTGCATTCCCAGTTGGTTTCTCTCAGCCCAGTTCGTACTTGGGTCAGCAGGGCATATCTCCTCTTGCTTAGGGTTCCTCACTCCGCTCCATTCCTGGATTCTAAGCTGGGTCTCTCAAGAGCCTCTGTAGCTGCTGCTATCTGTCCGCCATGTTCTCCCGGAAGGTCAGTATATATTTTTAATACATAATAGTCCACTCATCATAGGGAATTTGTACCTGTATGTGGTTTATCATAATTCTTTTTTTCCATTCACTCCCCTCTCTTCAACCCTTCGTCCCCTTCCCATTTACAAACGGTTTGTTTCAGTTTTTTCCCTTTGATTCTTTTTTTTTTTTCCTCACCATGTATGAGACCAAGCGTCCCTGACTGCTACAGAGGCATGGCAGACAGGTATAGTTAAGAAACAAGTTTATTTTGAGCAGGGGGAACAATAGCACAGCACTTTACAGCCATGTTGTAGTCTGAATCCTGCTTTTCCCTTTGATTCTCTTTTATAAAAATCCCTTTTTTCTTTCTCCCCCGTATTCTCCTTCCTGTTTGAACATGTCTTCTTACTTCCCAATCTTGCCTCCATTTTGCTGCTTACTTATGCTCTGGGTTTCTCATAAAAGAGAAATAATGCAATATTTAAACTTGTCTGGTTTATTTTACTTAGAATTATGGTCTCAAGGTGCATCCAAGAAATAGTATTTTATATGTTGTTCCATCTTTCCCTCCATTCCCTCCCTCCTCCCTTTCTCCTCCTCCTCCCCAGCTTCCTCCTCCTCCTCTTCCTCTTACTGCCTCCTGTCTTGATAATGAGGATTGAACCTAGGCCTTTGCACTGAGCTACATCTGCAGCCTTTTTGATTGCTTTGTTTTAGAACGAGGTCTTGCTAAGTCACGGTTGCCCAGGTTTGGCTCCAGCGTGCAGTCTTCCTGTCTCACCCTCCCAGAGTGCTGGGAAATGGGTGTGCACCAGCTTTCATATTTTCACATTGTTTGTATAGAGTGACATAATTTTTAAAGCAGCATGATATTGTATAACTATAGCACGATTCGCCAGTTGGTTGATAGTTTAATTATACTTGTTTGGTTTCATTTTTATACAAGGAGTTTTTGGGTCAAATGGTGTATACAGTCTCAGTTTGAATCCAGATTGTTCCACTACCTTCCAGAAGGGTGCTGTCATCTGTGTGTGTACGTGTGTGTGTAAATTGGCTTTCATCCTTTGCCTTGACATATTTTCTTCTGTTCGAATATTTTTTGTCTTATTACAGTTTTCTACAAAAAATAATATTAAACCCTGTTTATTGTGTATAGTGGAAGTACATATTTTTCCTGATTTATTTTTGGTCTTAAATTTGTGTTTCTTTCTACTGTATTGAAAATTTGAATTTTTATGTAGTTAAATGTACCTTTTTATTTGTTGGATATTTTGCTTTGATGTCTTGATTACAAAGATTTCCTTAACTTCACGGTAACAAAATGATTTATCTGTATTGCTTAATAGTTATTAGGGTTTTGTATTTTATTTTAAAATCTTTATGTGACTCACTTGTTTTGAGTTAAAGGATGAAGCCGATTTTATATTTCTTTGGAACCACTGATATGTTCTTTTTTCTAGTGTCCTTGTCATCCTAAATTCTCGATGTCTGCTAAGTTTCTCTTAGTAGTTTTGTAGTAGTGAGGTGATACTTAAAATGCTTTGGTCTTTTTGGTTTTTTTTTTTTTGTACTGGGGATCATGAGCTTGCGCTTGCTGGGTAGCTGCTTACTCCACTGAGCTAACCCTGCCTCAATGCTTTGGTCTTTTAGCAGTGTTGCTGATTTTACTTTTTTTTTTTTTTTTTTTTAAGGAGCTTTGTGCTTTAATGTTTTCCCTGGATTGGATTAAAGCAAAAACACAACTTGTAGGCCCTGCTCATTTGATTCATGAATTTGTGGAATACAGGCATATATTGGATGAAAAGGTATACGTTAGTATGAAAAGTTAATGATGTCTAATTTGACCTCTAATATTAGTTTAATGGTGGGGTTGAGCAGAATAGAAGGATTGAATAAAAATAATTTCTTCATTTTGTCTTTTGATTATTCTAATAATTTGCTTTCTACCCTACTGGGAATGTAGATAGGGTTGAAGTTTGAAAGTTGGGAAGGTAAGGTTTTTGGTGGTTTTTTAAAAAAAGTTTTAAGAAATGTGTTTGATAATGAGATTTTTACTCTATGTTTAAAAATCAGAAAAAGCCACTATATATTTGTTACCTAACGGTTGGCTATTATATTTCGGTTCACATAGAGAATAAGTCATTTAAGGCTTTAACGTGACAAGATCACAGAAACAGAAAAATGTCAGATCATGGGTCTGGTTATGTTTCTAACAGCTTTCAGTTTATTCATAGGATGGCGCAGTCTGTGAGAATTTTCAGGAGTTTTTATCTTTAAATGGACACCTTCTTGGACGACAGCCATTTCCTAATATTGTACAACTGGGGCTCTGTGAACCGGAAACTTCAGAAGTTTATCGTCAAGCAAAGCTGCAGGCCAAGCAGGAGGTGGATAGCGGAATGCTCTACCTGGAGTGGATGTAAGTAGGTTAGGAGAGAAACCAAAGGAAGTGGAGTGCTAACTGTGTCATTATTTTTCAGGGAATGAATACATTCGCTCCAGGAAGATCTGACTACTTTTGGGAAGGGCTGGAACTTTTAAAAAGCATTCTTAGTGAAAAGTTCCAGAGAAGTAAGCATAGGAGAAAATGATTATATCTTCCAAGTCCGTAAAATAGGTCCCTCATTAGAAGGCATTTTAACAAGTCCTCCTAAATATTAACACTAAGGATTTCACTTACTATAACCTAGTACTGCGTAGTGGTGAAGAGTGTGGGCTTTGAGGCCTTAGACCTGCATTTGAATCTTTGTGCTGAAAACTAGAAGTTTATGATTTTGAACAAGCTGCTCATAACTCTTGTCATATGAGATGGAGATAACAAGAGTTTGTTTTGTTTGTTTGTTTGTTTGTCGGGGAACAGGGTCTTGCTGTGTAGTCCAGGCTGGTCTGAGATTCAGCGGTGTAGCTTACACTGGCCTCAAACTCTATTCTGCCTTAGCGTTTGTAGTGCTGGGGTTTATATAAGTGTGTACTGGTATGCCCCACTTTTGGGAGGATTTAAGTGAGGTGATGCCTATGAAATAATTTGTAGTCTGCTCTACACACATCTCTTTTTTTTTTTTTTTCTTTTTTGTTTGTTTTGAGACTGAGTCTTGCTCTATAGTCCAGGCTAGATTTGAACTCACTGTATAGCCCAGGCTGACTCAAAATCACTTCTGCCTCACCCTCCAGAATGCTGGGATTGCAGGTGTGCTTTACCATGCCTGGCCATTCATATAGCTCTTATTAAATGTCCACTGAATACTGGTTCTTTAAAGAAAGCAGTTCACTTTTATTTTAATTTTACCAGTTAGCAAAAAGGAAAAGATATACAATCACATAAGTAATACCTAGTATTTACTAATGATCATACTCTTCACAATGACCTGTGATACACATATTGATTGCCCAGGCATAGATAGCTTGGCTCCTGTGGTATCTGAGTGGGACTTAAACCCAGGCATGTTATCTTTATGTATTTGCTGCTCCATATGCCATGCTGCTCCTACAGCTGGAAATACAAATGTGAGTGATTGTCTTTTTACATGTGTAATTTATGTGCAAATTGAACCCAGGTTGGTGTCCATGATCTCTATTGCCCTGGGCTTCTTTACAAATAAGCCAGGTTGCCAAGAGTGATTCCTTTGACTCAGTGTAATTTGGCAAACATTTAAGTTTCTGTAAGCATTGTTAGTAGGTACTGAGGTTTTCTCCAAGCAGTTCTCAATCTAGTAGCGAAGAAAAAGGCTTAAGCAGATAATTACAATATAATGTGATAAGTACAACAACACAAGTGCATATGAAAAGGAGTTAGAGCTGTAGGTACTTTAGATAAGTGAGGAATTTGGGGAGGTTACATGAAGAAGGTAATATCTGAGAATGTTTTTAACAGTTGTTTTAGTTCCAGTGTAATTTTACTTTTTTGTTGGTTTTATTTTACATATGTCCTGATTTTAAAAAATTAGATATAAAATGAAAAATCAGAAACTTTCTTTCTCCTAACTTTCTACTTCCAAGAGTTAATCCTTCATTTTCTTTGAAAATAGAGGTTTTTCTTCCACTAAGGGAAAGTGAAGGTTTTACTGAGAAAAGCAGTCCTCCTAACTGAAACTAGTTAGATCTGTCAGTGTTCTAGGATGCGTGCTCTTTGTCCACTTGTGTCATTTGTCACCCTTTATTATGGTTATCTGTTTATTTGTTTTTCTCCCATAATAGTCATATTCTTTGGTTTAGAATAGTCTGGAGGTTAAAGGAAGAGTGGCTCTAAACTACACGGGCTTGAATTCTAGCTCTGCCAGGAATTGGTTTTATATCATTAGGGGAAAGTTGTTTAGCTTCTCTCAGCTTCTTTCACAGCACTATTGTGAAGATTAAAAGACTTAAGTGTGTGTATATCGATACATACAGTGCTGAGCACAGTGCCTAATTCATAGAAAGTACTTAATACATATCCCTGTCATCAAGAATAGTATTATCAGCCTACTTGGGGAGCCCAAGGGAAATTTTCACAGGTTCTGAGGTTAAAGAACACACTTATGTCAAACAGCAGCAGCAACAGCAGGCAGCACGGAGCTGAGGAGAGCATAAGAGCTGCCTGCATCTTTATTTATAATTCTTACACGGGTTGTATCATATATTTACATTCTTGTGTAGTGCTGTAACCAATGCATGCATGTTTGCCTGTGCTGAGTCATGGTTATATGGTTATATAACTATATCTCACCTGTGTGCTTGTGCTAGACAGTGGGGTCACATTCTCAGGTCTGGGTGGTTCCCCACAAGAAGTAAGCATTAGGTATGGCCCATATGCTTGGTATGCAGCAGAAATTTCTGGAAGACAATCACCTGTTTGAGTTAGTGGCTAAAATGGAATCTTAGTATTGGTTTGGTGTGGGAAACCAGTTAAGGAGAATTGAGGCCTACTTGGCCTTCTCTGTGAGCACAAAGGAAAAAGGAAGCAGTTGTGCTCTGTTGGCAACACACAGGGATGATGGCATTGCTGGTTCTGGGGAAAGGTTAACACGACTGGGATCAGTACAGTGGATAGTGTGAGGCAGATCAGTCTTGTTGCTTTAGTTGCTTGTACCTGTGTTTTAGTGCATCACAGCAGGATGAGCCAGGTGCTTGGAGCTTCTCTACTCACTAGAGGCAAGAGCCCCTGGCTGCCTGCATGCTAAACTCTGCATCTGGGTTCATTCTTGCTTACCCCCAGTCAGGGTGACAAACTAACAGGAATCGGTCCCTACAAGTAACACCTGGGTGGGGAAAGACCAGAGTGGACTGGTTCCCATAGGGTAGTACCTGGGAAAGGGACCTGGGACTGGAGCATAGCCTGGTTTCCTACCATTTGCGCCTGAACAAGGACTTAGCCTGGGGCACACTGGTTGGCTATAGTTTGGTCAGCTGACTATAGTCTAGTTTTGGTTCCTTTGTGAACTGTTGAGTTTGTTATTTTTACTTTTTTTTTTTTTTTTTTTTTTTGTCTTTTTCTGGTACTGGGGATTGAACTCACGACTGCCTGCTTGCAAGGCAGGTGCTTATGCTGCTGAGCTAAACCTCCAGCCCCTATTTTTACTATTTCTTGCTGTTCATTTTCTCCCACTGTATCAGCTGTATTTCAGCCTGTGACAGTCTCTCATTGTCAGCTATTCAGAGCTGTATTTTTCACATGTGGATATTACTAACTTAAAATTTTATATTTTGGGGTATATAACCATGTTGAAAGATAGTTTGTTACTGTAAGAAAATAGTCCCTTTTACTCTCACTTATTGAATTTCCATTCATTTTTTTCTTTGCATATAGAAACAAAAAAACCATCAAGAATCTCTCTCGATTGGTTGTCCGCCCCCATACCGATGCCGTTTACCATGCGTGCTTTTCTGAGGATGGCCAAAGAATAGCTTCTTGTGGAGCTGATAAAACTTTACAGGTAAAACAGATTTTTTAACCCAGTTCTCTGTAGATTGGAATGTGTTCAGTTCCAAGATTGAAGGAAATTGCACGTTAGAAATAGAAGAGAAATCTGAATCTCTTGAACATTTTATGACAGTATTCGCTAGAGGTTTTAAAGATACATGTTTCATATTCTGAACTCACTGGATGATAGATAGCCTTTCTCCTTCCCAGTCAGTTATCTGCTATCCATTTGCCAGCTAAGAGTAATAAAGAAATAAAAGACAGCGGGACTTGGTAGCACAGTGGATAGGCCTGTGATGGAAAAAACAGTGGTTAAGTAAAACAGTTTATCAAAAGTGTAGACATATATTTCAGACTATAAATAAGAATTGGACAAGATTATTTTCAAAGATGCCTTAAGTAATTTCTTATAAGTTCTTCTTTGCTTTTAGAAAATGAATGAGTACTTTTCTTTTATTTTATAATTGTTTCTTTGTTTTTCCTTTGCAGTACTGAAGAGCCCAGGGCCTTGTGTCGACAAGGTCAGGGCTCTACCACATCCCTAGCTCTTTTTTTTTTTTTTGGTACCAGGAATCAAACTCAGGACCCTACACTTAACAGGCAGGTGATTATTCCTCTGAGCTATATCCTCAGCCCCATCCCTAGCTCTTATAACAATTTTAAAAATGTTGAGGCTGAGTCTCGTTAAATTGTTAAATTGCCTAGACTGGGCATGAACTTGAGGTTTTTCTGCCTCAATCTCCCATCTCAACTTTTTTTTTAAAAAAGTTTTTATTTTGAGACATCTTACTTGCCAAGTCTGGCTTGAAATTTCTCATGCTCCGGCCTTCGCTTCCAAGTAGCTGGAATTATAGTCACTTACTGTCACATTTGGTTTTCCTGTTGGTTTTGAAGGAAACCAGATCAAATGAGTTAAAACTTTTAGAGTTTTTTTATATTTAGAGTAATTTTAGTATTTCCAAGATTATGACTGCATACCTTACTTCTATGGGACCTAATTATGAATTTTAATGATTTCAGCTTTTGAAAAAAGCTCCAGAAAGAAAGCACATTGAATGAAATGGTTTTTAGTTGATTATTAGGAATTTGCCAAGATAGTCTCAATAAATTGAAGCTATATTCTGCCACTGGTATGTACTGTAGTTTACTCCTTTTACAAAGGATAGCTCTGTATGTTATGACTTAGCAATTCTGGTTGAATTTCTGATTTTGGAGTGATTTTGCTAAAGTGCATTTCTGTTTTATATTTATAAAACAGTTTTATTGGAGTGATTTTGCTAAAGTGCATTTCTGTTTTATATTTATAAAAATTATAAATATCTTCTATTTTTTATTTAAGATCCTTTAAAGAAAGATTTTTATTTAATTATGACCCTCAGTTAACGGATTTTTAGGAAAAATATTTTATTGTTGCCTATGCAGGTGTTCAAAGCTGAAACAGGAGAGAAACTTCTAGAAGTCAAGGCTCATGAGGATGAAGTACTTTGCTGTGCGTTCTCCACAGATGACAGATTTATAGCAACCTGCTCAGTGGATAAAAAAGTGAAGGTAGGAAAGTATTTTCTTCTTGAGTTGTAATCACTGCAGAATTCACTTTCTTTTTCTGTATCAGAGGGACCATAGTAGGGTTAAAGGACCTATGCTTTTGTGCATCTGCTAACTTGATGCATTGTAAGTTAATGCTGTGTAAAGGTTCTTTGTTTTTAAGCACCAGCAGAAATGTTTAGGTTGATCAGCCTGAGGTATTTACCAGGCAGTGGGGGGAAAGTAATTAAAAATTAATGAACCTGCCTACTGTTAGTAGACAGATTTGTGGGTTAAATATCATCAGACATCTTTGAGTGCATTGTTATTGGAAGAAATGCTCTACAAAACAGATAATGGTTGTAAAATAATATAATTTATGAAATGTAACCCAACTATTTTTTAACCTTTATGAACTGGTTTATATATTCAGTGTGAAACCAGATGGATGAACAAACTAATAGGTTACTAGCCTAAAAAGTAAACAGCAAAAGTAAAGAAGGTAATTTTTATCTTTGTTATTCTTTCTGTATGTTAAATTTAGCTTTTAGCTGAGGCATTTATGGAATTAAAGAAAAACCAATGTGGAATTTAAGAAAAACTAACAATTTAGGACTTGTTTAGTCACTGATAACTGAGGGCAAGACCTCACGTGAGGCTTTTTTCAAAGGGCTTGTGGAATACTGAATCTGGCGAAGCAGAATGGGCAAGAAAGTTGACTTAGGGAGATTTCTTGGAATTGTCACACTCACAGAGGAACAGGAAATGTCCACATTAAAACTGAGATGTGGCAAAAACTACTGAGTAACTCAGTGGCTTTATAGCCAACAGGTACTTTACTCCATAGCTTCTACTGAATCCAACTTAGAATCAGCTGCACTGGACAGTTCTGAGGTGAAGAGCACATGCAGTATGAGTGTCTGTTTTCTCAGAACTCAAAGTGCAAAATAAGATACAGAAATATTCATTAAAGAGCTTAAAAACTAGATAAACAGTAAGTGCTCGGGTAAGATATAGGGAGATAGCCAGGCAGGGAGCACGAGCACCTCTGAAGAATAAAAGTCCTAATGCTGAAGATGCATTAGGTAATTTATTGCTTTTGTTCGTTGTTATATGGAACAGACAGCTTAATTGTTTTACAGACTACAATGACAGTTACTTTTTACTGTGACTGGCCTTATACTACACACTTCCTTATATTGTTTATTTTCACTGAACAAGCCTTATTACCATTACTATTATTACTGTTATCGGTATGTGGATTGAGCCCAGGCCTCCTGTGTGCTAGACAAGTGTTGCTACACTCCCAGGCCTTTGTATTTCCTTACATGGCATCTACACTTACCACTGCTGTCTCTTTGATGGGTGGAATTGGGTAGGACAGGCATTCGTGTCCAGTTTGCAGCAGAGGGAACTGGGATGCAGGTCTGGCAGGGGCTTGATGGGGACGTACAAGTCCTAAGTGGTAGAAGCTTGTCTTGTATGTGGTCCTTCATGCTGCTCCTGCTGTTCCCTGCCGCTGTCATCCAGATGACCATAGGGAATCTTTCCTTTTCAGAGGATTCCCTTTGTACTATAGACAGAATTGTGTAGATTTACAAATAGTGTTTAACAAACACTCAGGGAAAATATTATTGTACCCTAGAGAGAGAGGGACATTCATTTGCATCATTCCTGAAATAATGCGATTTTGTCTTCTTTCTTCTCTTCAGATTTGGAATTCTGTGACTGGGAAACTTGTACATATCTATGATGAACACACAGAGCAAGTCAATTGCTGCTGTTTCACCAACAGCAGTCAAAATCTTCTCTTAGCCACTGCATCAAATGACTGTTTGCTCAAAGTAAGTGTGAATATTGAGAATTATGGAGACACAAAGACACATCAGAAGATCTCCTTTGATTTTCTCATGTATTATTAGGACTTTTTTTAAACTTCCGTATTAACTTAAGTACCCCTTCTCCCTAGAAGAAAGGTGGTATTAGCTCCCATAACTGAAAAGTCTGGAAGGGACAAGAATCCGGATTCAGGCACTGCCTTTGCTATTCTATATCTTTTCTGTTTCCAAATGAATTTTAGGAATGTTTTCTCTAGATCTGTGAGATATATTAATGGTAGTTTGATTGGGATTGTATTAAAATCAGTATAACAGTTTTGGAATATGGCCATTTTCACATGTTCTTCCTATCCAAGAGCAAGGGAATAGTCTTCTAATAATAACACTTTAATAATAATTTTCAATTAATCTTTTAGAGCATTAATTACTTTTAGCCTACTTTGTAGTCTTAAGGTTTTTAAACTCTTAGAAATGACCATATTTATAACTTAGTGTTTCAAAAATGAAGGCAGGTTATATTGCATATTACTTCTAACTTTTTGTAGTTGAGTAAATTACTCAGTTAAAATAAACTAAACTACTCAGTTAAAATAATTAGTAATTAGTTTAGTTATTTAGGGATCAGAGTAGAAGCTTCTGTGAACCTTCAAGTCCCTCTGTAGATTTAGATGTTATCTAAAGGCAGCCCTAAAAATCCTACGTTTATCTTTGTATTTGACACCTTTGTGTCACTGTGAATTGTTCGTTGTTCTTCAGCCAAAAGATCTTAATTGGAAAGGGAGGAAGGGGTTGATATGATTTCTGATTTTTCTTTATTTAGTATGTTTTTTTAAATGTATCCTTTTTATCTTTCTCAAATAGCTGTGGGACTTGAATCAAAACTATTGTCGAAATACCCTGATTAACCACCTGAACTCAGTTACTCACTGCAGATTTTCCCCAGATGATGAACTTTTGGCTAGTTGCTCAGCTGATGGAACATTAAAGGTAAGTTTTTGTACATTATTAAAATGGGCTGTAATGTTAGGAAAGTCTTACGATTTGGTTATGGAAATCAGTTTCTGTTTGTTAGTTGTTTTTGTCACTGTGACAGAGTACTTGAAAGAAACAACTTATAAGGAGAAAAGGTTTATTTTGGCTCACAGTTTCAGAGATTATAGTTGCTTGCCCCTGTCACCTTTGTGCCTGTAGTATAGCTGGGGTTGTGTGGTAGAGCGAATTTGCTCATCTGGTGGTGGTGAGGAAACAGAGGCACAGGAAGGGGCCAGGATCTCAATACAACCCCCTCCAAGGCACCTGCTCAGGGACCTTCCTTCCTTCCACTAGGCCCTGCCTCAGGGACCTTCCACCATTTCCTGATGGTGCCACAGGTGAGGGACCAAGCTTTAAGAGATTGCCGTTGGAGATATTCAGGATCCAAACTATAGTGCTGTATTTTTCTACAGAAAAAGCTCCTTTTTCAACTTTCAGTATTGTAATCAGTGTAACTATAATTGCTTGTCCTAATGATTGGTTGTGATTGGTTTACATCTAATGTTTAAATTCATATAATTCGAATTCTTAAGTTTTAAGCATGTATTCTGCAAGTATTTTAAGATCTGTAAGGTAAGGTTTGTAAAAGGCCGTTTTTACTTACAGATTTATTTTGCCTTTTATTTGATTGTTTTTCCATTTTTGAAAAGCCATATGGAGAAATAACACAAGACTTATAGGGGCTGGGGATATTGCTCAGTGACACAGTACCTGCGTGGCAAATGCAAGATCATGAGTTTGATCCCTGATACCAAGAACAAAAGCAAGACTTATGGAACAAAGCTTATATGGTATCTTGACATTTATGTTCCAAAGAAAACTAATTCTTATCTTTAAATCCCCACTTGGCTTCTGAAATAAAATCTAAATTTTACTTTCTTATTTCTGCCTCTGTTGCCCTTCTTGTCCCTTCTCTTTGCTACCCAAGAACTTTATGCAAGCATATTTTGGGAGAGTATTCTCTTATAATGTCTATGTGGTTCTGAATAGTTTTGACGATGTCAGTCTGTTAATCTATTGATACAAACTGGTTAGTTTATCTTTGTTTTCCATGTATAAATAGGTGTGCTGTTCAGTCATTTTTGTGTGTTCTTTGATAAGATTGACCATAGGTTAATGATCTTCAGTGACCCTGTCATCTTTCTATTGAGTCTTTGCTGAGGTTCATAGTATAGAACTGTACCCGAAACACAAACTCAGTAACTGTGACATATACAATACTTCTAGAGAAATACTTGAATTCTCCTGGGTACTATCTTGTTTGTTAGAATCTCTGTAGATGGACATTTGTTAATATTTCTAGGTGACTCCTTAGCAAAATAAACCCTCTTGATGCTACTCTGTTAGGCTTTCATCCTCTTTATTGACTGAGGATAATTCATTTTTTTATATAAATTACTCCAGGGCACCTAGAAATCCTTTCAGGGTAGAATTCTACTTTGTAGACTTAAGCTAGCTAATAGTGAATTTGGGGAGCATTGTTAGGTAGAATATTCAGGCGAATGAATTTTAGTGTCTGCAATTTGGTATCTATAAATATCAAATGTCTGTCTTTTTCTTTAGGATGACCCATGTATTTAGGATGCATCTTGGTTACTTTTACCTGACATGCAGAGCTAAAGAGGAAGGTTTTAATTGGCTCAAAGTTTGTAGGGTTTTATTCTATAGTTGGTTGACTCCAAGGCGGGGTAGCATGACAGAAGGGGATCCAGGAGGAGAAGCAGTTCATGGCAGGCAGAAGGCAACAAAACAGTGAAATAGCAAGCAGCAAGAGATCAGCAGTGACCTTTTTTCGGTCTCTTATATTCTTCCATCCAGGCTACCCTTAATCCTGTCCGTAACTGTGCCAAACCAATCAGTGAGCTAATTAAATAATCACACATCCTTGATTCTAGCATCCTACTCCAGATCTAGCCACCTCTGAAAAGCCCCACTGATGACTGCGTGAGGCTTTGGGGAGTCATCTAGACATAAACCGTAACAGGAGGTTTTTTAGAATAGCCGTGGATGACTTAAGGCAGCCACCTTCTGGAAGATTCTTTTGGTCCCGTCAGCCTTTATTTCCTGGTTTTTAGCTGCGTGAATGACTTCAGAAGAAGGCATTTTACGTGTCAAGGCAAGCTCTTTCCATCTAATCTCCACTGACAATTCCGCAGCCTCCAACTGTGCCCAACCTGCATCTCCTTTGTTTCTTTTTTTGGCTCTGCTTTTGAATGAAGAGAATTATTTGGGGCCATATTTAAAATATATAATATACTGAGTGTACATAAGTGACAAAATTTCTTTATAACATACCAAAAAGAGGGCAAAGAAGGCGGGACACAGGTCGGACATCATTCATTGTTAATTAGTTGTTGAACATTCAGCAAGGTTTTTAAATCAAGCCGTTTATCTGTTCCACAAATCTAAGCTGTGTCGCCTCTTTGCTGCTGAGTTAGAGTGTGTTCATTCCTAGCCATTTTGCTGTTTCCCATTGTACGGCCTATTCTAGTCCTTTCTTGCACTTGCCCTTTTTTTCTGTGATAACCTTACTTCATAGCAATTCAAAGGGTTAAAATTACCTACCCAAAAGCTCAACATCTGTACCCCCCAAAAGAGAGCTTCCCATTAAAAAAACTCCCATTGTTTTCCTCATCCCAGTGTCCAAAAATTCCTCTGCTACCCCTCCCCTCCATGGTACCTTGCTTCAGTCACTATTTATCTCTTATGTTGCTTATTTGATTTTTCTTTTTTTGGATACTTTCCCATAGTCTGTAAATGTTCTTGGGCTTTCCTGAAGCCCGTACTATGAAAATGTGAAAACCTTTGCTTCTCCCTTGGATTGTCTTTTAAAATAGTCATTGTCTTTCCCTTTTTGACTAAACAAAGCCATCTGTGTTTTCTGTTATTGTAACAAATACTTGCTTTTGGGTCTGGGGCAAGGCAGCACATTGTGGCAGGGGTACAGGGCAGAGCAGAGGCCAGGAGCAAAGGAGAGAGGAGGAGACCAGGGTTTCACATCTCCTTTGGGCACGTTATCTTCCCTCCCTCTCCACAACCTTCAATTAACCCACAGCTGGGGGACCAAACCTGTGACCAATGGGCCTTCAGAGACATTCCAGAGCCCAGTGGAGGATCATCTATATTTCCCTTCATTTCCTGAGCACCTGCTCGTTGCTTAACCCGTTTTTAGCCTCCTCCCATCTTCCTTGTATTCCTTTGCAGAATGTAAAGTCCAGTCTTATCCTTCATCTGCATTTTTTTTATCATCAAGTCTAATGTACTCTGGATTAGTGTACCAGCTGGTATTTTTCTTCAGTTCTATTCTTTTTGTCATAATGTATTACCAGCATTTAAACTTAAATCATTCTTTTTAAAACTCCTTATTTGAATAAAACATCAGCAGTGTCATCCTTCTCCGCTCACCTCCTAACCGCTTCTTTAGTTCTCTTCCCTGCCCATTACATTCTGCTGTTCCTGTAGCATCTGACAGTGGCTACCACGTTGCTGACCTCTTTTCCGTCCCTCTTTCTGGTCTCATGGCTGCAGCGCTCTTACCTTCTGTGAGTGACTTTCCGCTGTTTCGTCTCCAGCTTCATCTCCCCTGGGTGCCCTGCTCTGCATTCCTAACAGCTTGTTAGTTGTTGTCACTTTAATGTTCCACTGTGCCTCAGAGTTATTGTGCTCTAAATTCAACTGATTATTTTCTTCCCAAATGTGGTGGTGTTTTGTGGCTCCATTATGTTTCATGATTAGTTTTTTTTTTTTTTTTTTTTGGTACTGAGGATAGAACTCACGACTTCATGCTTGCCAGGCGGACGGTTATGCCACTAAGTTAAATCCTCAGCCCTGTTGGGTAATTTCAATTACAACAGTGTTCATGATTTATTAATAAAAGTCATTGTAGCTAGTTAATTCAACCACATAGTATGTATTTTTTTTCTCTTGAATTTAAACTTTCTTTCATCTCCTTCTCTTGTTCATTTGCCTTCCTTTCTGGGGGATTTCGTTAGCTTTATTTGAGGTTTATTTCCTTCTTCTTCTTTTTTTTTTTTTTTTTTTTTTGGTGAGACAAGGTCTTTCTTGTTGTCCAGGCTGGTCTTGAACTCAGTATGTAACCCAGGACAGCCTCAATCTATTGAGTTTTTAACTTCTGCTATCATATAGTACTCATTCTTACGATGTTTCTTTTTGTATTATATATATTTTTAAATTAGGTTTTATTGGTGCATTTTAGATACGCATCATGATCACATTCATCATAGAGAATTTGTACCTGATAAAAATTTTTCTCCTCCTGCTCCCTCCCCCTCTACCCTTGTTCTCCTTCCCATTTGTAAATCTTTCTGTGTTTTCTTTTTTTTCTCTAGTATCTTTCTCCTGTTCTTCTTTCATGAATGTAGTTTTTAAAATCTTTTTGCAAGTATTAGTTTTTTTAAAAGTCTTCACATTGATGTCTTGTTGCAGTTTTCTGTTTGTTGCTTTTGTTATAGAGTAGAGATCTATCCTAGCTGTAGGATCTCTGCTCTCTGCTTATGTTTAAGATTGTGGTGCTAAGGAGTTTATAGGACTATCTGGCCTTCATGTTTAGGTGGTGAGCTCCTGAAGTTAGAGTCTTTATGTCTTGCTTTAATGTAGTTGAGTGTTCAGAGAAAAATTTTCTGTCTCTTCCTACTTGAAGGGATGCATTTCACTGGTAAATTCTGAAAAGGCATGTAGAGATCTCAACATTTGAAATAGCAGCTTTCTCTTAATACCCATTTCCAGTATTCCAGCTCTGCTTTCACTGTGTCAAGTGTGGAATAGCCCTGTATTCTTAGGACAGAGTCAGGAGGGGATCTCATGGGTCATTAGCGTCCTCTCGATTTAGCTCTGCCTTTCCCAGGAGGTGCCAGCGCGGCACTTGCTGAACCCTTTAGATTTATGGCATGAACTGCGCTGCTTGGTTTTCCCTACTGCTGGCTCAGGATTCAGTTTTAGAGTTCTTATTACTTTTCTTTTTGCTTTGTAGCCTTTATAATTTTATTGCTGTAATCTTTTCTACCATTCTTCTTTGTCTTGTGAGTGACACCTAGAGAAAAAAATTCCCTTACAGTTATTTTACCTGAGTTTTAGAAGGGCATGGGGGTGAGTATATGTGTGCTTTCTGTGCCTTTAACCTGAAGCTTATTTTCTTGCAGTACTCACTAAATAGCCTAGGCTGTCCTCAACCCCATGACAGTCCTCCTGCCTCAGCCTCTCAAGTGTACCTCCACGCCTGGCAAATGTGGCATTCTTGTTGGGCTGTCTTTTCCTCTCAAGAGACATAGCTGACATTTCTTATGTTAGAGTCACTTAGGTGTTTGTCTTGCCTCTCCTGCTGGCCTGTAAACTTCTTGAGGGTAGTCTAAGCATGAAGTGATTAACATAGTGTTTCATAAATGTGTTAACAATGTGAACCCTAGCGGATTCTATTCCAGTCAAGCCAAGCCTTCTTCAGATTCAGGGAAAGTGTTTGAAAGTCCCCGTTTGTCAGGGACCTGTGAGCACCACCAGCAGCAGGGGACAGACAGTGCCACACCCTCTGGGAGACCGCCTGAGTTTGGTGGTGGCTTTCCCACAGTGCCATTAAGCCAGTGTCACCAGCTAGTTTGCACAGACACAGTGACATACACCAAGCAGAGGTCCTGCAAAATGATGTTAGATAACAGCATTTCAAGGTCAAAGTCTTCTAAACATTTTACCATCTGAGGGAAGAGAACAGTAAAATTATATTCTGCCCTAACTGGTTGTATAATTCTCTAGGCTTTTTGTAGGACATCATGGTGATAAACGTGGGGTTTTGGGGGGGGGAGTGGGCTTAGATGATAAATTGTTTCAAAATGTGAGTCTTTTAAGATTGTCATTTAATGCACAGAGGCTCAAGGTACATGGGGACCCTGGACACAGAGCAGGAAAATGAAATGCTGGGCATAATTTATCCGGTCCCTGGTTGTGTGGGATTTCATCCCTGTGTGGGTGGGAGCTAAAGCCACGCTCATGAGCAGATGTAGTAGCTTAGGCAGGTGTAATGAAATCAGATCATGTCATTTTCCTCTCTCTTTCCTATATCCAGGCAGTTGCTTTGTTTTTCTTGTTAATAGGGAAACAGAGTGTGACTTCTCATGTATTCTGGTTCATGTGAAGCTTCTGGCAGTTGTGTTTTTTTCTCTTTGGTGTTAGGAAAGGCTGTTTCAGTCCCTGCTGTCTCTTTTGCTTTATTCAGTTCACCCACAGTTGTTGCAAAGGGGAAGGTTTTAGTTATGGTTACAGTTCTTAGTATATGTAATATTTCTGAAAATTCAAGAAATATCTAAAGATATGTCTGGTCAGAAAAATCAGGTTTTATCTGGGAGCTGTGCTTTGAAAATTGAGTTAAAGCCTTAAAAGCAGTTTTTTTTTCATTCTTTCGGTCGAAGGGATGATTCTGAGCTGCACCTGCAGCCCTTTATTTTGAGACAGGATCTTGCTAAATTATCCATGCTGCGTTGAAACTTGCAGTCCTCCTACCTCAGTCCCCCAGAGTGCTGGAGTCATGGGTGTGAGCTGAGAAGCGGCTCGTTGGCCACCCCTTGGTCTGCATGTGGCAGGAACGCTGCTCGAGGTCTAGGAGTGGAGATGTTATCTTGTGATTGATGTGCTGTTACATTCCCTTCCTTTTTTGCGCGGGCAGGTTAAGGAATTGACTCAGGACCTTGCGTTTGCTAGGCAGGCGCTTATGCTGCTCAGCTATATCCCCGGCCCCAAGATGTGTGTTTTGTAGCCTTTGAGTTTCGTACTGTTCAGGTTACTCTCTCTAGTGAGGTTTAAGGTTGAACCAGGGGCCAGTGTGTTTCCTGCCCTCATCTGGCCCCACCATGTGCACAGGGCACCCGGCTTCCTCATCTCTGGGGTCTGCTTTCGGGGGCTTCGGCCTCTGGATGCTTTGGCTGTGCGCCCCGTTTCCTGCCTGGCGCAGCAGAGGGCAGCAGGCGCCCTGACTGTCAGCTCCCAATCTTTAGTCTTCTCCGTACCTCGCGAGGCTCGGTTCAGTTTTCATTTAGTTTTATAATCTCCATTTGAGGCAGTGCCTCTCATTTTTTCTTTTTAAGAAGATGATTAATGAAAAACGAAATACTTAATTTAAAAGCTTTATAGGAAGTTATCCATGGGTAAATATAATCTATTAGGTACTGTGAAAAGCTTACATGACCTTTAATTCAGGTGATTCTAGAGGTGGGAGTAAAACAAGTTTTTTGTTTATTTTTATTTTTTAAAATTTGAAGCTCTGGGATGTGAGATCAGCCAACGAGAGTAAAAGCATTAATGTGAAGCAGTTCTTCCTAAATCCCGAGGAGCCTCACGAGGATTTGGAGGTAATAGTGAAGTGCTGCTCGTGGTCTGCTGATGGTGCTAGAGTAATGGCGGCAGCAAAGAATAAAATCTTTGTAAGTATGAACGTTTTAAAACCAAGTTTAGATCCATTTAAAGAAAATGAAAAACGGTTAATTTTTGCATCTTACCCTGTTTCCCAGTATAAGTAAAGTCTAGCTGTGTGACTTGGGGCGGGCTTTCCTGCCCCGCCTAGCCTGGGGAGCCTCGCAGCGGGGCACGGTGGCCCGGGGAGGAAGGGGCTCCCAGGTCTCCCGGGTCTCCTAGGCGCCCAGGTTCCCGGGTGAGAGCCCCGCAGTGTGAGTTGCATGTGTGAGACCTCGAGTAGCCCTGCGTGGTGGAATAATGTATGACACTGGGTCCAGGGTGCCTCCTGTTTACTTAAGACATGAAATACTTTCTGCGTCACTGTTCTGCTTAAGCCTATTTTGAATACACTGATTTAAGTTATTTTCGAAGTACTTTTATGCCTACGTTTTTATGATTTGGCAACCCTAATAAAATAAATATTCAACAACAACTGAACAATATTGTAAGATTCTTATAAAGGAAATGAAGTTTACAAATAGTAAATGACAAGAAAATGTCTTTTTCATTTTTCAAATGTAATGATAGCTTATATTTGTGGTATTCAGAATATTTACACATACAATTTCTTACTCTGGTACAAGGGATTGAACTTAGGATCTTCACTTTGAGCTATATCCCTAGACTTTTTAATCTTAATTAGTCAATTAGTTAATTAATTTTTTGAGACAGGGTCTCTCCATGTAGTTCAGGCCAGCCTTGAATTCACTGTAGCCCAGTCTGACTTTGAACTCACAGTGACCCTCCTGCCTCAGCCTCTTGAGTGCTAGTATTACAGGGGTAAGCCACATGCCTGCCTTATTTTTTATTTTGAGAGAAGGTCTTGAGTTGCTGAGCTACCCAAACTGGGCTTGATTTTGTGATCTTCCTGCCTGAGCTTTCCAGAGTGCCATATAATTTCTTTGCTTTGCTTTTTTCTTTTCATTTCATTTCATTTTTTTTTTTCTTTTCTTTTCTTGAGACAGGGTGTTACCAGGTACTGCAGGCTGGCCCTAAATTTGTAGCAATCCTCCTGCCTTAGCCTCCCGGGTGCTGGGATTGGCATGTATCAGCATGTCCAGCTTAACATCTTTTGATATACATATCCAAGAGACACAGTAAAGTGCCACTGTGCTATGATAATAATGAGGGAACCGAAGTTCAGAGAAGCCACCATGAATAAGATAACTAGTTACTTACTGATACTCTTTTCTAATAGTAATTTTCAAAGTCTCAAATAGTAGATTGCCTATTTATTTATTTATTGTCATTGTGTGATTGTTGAAATAGGGTCTCTCTATGTAGTTCAGACAGGTCCTGAATTCAGCAAACTCAGGCTGACTTTGAACTTGCAGCAGTCCTCCTGCCTCAGCCTCTCAAGTGTTGGAATTACAGGCGTGAACCAGGCCTAGCTGCAACTAATAGATTATTTTAAAGAGCAAAATTGAAATTTACAGTATAGTTATTTAAGGACTTTCGTATATGATAGCTGTTGCTCTCATAGCTGTGACCCTAGGACCTTGCTCCTTTGTGTATTTATAGCCCTCTAGCAGGAAACCAAGAGGATATTTCCTTTTGTCTTAAGTTTGTTAGTCTGTAAGGACTGAAAGAAACTACTGCATCTTCAGGATTTAAAAAGTTGATTTTTGTTGTAGTAAAATATATACATAATGTTTCAGACACCTGTAGATGAGCTCTCTCTTTGCCATGCTGAAACCAGACTACCCTAAGATCACCTTAATCCCCGCTGCTCCTGGGGTCTCCTCCCTCCCCTTTCCCTCTCCTGTGACTTGGTCCACTGCTGTTGCAAGGGCTTTTCTTGTGTGCTGTTCTGGGATTGTGACATTTTTCTATTCCATGTTTGCCAAGTTTCTTCTGTCACTGTCAGTCACTCATTCTGAAAAAGGACCTGCCCAGGGAAGCATTTAAAGGTGATGTCCTGCCCTTTGCTTTTGGCCTCTGCTGCTGCGCTGTTAGCCTCTGTGCTTGCTCCAGGGCTGCACATTGTAGACGCTCACCAAACCTCCTTCGGCTCCCACTGGGATGGGAGGGAGCTTTGGTTTTGTTCCTGAGGACGCCACCTTCACCTTAAGTGATTAACCTGAATCAATAGTCTCAATGTGTTAGATAAAAACCACTTTATCATTTAGCAAAAACTTTGGGAAAATATAGTCAGCATTTAAAAGTCTTTCAAAATTAAAGTGAAAAAAGTTGAGTTACTCAAAACTAGTTTTTTGGTTCAAAAATGGGAAATAATCATATTGGAGAAATTTGTTAAGCACTGGAGAGAATTAGAAATGATTGAGCTAATTTCATTTTAGCAGCCTCTGCTGTGTATTAGTTTGATCATCTTCATTTATGAGTGTGCATTTTCTCATTTGAATAAATAAGCATTAGGGAGAAGTACTGTATGTTAATTTGGCTAATCCATTCATTTATTCACAAAGGTTTTATTTCTTTATTTAGGCCAGCTTGGGAGATCATCTGTGGGGAATTTTCCTTTAAAGAGAATATGGTTCAAGATGAGCAGTATTCTATAAGTATATGTATATGCCTGAGTCTTATTTATGACTGTCAATAATTATACCAGTTACTAGTAATTAGTTTTTTCAGGACTTACCGTTTGAATTTGAAACAGGAGGAGAAATGAAAAAAATAAATTGGGAGCCAGTTTTGGTCTAGCGTATCTTTTTAAATATTTTACCTTCATAGTTATCTCATTATTTATGTTGACAGCTTTTTGACATTCACACCAGTGGCCTAGTGGCAGAAATTCACACCGGCCACCACAGTACCATCCAGTACTGCGACTTCTCCCCCCATAACCAGTTGGCAGTGGTGGCTTTGTCCCAGTTCTGTGTGGAGGTAAGTAGCTGAATTTATCCAGGAAAGTTTGGGTTTCCTGAGATCCAAGGGTTACAGAGAATGGGCTGCTTTCACCATTAGCTTTGGGGGATGTTTGCTGAGTTTTATTTTCTTCATAGCCTAATAACCTACAGTTTTGGGGTATTTAACTCTGTAGAGTTAGCTTTACTATTTTAACTGTGACTGAAGACGATTTGACAGTGTGACAGGGAATGGCAGTGTCACTCACCAAGCATTTATTGTATGTTGAGCGTGTGCTATAGTCTGAGGAAATAGTGAAAGGGCCGCTGGTTTCCCAGGCTGAACTTTGGCATTTCTTAAGCAGTAGAGGAATGGACTTAAAAGAGTGATGAGGGTTCCATTTAGAGTCTCAGATTATTTACTGAGTAGGATGAGATGGAAAATACCATCTGTTTGGAATTGGTTAAGATAAGGATCATCATTGCTGAACCCTAATGAATAAAAGAATTATAAATTATAAAGGAAATTATATAGTTATAAATTACTTGTTTAAATTTATGAATTTTATATTTGGAATCTTTACCTGGAAGAATTCTGCTCGGTGAGTTGCTATATTTAATACTCACTCAGTTGTATTTTTCCTTTAGAGGAAGAGTAGTTTTCCAAGATTTCAAGTTTGAGACCCCTTGAGATCTCAGTTTTAAAAAGAAAGGTGTGGGTCTTTATCTGCGAAGTAGGGAAATTGACCTGGGTCATAGGCTGCTCTGGAAGGAAACATTGAGTATTGCAAATACTTTATAGTGTTCCGTGCTGCTTTCAGTAGTTTGAGTGAGTTGCCAGTCTTGTTCCTTCCCGTTAAGGCATTAGGGGAGAGTTGCTAAGCGGAAGCCCCCAGCCTGGAGGTAGTAGATAAGATGAGAAGAGTGGGGAGCTCTGTGAGTGCCTCCTGATTCTTAAGTACTTGTCAGTTTACCTAGTGCTGAAGTGTTCCTCTGCTGAGAACTGCCCACAGAGAGTTAACGAGCTCCAGTTCTGTATGGAATGGTGGGGGAAGTGGGGAGTGTTCCCTCGGGCTGGACTGGCATATTCACATCTGCTCAGAGTCCCGGGGCCTTACCGAAATGTAGACCTCAAATAGATGGGGCTAGAATGTTCCCTCTTTGGATTTTGTAAAGATTTTTAGAAGGATGGAAGAGCAACCCCTTTTTTAGCCTTTCCTGTTTTTCCGAAGATCCTTGCCTTCTCTTTGAATCCTTAGAAAGCTCCCTAGGAAAGTGACTTCCTTTTTGAAATGTAGGAGTGTCTCACCGGAGCCTCCTGAAATGATGAGGGTGAGGTATGGAGGAGCAAGGAGGGAGAGAGAAGGCTTTTCAAGGGAGAGCTCCTCTTGCGGAATCATTTTCATTTCTGTTCTCTAGCTGTATACGTCACAGCTTGGACTCTAGAGATGAGGCAGAAGAAATTTCATATAATTCATTTGTAACCATAGAACTCAGTGAATAAAAAGCACTGTACTTGTTTTGCCCATGCTAGTTCTGAGATCATAAAGTAGGTCCCTAATTCAGAGTGTAATGCGAGGAACTCAGGCATGTAGATGGGGATGTATTTGAGTAATTTATGGCAGAACCCAGGACAAGGCATAGCCAGGCTGGTGGTAGATGTTGACAGATTTGTAATAAGCATGAATAACAGGCGAAATGTGTAGATGGTACAATTAATGCATCCATCTGTTGGGGTTTTGTAATCAGTTGAAATAAAGGTTAGATGACAATATTAGTGGAAAATTGTGTATAGAAGCCGCTTATGTTCATTCTATTCTTTTTAAGATTGATTTTTTTGTCTTTTTCCTTTTTATCGGTACTGGGGATCGAACTCACGACTGCCTGCTTGCAAGGCAGGCGCTTATGCTGCTGAGCTGAATCCCCAGCCCCTTTAAGATTGATTTTTAAAAAATAGATAAAAAGTGATTCTAAAATCAAAGCTTTATAAAAAGTTATATTTAGAGAAGTCTCACAATTGTCCTTATCCCTTCCCTCCTCTCTTCTTTCACTTCACTGTAGGCGATAGTCTTTCTTTTTGTATGAATAGATTCTATACATACACATGTTTGTGTATTCATCTCTATTTCCAACTCATATAAAATACAGTTATATATATACAGTATATATACTCTGCATTTTGCTTTTTTCCTCTTACTATATTGTAGAAATTAGTCATTACCAGGGTTTTCCCCAGATTCTGTTTTGTATGGTAGTCTGTTATGTGACTAATGTAGTTTATTCATAGTTATTTGGGTTGTTTCTAGTTGTTTGCTATTAAAAAATAATCATATAATGAATAATCTTCTGCAGAAGATACTTCATATGTTTCAAAATGACAATAGATATTGTGAAATAGGAAGAAACTGTTCAAAAGGAAAAGGGAACTAGGGAGGGGGGGAAGGAAGGGAAGGGAAAAAATGAGAAAAAGAAGGATAAAATGAAAACCAAGCTTTGTGAATGGGGAGAGAAAAGGGATTTGAAAGGAAGAGGTGGGAATGGGGAAAAAAAGAGGAATCACAATATATCCTGTGCAGATACAAATTCCCTTAATGGATGTGGTCGTTATGTGTACCCATATTACACCAATAAACCTAAATAAATTTAAAAAAAGATATTTTGTATGTTTGATAGTGTGTTTTGGGGCTATATTAATAGAAATAGTCATGTTTGCTATTTTCAGTGTTCTTGGAATGGTTAGAATGCTTATAAATGTGGTTTCCTCCTTCTGTAGTTATGGAACACAGACACATGTGTGAAGGTTGCAGACTGCAGGGGACATTTAAGTTGGGTTCATGGTGTGATGTTTTCTCCTGATGGATCATCATTTTTGACGTCTTCGGATGACCAAACAATCAGGGTGAGAAATTTTGAGATTTGAATATTAAATGTTTATTGATGGTTTTAAACCTTTTAAAAACTAAGGAACTGATCAGGAAGCGATAGAGAAAATAAAATAGGGAGCTGTTAGATCTGTCGTCAGCCTGGACCAGTGCCGGGATATACTACAGCAGTTTCACTTAGTCAGACGTGATCCTTGAGGATCACCATGTGCTGCAGAGTCCAGTGATTAAACTGTGTTTCGGTTAATTTACACATATTTATTTCATTTGGCTCTTGAGAGTAATTTTTGGCCTTCCCTTCTACCCTAAATTCCCACCTCCATTTCTTTGTGAGTTCTAATAAATTTTACCTGTCCATCTTTCTTGTCACTTTTACCCTCTTTTTGTTCCAGTTGCCCAGGTTCACACCTCGTTATCCGTTGCCTCCCTCGTATTAGTGTAGTCTCTGCTATAAATTGTTGTTCTTGTTTTTCTGTGTGCTGCTTTCAGGATGTTCTTCTCATGTACAATACAGCCATACCCTACTTGTAGGGCATCCTGTGCTTGCTAAGTGTGTGTTCCACCACTGAGCTGCATCCTTAGCCCTGGTCGTGTCATTTGTGCTCAAAAACAGATCGTGGCTTCACCTGTACCAAAGCAAAGGCCCTCTTCTGTACCATTTGGATTCTCTACAATATGCTCTCACTCTGCTCCACTCTGTCTTTCAGTATATTTCTAAGTAACCTACATGGGGCTGCTCACCCTGGAGGTTTCCTTTTGCTTAAGGCCTTTCTTATGTTCAGAACACATTGTATGTGTGCTTGTTGAAAAGGTAACCATCCTACGGCCCCCTCAAGACTTTCCCATTTAGAGGCGTGTCTGTCTCCTTTAAGGCTAGAAAATTCACTGTCGCTTTCTAATGTGGCTTGTCAAATTCTGACTTCACCTACAGATCTGATTTACTCTGCGCACCCCCATTCCTCCACTGCTTCTGATTAGTCACATGTTTTAGATTACAACCTTGTTGGCCCCTGTAGTATCAAATTCAGTAGTATCAAATACAGATTACAGCTATAGCTTACTAATAGTTACTTCATGTCAGACATTGTGCAAAGCACTGGACATGTATTAATTTACTGAGGCTCACAATTGTCTTTTTTCGTGGTTGAGTGAAAAGCATGGAAAGGTTAGTACTGCTTCATGTGCCAGGCTCTTTGAGCTTGAGCCAGGGTATCGGTCAACCCACTGCTTCCTTCATCCAGAAACTCTTACAGAAAGCAGTATCGCTAAACCTACAGTAACAGTAGGGTTAGCTGTACCGTTGTTTACATTCCCGTGCACACTTGGTATCTTGACTGGTATCAAACAGGAGCGTCAGGTGCTCTTATCTTTGATTGGCACTAGATTAGCCTGCCCAGAACCACAACTATGGAGAACTGAATTCGTATGAAGGCATTTTGGCTCCAGAGCCCAGAACTCCCAACGCTAACTGCTTCTAACTAAGGAATGTATTAATAAATATTTATTGTTGAGTTATAATCTAATTTTAATAATTGAAAAATTTCTAACATAGGGATTTTAACTGTGAAGCATAGTTTGTGTCATGCTTTAAGGCTGTTTGTCCTTGTGTTATGTCAGAGGTTGGACTGATAACATACAGTTTTATCTTAGTTTTTTTATCTCTGAATCAGGTCTGGGAGACAAAGAAGGTGTGTAAAAACTCTGCTGTTGTGTTAAAGCAAGAAATAGATGTGGTGTTTCAAGACAATGAAGTGACGGTCCTTGCAGTTGACAATATGAGACGTCTGCAAGTGAGTATTTTTAGGAAATAATTGGTAAAATTGTTTTGTTTTTCTTGTTCATGGATTTGGGGTCAGGCACAATTGTATAGTACTTAACTGGTGACCAGTATGGGTCCCAAGCTGAGGCTTAGCTGGGCCAGTGTTTGGGATTAAACTAGGTGCTGCCTCCAATGTTCCTCTCCTGTGGTATCTGTGGTCACATTCCTCGGTTTGCATGGAGTCATAGGAACACCCTTAAGGCAGACTTGTTCACAGGAATGATTTAGACGTGTCCCACGGGGTAAGTGAGAGAGATGAGATGCACTTTGGGAAGAGGAGCACTCATGGGAGCACTTTTGCAGGGAAAGGATAATAAGGCCTTTGAAAAAACAAAAATCACTCTTAAGTTGGGAAGGGGTCTGAAGTCATCAGAACCGAGGTAGAAGAGCTGACTTATCTGCTGTAGTTCACCACATCCGCCCTTAGTAAATGTGTCAAGAGAACACAACTCCGTTGTGTCCCTAAGGGAAGTGTATCATTTCTGGATCCCCACAGTGTGCTCTAGGCTGATTTCCTTGCGCCCCTGATGGAGAGTCCAGTGCATAAGAGGAAGCCATTGCTAACCTGGCTGCAGAGAAATCGCAGGGGCCTGGTGCAGGGGAGTGGTATTTTGGAGCCCTGGGGACTGGTAATGGAGAGAGCAGATGCCCTTAGGAGCATTGGCATTCAGTAGCAGGGTGGCATGCCTGGGTTAGTGGCCTTGGAATGGCAGTCCAGTGCTATCTGCCTTGTACTGACAGAGGGCCTAGAAGTGGTGGCAGCAGGACAAAGCGAACGCTTAATGGAGTCTCAGCCCTGAGAGAATGCCTGCCTGGTGCCCAGCCCACAGAAAGCAGCCAGGGAGCAGCCGGGCAGGCGGTGTCAGCGTGAGCAGCCAAGGGCCAGTGAGTCTGGCAGAGAGTGGTGGTGAGGGGCAGCCGGAGAGGGCCAAGGGCCGGTGCATTTGGCTTTTTTGTGAACTGGTGAGACATCCCCTTGCTTGAGGCTCCTCTGACAGCCAGGCTTGGGGAGGAAGGGAGGGCTAAAGAGCCTATGGCATTTGTTCATGTGGAGGGGCTTGCCTCTGCAGGCTGTGAGCTGGGTGCAGGGCTAAGGTAGAATCTGAATTCAGGAGACTGTTCCGGGGGTAGCTTGGTTTCGGTCTGTAAGAACTTGTCTTTACCTGCCGAGTAGTCAGAAGCGAGCTTCGAGACACCTGTAAACACGGCTTGCTTTGTGTTGTGGGTTCTCTCTAGTCTGCAGGGTCTTGGCTAGTGCTAGGTGTCTCTGGGATGAATTTAGATACTGAATTGAATGTGATTTCCTCATAGCTGGATTTTAGTGGGCAGATTGTCCTGCTTTGGGATATTTTCATTGTAGTTTCTTGTCAGGTTCTATGTCCCCATGCCTGTATTTCCAGTGTTAAATTTGTATGATCTTTTCATTAACAGTTGTCAGGAACTGGAGAGTTTGTGAAGTTAACTATAATTTTATTCTATGCCAGTGGTTGGGGGAGAGTTAAGGTATTAATTCCATTTGAATGAATAAAACATTTTTTTAGTTACTAGTTAAAGGAGCTCTCAAAATTGATTTTTTTTTTAAGCCAGTCAAATTTAGCAGTCGGGGGGGGGTGGTATACCAACTTTACCAAAATTGATTTTTTAAGAGATAAAGATGTTTAGCTTTTTGTAGTTCATTCCTCATTTAAAATATGTATTAGAGGAGTTATAGCTCAGGGGCACAGCATCTGCCTGGCAAGCATGAGGTTATGAGTTCGATTCCTGATTTTAAAATAGGTATATATATTTATTAGAACACACTGGGCAGACTGTTGTAAAGAAGAAGCTGTCTGCGATTGGTTGGCCCTGTAATCTTTGTACCTGAAATGAATTTGACTGTTTATCTCATGCTGAAAAACAGTGAAAAAATTTTATATTATGACACTAAATTAGAGTGGAATATCCGAAATTTGATTTAGGCTTGAAACATATTTTTCAAGGTCACATGTTTTAGTTGAGAGCTAAGGCACCTTTTTTGTGGAATTTCCAAAAACAATTGTTAGCATTGGTTCATATTATAAAACTGAGAATCTAAGCGTTATAATTCCAGCTACATAAATTACGCTTATGGCTTCTTCTCCAGTGTCTGTCTGCTCCTCCCTACCCCCAAAAGGAGAGGGTCTTCCCTTAACTTGTTTATGGGTGATTTGGAGACTATAACAACACATTTTAATGTAGATTTGTCTTTTTATACAGTGTGTGTCTCACTCCTTTTTCACCAACCCCTTTGAAAAATACCAGGAAAGTGTATTTTGACAAATGTAACCCTGTGAAAACCAGGCTTTGTGAGGAAAACAGGGTGTGGAGATGGCTGCAAGATCACAGATCAGCAGATGTGTCTCGGCGGTGGGGAAAGAGCTGCCTTTCAACCCTTTAAAGCTTGTTTTATTTTATGAAAATGTATTTGAACCACAAAAGTGAAATGAAATGAAAGCATAAAGTGCTAAATGCAGCTGCTGAGACAAGGAAGGGCTTTGCTGTTCCTGTGGGAGCTCTTGCTGGTTGTCTGCTGTGTTTTATGTTTTAAATTGAAGCGTCTGTTCTTAAGAGCAAAAACTGCCTGTACAGTCTGACAGCTAATTGTGCCTTATTTTTCATTAGCTCATTAAGGGAAAAACAGGTCAGACTGATTACCTGACGGAAGCTCAAGTTAGCTGCTGTTGCTTAAGTCCACGTCTTCAGTACGTTGCAGTTGGAGATGAAGATGGAGCCATCGAGGTATTCAGTCCTAGTCTTCAGAGCTGGGTAGCAGGCTTGTTTACTTAAATACTTGCCACTGCACACTCATGTACTAAACAAACTTTTCTGCCCTCTGGTACTCATGTTCCTTCCGTTAGACGACAAATGATCTTTTCCAGTGTGTTGCGCTTTTCAGATTGCCTTCACTCCTGTTTCTCAGGCTTTTGTGTTCCTTATTCTTTACTATAGTTGGATTGCTAGTCTATATGTATATTAAATACCAGCCAGCAGAGGTTTACATAGCTCTACCAGAAGCGTTTTTCCTGCTTCTCCTGAGAAGCTCAGCTGTGTGGCTGTAAGTCCTTAGCACTTTGGTGATGGTAAGGCTCTTTGGAAATACTGGGGCACAGCCCTTTGCTTCCCTATGTTTGGAGTTAGATTCTACTTGCTCAGCACCTGAAACCTTTAACTTCTCTAATGGGACCAAATAGGTAGAAATAGAGTCGGGTTGTAAGACAAAAAAGATACGGTGGTAGAAGACATTTTAGATGACAATATTGTCTTTATCATAAATAAAATTTGTCACAAGTTGCCATTTTCTGTAGCTATATAGTAATTTTTAAGAGTATCCGTTTTTTTTTTTCCTCACTCAAACCTTTGGGAATTATTTCTTTATAAATTCTGGCACTAGCCACGTTTCTTTTACCTTGGATTTATTTTCTTAAAGAATTTTCTAGTCCGTATTGCCCTACAAACTGGAAATTGCATGGTTATCCACAAAGTGAAGAAGGAAGTGATGTGAGGGCTGCTATGTGTTTCCCTTAGCCGCTGTGGATGGATTCAGAGTTAAGGCTCTGTTTTCCTTCATTATTTTTCATTATTTCCTTCACTATTCAAATGGCAGTTTCATATGGCTCAACCTCATGTTGTCAAATAATAATAGCAGTTACTGTTTATAGGCATTCACTCGGCCGCGTATTCTCGTTGAATTCTTTAATATTCTAGATGTGTATTACTGTTCTTGTTTGCAGATGTCTGAACTGTTAATGTTCACAGCTTCCTAAGCGGCAGGCCTGGTGCTCAAGCCCAGGTCTCTGAGGCTGTGTCATGTTGCCTTCGCTGCAGGGTGTGCAAGGTGTTGTCTTCTGTGCACTTCCGGAGGCTTCGTCCCCCTCTGCTCTCAGTTCCCTCTACTCTCGGAGGGGTCTCTTTTCAGACGTGGGGGCTAGGTTTGCATTTCTGGAATCTCCTCTTCCAGCCTCACTTTAGGCTTCCTTGAGTGCATTTTAATTTGAGCAGAGAAACCATATTTATTTTTGGGAGGCTATTCAGCTTATTTGTAGGCTTTTAAAAATCATCATCAGTTTTTCTGTTTCTTAATTTCTGCCTGTGGCATGTTAGTCTCCAGATGCCTGAAGTCCTGTCACTGCCGTTCCTCGGCCTTGTCATATCTTCTTTTTCTCTGTCTCCTCTGTCATCCTTTATCTTTCCTTGTCTCTATGGTGTTTTATGAAGAGCTTGCTGTGTTTCGTCTGGGATTTTTCCTCTTTTCTTTCTCATCCATTTTAAATGTCATTTTCTTTTTGGAGACTGAGCCCAGACTGCCACTTGTTTGATGAATTGGCTGTTGTGTAATCAGAGGATTACTGGTCCCTTCTATTTTTGTTTTGTTTTGTCTTTTTGAGACAAGGTCTCACTCAGCAGTTCCTGCTGGCTCTGAACTCACTTTGTAGCTGAAAATGGCCTTGGACTCGAAGTGATCCTCCTTCCTCGGCCTCCCAAGTGCTGGGATTACAAGCGTGCACAAGCATGCTTGGCTGTTGTTTTGATACAAGGTCTCACTGTGTAGTTCAGGTGACATTCAGCTCACCCAGGCTGGCCTCCCAACTCAGTGATCTTCCTGCCGCAGCCTTCCAAGTGCTGGGGTTGTAGACGTGCACCACTATGCCTGGCTCATTTGTGTGTTTTAGTTAAATGGAAAGCATGTGATATGAAATCGATATCTCTCTGTAGGCTAAGTTCAGTTTAATATCTTTGTGGTACAATGCCTTCATTTGCTTAATCTCTTTGAATTAATTTCTTATGATTTTCTACTTTGAAGATTTTAGAACTCCTCAACAACAAAGTGTTCCAGTCCAGGATTGGGCATGGGAAAGCAGTGCGGCACATGCAGTTCACAGCTGACGGGAAGACTCTTATTTCAAGTTCTGATGATTCTGTGATTCAGGTGAGAGAGCAAATAAACTCAGGGAGGAGAACAGAAGAGCACTTCTCTAGCAAAAGAGCGCACTGACTGTACCTAAAATCTGTTGTGTATTTTAAACATACTAATTTGGGGCTGGAGATTTAGCTCTGTGGCAAGGTGCCTGCCTGGTTAAGCATGAGGTCTTGAGTTCGATTGCCGGTTCCAAGAAAAATAAATTAAACATACTACTTTGGTTGTATATTTAGATTATGTGCACAGTATTTGTTTTTTATACTAATAGCTATATATTTTTTTGCCACATTTGTGTGCTTTTCTTTTTCCTTTACATTAGCAAAATCCAATTAAAATAATTTCATTCTTTAAAGAATGGTATTTATTACAGGGCTGAATTCTACAAAGCATAGTTTGCCATAATGAAGGACTGTGGCTACGGAGGCCTTAAACTCCTATGTAGTCCTTCTAAATTTCCATGGTTTTATTGCAGTTTCACTGCACATACTTTCAAAACTCAAATCGTATCACAAAGCTTATTGTGACAGATAGACCTCCACCGCATGTGTCACTCTTCAGAAGACCCGCATCCTCACCTTCACGCCACATGGGACGTGTTCATAGAGTTATTCTTGATTTGCTCAGTTACGGCCTGAATTCCCTGCAGTGAGGTGAGGGTTTAGCTTTCTTCCCCCTCCCACCGTCACACCTGCAACATGTCTGCACACACATGCATATGTGCCTTTTTCCATCCCCAGCACCCTGACAGTTATGACAAGATTTTGTTTTGACCCTTAATATCACTACTACAGCTAAGTCCATTTTGTGTACTATGGTGCTATGAATGCATTTTCTGCTTTATGCAGTTTAGAAAAATTCATCCTTCAGCTAGATGTAGTTGGATATTATTTTACCCAAAGAATTAAGATATGTTATGTACATAATAAGCATAATTATTACGTATTGAAAACATGTACTAATCAAAATAAATTTTTAAAGGAAATGATTTCACCTTCAAACTTTGAAGATAGTGCTGCATTTTCTTCTAAGTTCCAAGTCTGAATCCATTTTGCCTTTTGTCCTGAGACAGGGTCTCTGTATGCAGTACAGGCTGGCCCTGAACTCACCATGTAGCCCATGCTGACCTTGAACTCACTGTCATCTCCTGCCCCAGCCTCCCAGGTGTTGGGGCTACAGACCTGCACCTCTGGGCCTGGCTCCATTCTGCTTTCTGATCTTTTTCTCTGGAAGTTTTTAAGATCTTGTCTTTGCCTCCCGAATTTTGACACGGGCTGATCTAGTGCCTTGACTGTTCTGTTTCCTCTATCGTTTGGGACATTTTGTATCTCCTTAATCGGAAACTTTTTTTTTTTGTCTTTTTTATCGGTACCAGGGATTGAATTCACGACTGCACACTTGCAAGGAAGGCGCTTATGCTGCTGAGCTAAATCCCCAGCCCTTAATCGGAAACTTAAGAGTTTTCAGTTTGGGGAAATTTACTTTAATTGTTTCTTTGAGTTATTTTTGGTTCCATCTTTCTCTTTCTATATCATCCCTTCTTCAAATGTCCTTTTGTGGACTGATCATCTAGCTTTTTCTACATTTCATTTTTTTCTCTTGTGCTCTCTTTAAGAGTTTTTTCTCAGTTTTACTCTTACCCTTAATATTGAGTTTTTCATTTATACCATTATATTTTTTTAATGCCCATAAGTCCATTCCTAGTGTTTATTCCTTTTGAAAAACATTGTATTTTTTGTTTTGTAGAAAAAAGTACCTTTTCTAGGGGCCAGGGGTTTAGCTCAGTGGCATAAGAGCCTGCCTTGCAAGTGCATGGCCATGAGTTCGATCCCTGGTACCGACTGAAAAAAAAAAAAAGATCTTTTATCTCTCTGAGGAGACACATACCGCTTATACACAGACATACAAAAATATATAGAAAAATATATAAATATGTATAATTTACACAATATAGATTACATACTATCTATGATTATGTAATTTATACCAAGATATGTGTAATTCACACCCACACGCCTTCCTCAGTCAACTGCTTTTCCTTTTTGGTGGCTTTGCCCTTGTTTGAAAGCCCGCCCAGCCATGGAGCGCTCGTCAGCTGCCCAAGATGGGTGCAGCAGAGGCTGACGGGAGCTCTGTGTGTTGACTGAGGTACTGTCTGCAAGGCCGGTCCTCGGATTCCTGGCAAGGACTTGGGTCTCCTGCTTGGCGGTTAAACCTTCCTCGGGATTAGGGGAGAGCAGGGGCCGCAAGAGAACTAGATCTCAGCCCTCACCCCTTCCCTGTCCTCAGAATCTAGCTCTGCCCTCAGTTGTGCTGGGCCTTGTAACCCAAGATTTCAGTTTCCTTTTATTATCTGTAGGAGCAGTATTCTACAGCTCTCTCTCTCTCTCTTTCTCTCTCTCCTTCCCTCCTTTCTTCCTTCCTTCCTCCTCTCTCTCCTCTCTCTCTCTCTCTTTCTCATAGTAACTTGGGGATTCAGCAATATGTTTTTACCAGTACAGAAAAGCCAGTGTTTCCCTGAACTCTGGAGTTGGGGAACCCAGCGTTCCTAGCTTCACAGCTCTCAAGCAACTTCTGTTCGCACGCAGTGTTGAAGCCGTGCCCTTGTTCTTAGGCCATCCCCTTGTACTTTCCTTTTCCCTCTTTTTTGTCCAGCCTTGTCTGCCTTGTTGCTGTCAGCCGCACCTGGCTCAGGTGGATTCTGTGCCAGTGGCCTCCTCTGTGGGGGTTTGGCCTTGTGGATTCCGAGTCACTGCAGGAAGGGCTGCGGTCCCCACCGGGTCCACGTGGACCCTCTGTGCTGCGCCTCTGCTGTTCTCTAGTCTGCGCAGTGCGTTTCCAGGTCACTTCCCCTTGGCATCCTGAGTCTCCCTAGGTTGATGCTGTTACCGTGGAGGTCACACAGCTCGAAGTTTGTCCCCATCCATATTTTTTTAAAACAAAATAAAAAGAAATGATACAGAATGTCAAAAAAACAGTAGGAAATTAACATTAGTTATTTGTATTTGGGGTTTGTGAGGTTCTCTTTGATGATTCTGCACAGATGTTGTCTGTATGTTTTTTGTTGGCCTAGTAGCTTTGTTACTTTTAATGGAGGGCTCCAGGGAGACCAAGAAGCTATGCCTGCTCCTTAGCTGTTTTCCCAGAACCCTTCTGCTCCTGCTCTGGGCCCCACCCTCACCCCGCCTTGGCTATTGAGCGCCTCCAGTTTCTGAGCGTTTGCAGAGTGCCTGGTGTCAGTGTGGTTGCTTTTGGTGTTCTCTCCTGGGGTCTGCAGTAGTTACCATTCTGCTTTCCAGTGTTTTGTTATCTCCCCTCCTGGGTCCTCCTCTTGGCCATGTCATATGAGTAGGGTTTCATCGATGAAGGAGATAGACCTGTGTGTGCAGTCACTATATTATTTTGTATATAAATTTCTTATGGTGGCAATATTTACCTGTAGTATTCAAAACTGTTGTGGAAAAAGTGATCCTTTTTGTTATAGCTTTGTGAGTCCTGTGAGGTGTAGGGTTAGAATAAAATCTGAAGGCGGGCGCGTTTTTACTGTGGGCCCCAGGATGCTCCCTTATTGGCTGTGAGTCTTGGCACAGACATTTCTTCCTCTCCTTTAAATGGTAAAACCAGCTGTATCTGAGGCGTTCTGTGGGGACGCTGTGTGCCACGCAGTCCTTCTTAGCAGAAGTTCGTAAGGTTTTATGACCTGCTTGAAGACTTCAGGTATTCTCAGCCAGAGGGAGAAACAATTTCTGAAACTGTTTTTAGGAAAAGAGTTAGATTATATTTAGAAATACAGGTTGTATTCCATCTTCTTTTTCTGTTTCTGTTTAGAATACTATTTACATTTACAGTGTTTTGATGAGTATATATTCATGTGATAAACTCTTGGTAGATATTTCTAAGACATGGCTGGTTCCTTCCTCAGCTTTTTAATGATTTAGTAAATGACTAAATAATGGAGGTTTGTCTTAATCATTTTGTACCCCAGTGCCTGGATTTTAATAGGGATTGAGTAAATCTTTCAAGCTGAAGTTATTGTTAAAATATAGAGAATAAATTTGGCGAATTGGACTCAATTTCTATGTGCTGTAGTTGAAGGCTTTTACTTGTAATGTAAGAATATATTGGTTCTTAGCTGGGCATGGTGGTACATGCTTGTAATCCCAGCACTCAGGTGGCTGAGGCAGGAGTTTGAGGCCAGCCTGCGCTACAGAGTCAGACTCTATCTCAAGAAAGAAGGAAAGAAAGAAAGAGAGAGAGAAAGAGAGATAAAAATGAAAGAATATATCAGTTCTTGCAAATATATGAAGTTTCTTTAGCTGGAGTGGTGATGTATGCCTGTGATCCCAGTTACTTGGGAGGCTGAGGCAGAAAAATTCCAAGTTCAAGACCAGCCTGGGCAATTGAGCAAAATCCTGACTCAAAAAAAAAAAAAAAAAAAAAAAAAGGGCTGGAGGAGTAGCTCAGTGGTAGACTGCGCCTGGGTTCCATCACTAATACTGCAAAAGGAAAAAGTTCTGTGGATATGCTTACAAAATTTGCAGCCGATGGCAGACTCCTGCAAACTCACCTCTATGCAGTTGACTAATGGTGAAGTTTAGCTGTTCCATCAAGGTGTCTCAGTTAGCACAGTGTGTTTGAGTTCAACATAAAAGCATCAGTGCCATCGGACACCGTGCAGGCTGTTATAAATCTGCCCTTGGCAGTCAGGCAGGCGCTCTGGCTGCTTGTTGGAGAGGCAGCAGGGAGGGCCCTGGTTGGTCATGGATGGAGATGGACGAGGAATGGGCTCCGCGCGGGACTGTCGGTGTCTGTCACCCAGGCAGTGCCTTTAGGAGTAGCTGCTGATCCTTTAGAAAGAGGGGATGGGGTGGGGGGAGCTAGGAATGCTGGTGGACACCACCCATGGTGTTTCCTGCTTAGATACTCCGGCGCCCTTCCTGTCTGTCGCGATTTGAGAAACGGGCTTTCCCATTCCCTCTTCTTCTCTGGTCAGTGTCTCATTGGATTCGTAAAGTACTGGTTTCTATTCATTCTTATCAAAAAGTTACTCTTCAGTGCTTCGTCTGTGCAGAGTCCTCTGTGAACACGACAGCACCCTGGCTTAGAGCCCCGCTTTTGCACACTAGCGCCCTGAGCTGGAAGCTAGCTGAAAGTCTGGAAGCCAGGCTCCGCGGGAGGAGGTGGTTGCTAAGTGCGGTAGAGAGAAGAATACAGACAGGAAATAGCAGTTTTGCTTCGCCTGATGGGAAAAGGCGTCAGGACAGTTACTGTTTAACCTTTGCAGTCAGAGCCTAGACCGGCGTTACTGCTGTGCATCCTCGGTGGTGCCTGAGGTTTCATGGTCTCTTCTCCTTTCCGAGTCGGCCGGCCGGGGTGGCTGCTCCTTCCGCGGCCCTCTGCTGCTCTTTGAATACCCGCCCTGCCTTCTTCCTCCGCGGTTTCTCCGGCTCATGCTGTGCTGGAGCCCTGTGGGTCCGCGAGGAGGCCCGTGACGGTGTCACACAGTGGTCCTGTGCGCAGCTGCTGCCAGCGATGTCCCGCTGTGTGGCAGCCTCCCTGGAGCTGCGCTGGTGGTGCCGTGCTGTAATTCTAGCTCCGGGAGGCTGAGGCGGGAGGACTGCAGATGGGGGCCGTTCTGCCCCGGCAAAGGCCAGGGATCGCCTTCTCAGGTACGAGGCGCCCCCCGGGCCTTCCTCCAGCTGCCTCAGCGCCCGGCTTCCACCAGCTTTGGCCAAGGAATTGCCTGAATTCCACAGAACTTCCATCCTCTGTCATTCGTAGCTTCTAGGGAGGATTTTTTTTTTTTTTTTTTTGGTATGTTTCATTTTATTTCTTAATTTTCTTTGTGGTAGATCCTGTTTGATTTACATTTGCCTCACATGGAGGTGCTAAACAAACATTTGTAATGTAAATTCATTTGCAGTCAAGAATTTCTTTTTCCCTTTTTCTTTTTTTGTCTTTTTCGTTTTTATCGGTACCAGGGATCGAACTCACGACTGCCTGCTTGCAAGGCAGGCACTTATGCCGCTGAGCTAAATCCCCAGCCCCTGCAGTCAAGAATTAACAAGGCTGTAGAGGCGGTTGCTCTGATTTAGGAGAAAGGAGAAAACGTGTTGCACACGGATGTGCTCTGCTGGGCCTCACAGTGCCCAGCGCTTACTCTGTGCTGGTGACTGTCATATTTCAGTGCCCGTTTTATTTCAGTGCCTTTGTGTCTGAGGAGGAGTCCTGAAGCTCTGGGTGAGAACTAACCCCTCTTCCTCCTCCTGTCATTTGGAGGGTTGCCTCAGGGCAGATGGCCACCCTTCAGAGCTTTCAGTGACAAGGAACAGCTGGTTGTGTGTTCATAGGTTCCCACCACTGCTGTAGGGGGAGCTCAGCCGCAAAGCTCTGCAGTCAGCCAAGCTTCCTGGGCTGTGGCCAGCTTCAGCAGCGCCAGAATCCATAGTGTTGTCCAGCTTATAGGTTTAAAAATCGGGATAATAAAAAAAAATCAGGATAATTTTCTCTGGAAAATTTAATCAGATGGTGAGTCAACTGGCATTTGGGGCTTTTTACAATCTTCTGGTATAATTAACTATTCTCCAAGCAACTGATGAAAACAGATTTTATTTAGGAGGGAAAGTGTTTTATTTTGTCTCTACTCAAGTTAATTAACCCCAGCTTTTCTCATAAAGTCTGGGCGACTGTGTACCCTGTTACTCTGTTCTGTTAGAAGTGCTGTAAGGATGCAGGACTTCAGGGGGAGCGCCCACTCCCTCCCCACTGCAGGGGTCTCAGTAGAGGCCCTAACAGAGTCCCTTCTTTTACATTCAGGTGTGGAGCTGGCAGTCAGAGGAGTGTGTGCTTCTCCAAGCCCATCAGGAAACAGTGACAGACTTTAGGCTCCTAGAGAATTCAACATTGCTTTCTTGGTCATTTGATGGCACAGTAAAGGTAATTTAAATTTCAGCCTTTTTTTTTTAAGTATTCTGTATTTCAGTGATTGTGTTGTGAGACCCAAAAGCATTGTGTGTTAAATAATTAAAATTTGTAATATGTCTGCTCTGTTCACTGTGGTTACCTATATCTGCCAGCATTTTTACTAAAAAATACTTAAAGAGGTCAGAACAGCCGGTGTACTGAACCCTTGTTTTATAGATTTGTCTTATGGCTAATCCTGCTTGATACAAAATGTTTGTGTCAATTTCTGAGGTTTTTGTTTATTTGTTTTTAGGTGTGGGATATTGTTACTGGAAGAATAGAAAAAGACTTTGTCTGTCACCAGGCTACAGTGCTTTCTTGTGATATTTCTTCTGATGCTACCAAGTTTTCGTCGACCTCTGCTGATAAGACTGCAAAGGTAGGGCGTGGGGTCCAGCGTTTGTGGGCAACACTTTAGCACTGGTTCTGTGGGAGGAGTCCAGGATGGCCTAGGCTGCAGGGCCTCGTGGGCTACCCTGTGCTAGGAACGCTGAACCTAGGTGCCATGTCCCCATTTCACAGATACAGAAAGGTGACCACAGTTTCCTAGGTCACAAGGAGGTGCCGAGGTGCCATGTCCCCATTTCACAGATACAGAAAGGTGACCACAGTTTCCTAGGTCACAAGGAACTAGTAAAGAGCGGGACTGGGCTACACGCTCATGTCTGCCTCGCTGTTTGCCAGATCTGCCAGGTTGTTAACTGACCTGTGTTCTGCCATCCGGGTCTGAAGGTAGCTGTGAGCTGGCATTTGGCTTCGGTTTAACCTGAGTAATTAAAGGGATGCTCAGCCCAGTGAACACAGCTGCGGCTCAGCAGGTGGAAGAGCACAGTCCGGGCATGGGGCCTCCCTGGGGCTGCGGCTGCGCCAAGCTTGAGACAAGTTCACAGCCGAGAGTCACGGAACCCACAGTCTCCATTGCCTTCCAGATTTGGAGTTTCGAGCTCGCGTCCCCCCTTCATGAATTGAGGGGCCACAGTGGCTGCGTGCGCTGCTCCACCTTCTCCGAGGATGGGTCGCTGCTGGCCACTGGAGATGACAACGGAGAAGTCCGGGTAGAGTGTCGCTAATCAGAAGGCCAGCCCCGGTCACCCCGCGGGGGAGCTTTGTGGGTGGGATGGCGAAGCAGGGGACTCGTGACCTGTGGTTGGGGTGAGGGCGGCTGTGCCTTGTTTCTTGCACACCGTGAGACACAGCTGCCTCCACTGCAGGAAGGGCTCATTTGGGCATCAGAGCCGGCACTCCCTCCATATCCGAGGAGGCAGATGCCCTACCTGTTTGCAGTTGGTTCTCTGCTCGTAGTTTGAGGAATGATTCGTCCTAATTTTTGAACTCAAATCAGAAGTTGTTTTTAGTGGCAGAATTTGAAGAAAGTCGTTTTGTAAATCATTGTCTGAGTTACAAGTAAATTGCAAATTCTGCTGTTTTCCTGCTTACAGAAAGGATCTCTTAGCACTCGCAGCGCAGTCTGCTGGCGCCTCCGTGGACTGTCTGCCTAGGTGGATAATCGGGCAGCTCGGAGGGCCCTCAGTGAGGGCGACTGCACAGCAGGCCGGTTCTCATCCCCCTCCCTGCAGTGCTTAAGGTGCACATACAGCAGCTCTGGTGTTTAGAAAACCCTCTTTCCAGAAGGTGTGGTGTTCCCTGCCCTTCCGTGGGAATACTTTATGGAAAGTATGCCATGCTGAGAGAGGAGGAGTCACAGAGAAGCCCTTAGTCAGCTGCTGGTGTCACAGCAGTTGCACAAATACAGGAGAAACCTGAGCTTTGAGATGACTGCTTTGGCGGCCAATTTAAATGAGGAGGGTTCCCCGCTTCTTGCTTTATTTCTTTGACAGATTTAAAGCTCCAAGAGTAGATATATAATGCGGACAACAGGAGAGTATGGGTTTTGTGGGAGTAGGGCGTAGTCGGAACGGCTGTCCAGGAAGAGTAAGCTTCTCTGGCTTGAGGAGTGACCTGATCCGATCGCAGAAGTGCCACCTAGGCTGGAGCGGCAGGGCTGCTGTGACAGTCTTCACTTTGCCCCAGGTTCTCATCTTTCCGTGAAAAGCCCCTTTACCTGTTACCAGACAGGGTTTCACTTGTCAGAAACCGTTACAGGAAAAAAACCTCTCAAAACTTTTCCTTGATGGATCTTTTTTTAAAGAAAATATTTTCTGTTTGATTGGCCTGTCAGAAAGCTGTGGGTTTTGTGTATGTGTATGCTACATCTAATTGCCTTACTGAATTTCTCTCTGGGTTTTCTCATTTGTTTCTCTTGGATTTTTAGGGAGACATTGCAAACGATGGCTTTAATTATTTCCTTTGCTGTGTATGCCTCTATTTCTTACTCTTTTGTGCATTTCACTGCTTTTATATTGTCACAGGAGTAAAAGAACGTATTAGCATCTGTAAATGACTGGATCAAGAGTCTAGTTGAACTAAAATAATAGTTGAATATATATTTAGAACCTTAGAAGACTTTCATCCTTTAGACGTTTAGATTACGTTTGTCAACATTTCTGTGTTAGCTCTTGGGCTGACTGCTTTGTCATTTTATCTTGTTTCACTTTGAGGTAGTTTATGTGGCCTCTTGTTTTTCCTTGCTCTTCTTCCCTTCATTCCTTTTTCCTCCTTCTCTGTGCTGGGGATTGAACTCTGGACCTTACACATGCTAAGCTCACACCCTAAGCCCACTTTTAATTAATTAAAGTGGTGGAATCAGTAATCTAATCAGTCACTTTAATTTTTTTTTTTAAGATTTTTGTTTTGTCTTGAGACAGGGTTGTACTATGGAAATTAGTCTGTCCTTGAACTATTATGTAGCTCGTGGCAGTCCTCCTGCCTCAGCCTCCTGAGTGCTGGGTTGCAGGCATGCTCTAGTGTTTTTTTCAAAGCATCATTTCCACGTGAATCCCAGACAATGCATATGTGTGCTTTAAAATTAGAGAAGCTTCTTAGTAACTGTGTTAATGGATTCCGTACCGTTTTGCACAGATATGGAGCGCCTCAAAGGGGGAGCTACTTCACTTGTGTGCTCCGAGTTCAGTAGAGGACGGAGCTGCTACCCACGGAGGCTGGGTGACTGACCTCCGCTTCTCCCCGGACAGCTCCGCGCTCGTCTCTGCTGGAGGGCATCTTAAGGTGAGGGCTCGCAAGGCCTGGAAAGCAAACGGTAGCTTTGGTGCTTTTCCGCGCGATGTTCCCGCCTTCTCAGCCCGGCTTCCTCCAGCCCAGCACAGTGGAGGCGCTCGTGCTGCTTTTCCTGTTTTGCAGAGGTGAGGCCTTTGGGGCTCAGGTCTTCTCAGGAATATTCTCGGTCCACTGTGTTCCTGCCCCTCCATGCCACCTAGATGACCACCAGCATTCGGGGCGTTCAACTGATTTTCCATGTCTCTCGTTAAATATTGTGGTTGAAATTCATCTACAAATATATATATTTGTAAAATTTCCTTTCTTCAGTAAGAATGGCAGCAATGTATTGTTTTATAGTGTGTAACATACTTCCACTTGCTAAGGTTTTGAAGCTTAAATTTTACTCTCTCTGGGTTACAAGTGAACAAACTGATTTTCATGGAGGTTGTGACTATAATAGCATCATTAGTAAGTGGAGGTGGCGACTCACGGGTCCCGAGGCCTCCGCCTCAGTCTTCCCTGGCAAGTCGGCTCCTGCCGACCTAACTGGTCCTATACCTGTGGAGGCCAAGGCGGGTTCTGTGGGCAGCATGGTATCTGGATGGCCATCAGTACCGTGTGCAGAGCCCATGTGCTGGGACAGCTCCGTGGGGCACCGTGTCTCCAGCTTGTTCCGGCCCATGGGGAGCAGACAGCAAATGCAGCCGCTGAAGCATGGGGGATCTGCAGCGATTCATAGGCAGGACAGGGAGGAGAGGGGGAAGGAGAAGTGAGGGGGGAGGAGAGAAAGGGGAGCGGAGGGGAGAGACCTGCCTGCCCTTGGGAGTCAGCAGGGCCTTCATGTGGAGAGGGGTTCCGCAGGGAGTCCTGAAGAGCTGTTCACTGGCAGAAGAGGCATGTTACCCTGACCACCGGGACGTTCCACCTGCGGTATTGTTTGAGTTTGACCCCACGGGTTCTCTGGTAACACACTCTCACAGACAACAGGGAGGTGAGATGATTAATTGACCACAGTACAGATTTTCAGAATACTTGAGTGAAGTGTTTGGTTATAGGGACCCACATAATTATAACTCCACTCAACACAGAACTCTAGCTTATGAAAACGGTGAGTTGGGGGAATTTTCAGCTTTATGAGAGGATGTATGTTATGACTCTTACATTTTACATTGGAAATAAGAGTCTGTTAATGTCACACACCTGCATGACGAAGTTGTTAAGGGTCCTGAGCCGTGCCCAGAGGAGAGACTGTGCTGCCTTGTGTTGGGCGCTGATGGTCCCCGGCTGTATCAGCTACCGAAAAACACAACTGCTCAGCTTTGACTCCAGGCTGCTGCGAGACACCACCTCACTTGATTCCCTTGGTCCCTAGGTACAGTCACGTAATCACGAGTCTGCCTTTTAGGATGTTACAAAGATCAGTGGCCAGATTTGCAGCTCCAGGAAGCTTGGAGTGAAGTGTCCATGGCGCAGACCTTCATGCTGTGGCGGTTACGTCTTCAGCTGAGAGAAGGGCCAGCCTGTGTCTACTTAGTCGGGATATTTAAGTGACGATCAGGCTGCTTTAGCCTTCTGGTTTGATTACCATCGTGGTTCAACTAATTATGTTACTGCACAGCCCGCACCCACCCAGAATGTTAATGAGACGATCCAAAAGCGCAGAGCAAATTAACAGTAAAAGGAACAGCTGCTGCAGTGGCCAAGGAATTGGGCTTTTGGAGTCTTTACTTTAGAAGTCAGGATGTGTTGCCTGTAAGATAAGTAGGTATCAATTAGCTAAAAAGTTACTAACTTTCAAACTTATTCCTACTAAGTGTAAAGTAATGCAACGTAGCTTTTGTGTGAGTTGCCACGGAGCACCTACTGTTAGATTGACCAGGAGTTCACAGTGATTCTTACACCGAAGGCAAAAGCTGACTTGAGAAGTGGTGAGGTAAGGAGAGGCATGATGTGCTGGCTGCAGTGCCTGGGTTCAGAGATGGCTTTGCCATTCCTCAGCTCTGTGACCTTGCACAAGATTTCTTCGCCTGTGCCTCACTTTTCTCATCTGTAAAATGGGGTAATGAGACTAGCTCATTACAGAGGTTTCCGGTAAACCCCTGAGCCCCATACCTGCACGGCTTGCTCCAGGCAGCCTCCTGCACCAGAGATGGGTACAGCGTTGGACGTGCTGGGAGGACACAGACTGTGTCAACATTCCCTTCCCTTCCTTGCAGTGTGGGCTCGGAGGAGACCTTACAGCCTAAGCTTGCGGCCTGCAGCCCTGCACATCTCCATATTAGCTGTTATTACACAGCTTGTTTTATTTACAGTCCCCAAGCCAGTGGCTGGTGTGTGCGGGGCACAGGCAGAGAAGTCTTAGTTACAGTAGGGAGGGAAGCAGAGCCTCTGGCCTAGGAAGCCAGAAACTGTTCTATGTCCAGCTCCAGGGTTCCGTTTCTCCTCTTGGATCCCCGGTTTCCTGATCCGTGCGTGCGCTGGGTGTTTGGGCCTGGAGACGACAGGGCAGAGCAGTCTCACTGGGCACCAGTGCATCTTCTGCGGTGGGTGTGTCCGTCCACGCTGGGTGACATTGGTGTTTTCCAGAGCAGAGGAGATAGTTGTGTGAAGCCTCAGGCTGTTGCGGACCGCTTCCCTGAGCTTTGCTGAGCCTCTGGGGACTCCTCCGACTGGTTACCATGACCAAGTGCCAGCCTAGAAAAGGGTCCTGGGCGCTCGGGTTGCTTCGGACCAAAATAAAGGTGCCCTTTAGAGCAGCCTGGGCGTGGTTGGAGCCTGCTGTGTCTGCGGAGTGGGGGCGGGCGCTGATGGGCAGGGGCCTGGCTGAGGTGCGTCCAGGGTGGTGTGGCCCCTGACTCAAGGAGTTGTCACTTTCTCTCAACAGTGGTGGGATGTCACTACCGGCGAGTCTGCCCAGACCTTCTACACGAATGGAACCAACCTTAAGAAAATACACGTGTCCCCCGACTTCAAAACCTACGTGACTGTCGACAATCTCGGTATTTTATATATTTTACAGATTTTAGAGTGAAGCGGTTAAGCATGACTGTACATTTTAAAGTTGGAAAAAAATTCTGATGAAATTCTTAGCAACTTTTTGTAAAGCTGTGAATTGTTTTGCAATGTTGTATGCATTACAAAAGCGTTTGTGATGGATGAATGACAATAATGTAGCTTTTCCCCAAATGAACGCCTTTAATCTTATTTTTCATAACCATCATTCTTAATGATTTGTCCTTAAGATGCAGATGAAAATGTAAATACGCGTCTTGTTATACTGTTGTAAGATGCTCTCGGTGTGTTCAGCTGCTGGGCATAATTAACGAGGCTGATGTGACTGCAGCAGTCAGCACACAGGCTGTGCTCTGCGCGGCCTCCAAGTACAGCCCTGAGCTCGTCTGCACTCTGCTTTAACACTGTTGTGTCGCGTGCAGTCTGCAGCGTTTCCTTCACTAAGGGAACAAGCGAGTGCCTGTGAGGTTCCATGGTCTGCCCTTTCTCGGCGCCACTGGGGTTAGGCCACTGAGGCCTTCCCTGGCCTCAGTATTTGGGCACCAGCCCTGCTCTGCCTTTTTACTTCTTACTTGTGTCATAATTCTCGCTTTTTTTTTTAAAAGCAGTTGCTGCTTGGTTAAATGTTAACAAATCAACAATTGGATACTTTTCTAAGAAATGTGAAATAGTCATGAGTTTCTTCTAATTCCATTTACTTTTAAGTAGATGGTATCGTCAGTGCGGTTCTCTCAGTGAATTAGTGAATATAAGAGAATCATCTGCGATTTTCTATGCAGCCCCAAAAGAGTCATTGTTGAGACTCCTGGAAGACGTCGGTTTTCACCTTCCAGCCGCCTGTCTTCCGCCTTCTCCTCTCACTGTCTACCCTGAACCACTGTCTTCTTGAGACAGGGCCTCCCTATGCAGTGCAGGCGGGCCTTGAGCTCACTTTGAGCCCAGGCTGGTCTCAAATTTGCAAGGATCCTCTAGCCTCAGCCTCCCGAGTGAGTGCGGGGATTACAGGCGTGAGCCAGCACGCCCGGCTGTCCTAATTCACTCCCGCCTCCCCCACCAGGGGAGAGAGCTCTCTGCGCAGCCAGGTTCTCGCTGTGTCGCCCAGCCTGGCCGTGACCTCCTGGGCCTGTGTGGTTCTCCTGCCCCCTCAGCCTCTGAGTAGCTGGGAATGATAGCTTCCCATGTGGCCAGAGCTGTTTTCTTATCTTCTGAGTAGGAAGCTTAAATCTAAACATTTTCTCTGAAATAACATTATAAGGACAATGGAGATAATAGATGTGGCATAATATAGTTTAAAAAATCAAATTTTAAAGATTTTTGTTCCTGCAACAGGAACTAGTAAATCCAATGAATATTAGCACTAATAGTGGACGCCCATTGTCCCCATTTCTCTTGTCGGTGTGGGTCAGAGCAGGCAGTGTTGGTAGGGAAGAGCCCCTCGGCAAGTTTTCAGCTGAGTCTTCCCAGGACGCATCGCCCAGAACTGTGACTGCAGTGAGGAAAGTCGATCCCATTGTCAAGGTATCTTGCTTGTTTGTGATATGTTAAAGGACTGGTTTACAAGCCTATGTGATTTAAACAAATGTAGTAAGTGGAACCTTAATTTTATAAAATAAATTTTATGTTTTCCCTAGAATATTCAAATTACAACTTGATTTTCATATATTTTGGATTGTGTTGCCTAGAATATAAAATAGTTTTAGAATTAAAAGCCACATGACTGTTGAATATAACGACAAACGTTAGCTTTTATAAAGTCTCGATTAGTCTTTGTCTTAAACAGAATTAAAAGGAGAAATGGGAAGAAAGGTGAGGCAGATGAGGGAGGGCGGCCTTCACGCAGCCACGGAGCTGTCAGGAGGGTTTTGTTTGCAGGTAGCAAATGAGCATTATTAAGCGTTTTCCCTGGTTTTTTACATTGGACTTTGTATGTGTCAACATGCTTTTACATTGTGTCTTGTATGTGTTGAAAACTGTTTTGTACTTGTCACTTTCATGATTTTTTTTGCCTAGAAATACATTTTACAATGTGAATTTTAAAAAGTTTATAAAAATAAAATTCCTGAAAGTTTTTGAGAAACATTTTTGGGTTATTTCATCTTCTTGCTCTGATTCGTATCTGTGGGTTGGAAGCCCGAAGCCCAGCCCTGGCCCGGCCCCTCTGCCCGCGCTGCCTGGTCTGGTGTGAACCTAACTTTCCAGGCCACTGGCACGGGCAGAATCCTGGGAAAAGAAGGACTTCGTGTACTCACTTTCTCTTATTCTCTCAGTAAATAACAAGGTCTCTGTAGACCTGGCACTGTGCGGCAGGAGGGCCATCGAGTTGGCACAGCGGAGTCCTCCTTTACTGCAAGGCGGGACCGGCAGCCGGCGGAGCATCAGGAAGACCCGCGGTGCACAGGTGGTGTAGGGCAGGAGGGGCTGCAGCTGCAGACGGGGTGGGGACGGTGGTGTGAGGGCGCAGCCTGCAGAGGCCCGGGGTGCAGTGCACCCCTGGGGACCGGTCCACTGGACGGGCGGGCGGAGAGGAGCTGGGGTGGACCGGGCGCAGCCTCCCACACTACTGTGTGGACTTGGCACTGACCCTGAGGTGGCACAGGCTGGGGCTGAGTGGCAGAGGGGGCTGAGTGCCCTCCTGGCGGGGAACCTCCGCTTGGGGCAGGCAAGGGTGGACACAGGGAGCCCTCGAGGTGCTGTCCCAGGGATCCGGGCAGGGGACGCCTAGGGTGGATTCTGGGTGCGCTCTGTGGGTGACCTAGCAGGACTGCTGTTGACTGAAGTGGCCATGAGGGAGACCTTTTGGTGGGTGGCTCGGAGGTGTCCGCAGAGACCCATGCTAAAGGGTGGCCGGCAGCCGAGTGCGGCCCAGGGGAGGGAGGGAAGTTCTGCAGGCAGAGTCTGGTGGGGGCCGGGGCAGTGGGATCGCGCCCGTTAGGAGGCGCAGGACCCTGGCCGACCCCCCACCTTTCGTGTCTTGACTGCCACGAGGTGGTGGCTGGAGGCGGCCTCCCCTGCCCCGCAGTGACAGTGCCGAGGGGGTGTGGGCCCAGACCTCGAAACTGCAGCCACGGAAAGCCCAGGCTTCTCCTTAGGGTGACCGAGTGCTCACTGACCCGACACAAGGTGAGCACAGTGCCAGGCTCTGGCCTGAGCATCCCGCCCTCGGCTGCGGTGGTGCAGCAAGGCTGAGCTGCCCGACAGACATCAGCGTGGGGTGTCGGGTGGGTGCAGGGGAAGAGGCCTGGGGGCCGTGGGGAAACTGCGCTGGGAGAGAAATCTGAGTTTGGGGAGTCAGTGAATGGAAGGCACTTAGGGGACCACAGCGGAGACGTGGGTCTAGAGCAGAGGCAGGGGTGTGGGCTGAGCCCCAGCCGGGTGCAGCCGACATCCCCGGAGGCGAGCTAAGGAGACCCGTGGGGGCGTCCTGACATCCTTGGCAGATTCCATTTGCTTGACTACCTGCCTGTGTCCTCCGGGTCGTGAGCCTCCTGGAACAGTGCCGGGCACTTCTTTAAGCAGCACACAAAGTGGTTTAGTTTGGGGGTGGAGTGAGGGCAGGGTTCATAATTCAAGATACCCGCAGCTGCCCCACCTGTGGGATGAACCTCTGCCGCACAGTGCTGACCTCACTGCTTGCACCTGGAAAGTGCTCAGGGACATTCGATGGTACTATTTTGGTTCCATCGTCAGCAGTTCCCCAGGTGCCATCCCTGCCACTGTTCGTGCCCTTCTGTATGATCTACAATCTTGCTGCAGTTCTCTGTTTAAACTTTTTTTTTTGAGACAGTTTCACTATGCAGGTGAGGCTGACTTTGAGCTCATGTTGTAGTAGCCCAGCTCAACTCACAACCATCCTCCTGCTTAACCTCCCAAGTGCTGAGATAACAGGTGTGCACCACCAAGCCTGACTCTGTTTAAACTTTATATTTCAGCTCCTCTGTAAAACGCCGGGCCTGCCGTGTGCTGGCTAATTTCTGGGGCTTTCCATGTGCTGGTCTGTCTTCTGTATTCTCCCTCTGCCACCGTGTCCATTTCCAGCTTCTCACCTTTCACGTGTTCTTCCAGATGACCTGTGTCATGGTTTATGTCTGTGGCCCCCAGGCCACATGAGTTTACATTGTGCATTTGTGATGGTTCATTGTTTAGTGCTTGGATTGATGGTGTCAGTGCTCCACCCACAAAGGGGTGGAGCCAGGATGTGATGTAATGGCAGGAAGAAGGTGTGTCTTGCTCTTTGCTAGTTCCTGCTTGGTGTTAGCTGCCGCCATGAACTGCGGCCCAGCCATGCCCGCCTGCCTGGGAGCCAACTGAGTGTGGACTGAAACCTCCAAAAACTGTAAGAAATAAACCTTTCCTTTCCCAACTTGGGCATCAGGTATTTTGTCTCAGCGACGAGGAGTAAAAAGTAACTAAGACAACCTGCAAGGGCTGAAGTTCTGCCCTGCCCTCTGGAAACACCCACTTCTCTCCCTCCTGGCCTCTGTGGTTCTGCCTTGGAATTACTTGGTTACCTCCCCAGCTGATCATTGTCTCTTTGAAAGCCAGCATGTCTGTGTTTTCTCAACAAAGGTGTCGCCAGACCGTCAAAGGAAGTTGTAGCCATTCGCCAGCGTTTCCTTTATCTTCCTGTTTTACTTGGGCATTGTACTGTGAAACATGAGCGGAAGGTAAAACTTTTCTTGGGTAAAAGTGGTTGGCTACCAAATTACAGGAAATGAATGCACTTCCCTGGAGCATCTAAGTCGGCACGCTCGGCTGTCTGTCATCTGCAAATGTTTGCTATTACAATTTACCTACCGACCTTTAGAGGGGGAGAAGATGGTTCTGTAATAATTCTTGGTCTCTGAAGATTATCGCTGGAGTAGACTCTTTGCTCACAGGTCCTCCCTTAGGCCTGCTGCAGTTGGTGATGGGGTTCACCATAGAATTGCTGTGTGTTCTCAGGAAGGGCCTGCAGAACTGGGTCAAAGTGGACTCACTCACCCGAGACCTGCCCTTTGGAGACAGCAGGAGATGCTTCAGCCCAGTGGGTGCTGCCTGCCTACACCAGTGCTCCCCATCCTCATTTTATCTTCCCAGGAGTTGAGTAAATTTGCAGACAGGCCTCCCCAGTTTTTGGAGGATGAATTTCAGGTGACCAGTGGCAAAGCTGGGGCTGAAATCTACAGGTTTTTTTTTTTTTTTTTTTTTTTTGGTCTTTTTCTTTTTAATCGGTACAGGGGATCGAACTCACGACTGCCTGCTTGCAAGGCAGGCGCTTATGCCGCTGAGCTAAATCCCCAGCCCGAAATCTACAGCTTTTAAGAAATGTATTTATTTTTTATTTGAAAGGTCCAGACAGCTGGGCTGTACGCGGAGGGTCAGAACTGAGGGTGGAGAACTTTGGAATTTCATGGTGAATGGAGCCCCAGTCTAGAGGTCACAAGGCTTGGGTTTCAGCAGCTGGGGGCACTGTCCCCAGCTTAGGACGTTGGAGATGTTCTTATTTCGGATTCACCCTTATTTAGCCCTGACTCCAAACCCTTCACTGTGGTGTGGACCGGGAGGATCTGCCTCCTCCTCCGCTTCCCGTGTACTGTGCCGTGAGCTGTTCCCTGCAGGCCCCTTTGTCGGGCCGTCCTGCCTTGCAGCCTGCAGACTGTGTGCTGACAGCTCTATACGGTGCCAGCCAAGATGAAACCCTCCTCCTCAGCATGTGGGTGTCGGATGTTGTGTCTCAGTGATAAGAAACTAACAGACACGCATGATTCTAAGTGATGATATTGAGCTGTTAGAACCTCGGGAAGGCGCCTGGCTCTGAAGCAGGAGGTTTCCACACAGTGTTGCAGGGGCCATACCTAGCCCCCAGGGGAGTGCTATTTGGCCTGCATTTGTTTCTTAAACCCTGAATTTCCTGGCAGCATATCAGAGCCCAGTGGTGCCACATAGGAACCCAGACTTCTCAGACAGTCTGCCGGCCCAGGGCTTCCTTGCTGCCTGGCAGTGCTGAGCTGGATCTGATTGGCCACGGCTGGGTCACCTCCGCCCCAGCCACACAGGTGAGCCGCGGGGTTCTGAAGGCATCTGAGTCTGTGGCCTCCCTGTAGCCCACAGAGCCTGACCCCAGAAGTGGCCTGTGGAATGGGATTCCGGAAGCCCGGCCACCTTTCTTCCTTCCCACTCTTCCTGACTTGACACTTGACTCGCTAGAACTATTTTCTTTCAAAAATCTGAGCAGGCAGTTTTGTGCATTGGAGATGAGTCACCCTCTCAAATGTCAGAAACCAGCCGAGAGTGGCCCTTTCGGGGCTGGTGGCACGTCCCTCCCTGTGTGCTTGCAGCTTCCGCAGGACAGCGCAGGCTGCATCCTCAGGGAGTGGTGGTACTATTACTTGGGGTACTGAGTGCGAGTCATTCTGAATGGCTTTGACCGCATGTGGCGAGCTGACTTGGGCTGTCAGAGCTGACACTGTCTTGGTGTCTCACCAGGTGCAAACCGTGGGGCTCCGGACCTGCACGTAGCTCCCAGGTGCCACGCCTGGGCTCCTGTGCGGCCAGAACCTTATGAAACCCCAGATGAAACCTCAGCACTGCAGCTGCTGCCTTCAGCTGTAGGATCGGAGAACTCGGGGACTCCCACGGGAGCTGAGAAATGGGGTCTGCCTCAGCCTGTGCCTCCCTCACTGGCTGTTACATGCAGCATAGTGTACTGAGCCCAGGGCCGTCACACTAAGCTCTGTCTTTAGCCCCTCTCCCCCACTTTTAAAATTCTTTTTGAGAGAAGATCTTGCTAAGTCGTTAGAGCCAGGCTGGTCCTGCCTCAGCCTCCCAGAGCGCTGAGATGACAGGCATGTGCCACGATGCTTGGTAGCTTTTTACAAATGCAGGTCATCAAGACTTGGGAGAGAAAAGCAGAAATGGTTTTGATAATGAATAATTTGTAGTTGTGACTCACCGTGAGCCACAGCTACAAATGTAGCTGTGAGTGCCATACATTGGATCTGAAGGAGCCTCTCTGCCGAAATGACTCGGAGGAAAGCAGCTCCCTGCCCGAGCAGTGGGGCAGGTGCCAGGAAAAGTTATCTGGCACTGGAGTGGCCCGG